CCGACAGCAGCTACCTGGGGAGACGCAGTGGTCAGTGTGTAGAGACTCGACCCCGGCCGACGGGTGAACGTAGCCAGGTGACGGCCGGTCCTGGAGCACGTGCAGATCGCCACACGCTGTCCGCCAGGGGTAAAGGTGTCAACCCACTGATCCTGGAGGACAGCGTTGCTCACCAGGTTCGTCGAGAACGAGGGGAGGTGGAAACCCGACAACGAGCCAGACGGAACCGCCGGACAAGGGAGGACAGTGGTGGACTGGGCAAGGACTGGGCCCCCAGAGGGGTCAGCCAAGGAGACTGGGACCGGTGCAGGAAGCGGTGTGAGCTCAGTACTGTCACGAAAGAAGCAACGGGAAGCACCTGAGTCAAGGGTGAAGGTGTGACAGGCCTCAGCCGGTGCGGTACCTGAGAGAGGAGTCTCTGTGGGTGCTGTACCTGAGAGAGCAGACTCGAAACCAGCCGGGACAGCACTGGGGGGAGCAAGTACAGGGGGCACCATACCAGAGAGAGCAGACTCACTAGTACCCAGGGCAGCGGGCTCTATACCTGGGTCAGGCGGCACACACAAGTAACAGTCTCCCTCGGCACTAACAGTCAATGCATACATGGCAGCAATAATAGCATCATAGTCAAGAGCAAAGACATCAACACCAGCCCTCATGAGCTCAGCCCAGCGGGGGCGCTCAACATCCGCACCCATCTCCTCACGCCAAGCGTCGTCAAGGCGGGAGAAGCAGCGGTACGGGGTGTGGAACCTCCCACACGTCTGTCCCTTGCGGTCACCTGTGCGAATGACATAAGAACAGCGGGCACTGGCCCCCGACGTCCCACGCTGAGCAAGCCACTCACGAAGCTGCTGGGTCGTCTGGGGACGCTGCTGCTGCTGGGAGCTCTGGCCCGAGCCAGTGCCTCCACTCCGACCTCCGCCGCCACCACTACCACCGCTCCGACCGGCACCGCCACCACCGCCACCACCGCCACCGCCGCCACCGCCGCCGCCGCCACTACTGCCACTGCTTCCTCCGCCGCCCCCGTCTCCACCACCGACCCCACTCCCACCAGCGCTCCCGCCACCGCTCCCTCCAGCACCGCCTCCCCCCCCACCTCCCCCACCTCCTCCCCCCCCAGTGCCACCACCACCACTTTTGCCCCCCTTGCCCTTGCCGGTGCGGCGCCTCCCACCAGGAGTAGAAGCAGCGCCAACAGACTCAGCACCAAGGAAGTCAACAGCAGCAGCAGCAGCGTAGGAGGGAGCGAGGGGAGAGGGAGAACACCCCTCAAAGATGGGGGTGCGAGGAGCGCCACGAGCAGCACCGACAGCTACAATGCTCTTTTCGGCCGCGAGCAGGTGCTCCTCTAGGAGGGCGACTGTGAGCTCAGTGGGACAGCGAGCAAGGAAGTGGTCTCGAACTGAGCGGAGGGTGTCAGGGAGACGGGTGACTATGAAGTGGAGTGTCCAGTACAGTGGAGGGGGGTTCTTAGCGCAGAACTCGGTGGGAAGGGCGGCACGCAGGCGAGCATCACTAGTGCGAAGGTGGGTGATAAGATCGGCGACTGTAGTAAAGGTGGACAGATCGGGGAACAGGTACGGCAGCATGAGGCGGCTAAGCTCGGCTGTGGCAGGCGAGGAGTAGCGAGCGACGACAGCGTCGTACAGGGCCTTAGCGGATTTGCAGTCGCCAAAATGCTCTAGCTCAGCTAACGGCAGGTGACTGCGAATGGCTAGGCGAGCAGCTGCGTCACGAGTCTGCCAGTGGGAACGAACACTAAGCTCAGCTGTGGCAGGAGGGGCAGGCGCAGCACCAGACGCGTAATCATAGAGCGACACATGCTCCTTGCTATCGCTCAGGAGGAACAGCTGCAGGTCATCTAGCCAAGCGGTGAACCGCACAGGGCGGCCCTCAGCATCGAACGACAGCACGCGGATGGAAGCCATAGCGACAGTGTGACAGAGTAACGCAAGCTGCCGCAGCAGGGGAAGACGACTGTGCACGGATAGAGAGCAGCGGGCGAGGCTGGCGCTACGGGCAGGCGGCGCTGCAAGCGGTCAGCGCGACGGGAGGGCGACGCTGCGAGCGGGCAGCGCGGCGGACGGGCCGGGAAGCGGGCAGCGCGGCGGGCAGGCGGCGCTGCAAGCGGGCAGCACGGCGGGCGGGCGACGCTGCGAGGCGGGCGGGCCGCGAAGCGGGCAGCGGGCGGGCGGGCGGGCTGCGAAGCGGGCAGCGGGGCGAGCGGGCTGCGATGCGGGCGGGCCGCGAAGTGGGCAGCTAGCGGGCGGGCGGGCTGCGAAGTGGGCGGGCCGCGAAGCGGGCAGCGGGGCGAGCGGGCTGCGAAGCGGGCGGGCCGCGAAGCGGGCAGCGAGCGGGCGGGCGGGCTGCGAAGTGGGCGGGCCGCGAAGCGGGCAGCGAGCGAGCGGGCTGCGAGGCGGGCGGGCCGCGAAGCGGGCAGCGAGCGGGCGGGCGGGCTGCGAGCGGGCGGCTCGGCGAGGGGCGCGCGAGGGCGCTAGTGAGGGGCGCGCGAGGGCGCTAGCAAGGGGCGCGCGAGGGCGCTAGCAAGGGGCGCGCGAGGGCGCTAACGAGGGGCGCGCGAGGGCGCTAACGAGGGTGCGCGCGAGGGCGCTAACGAGGGGCGCGCGAGGGCGCTAACGAGGGCGCACGAGGGCGCTACGAGGCTAGGACACGAGGTAGCGTGGTAACCGCATGCGAGCGGTGGTGGGCCCTAAAAAAAACGGTCGGTAGGTCCTAGGGACCTCCTGCTCTGAATACCATGTCAAGATAACTAGGCAAGAATGATGAACTAGCAGAAGTTTGGGTACAAATATGAAACCCTAGTTGGGGTTGTACCCCATATTGGCTACCCCACTACAGCCTACAAGCATAATACAGTTTAACACCACGAAATTGCTTAGATTCGTGGAATCTGGCAAAATTTTCGCCAATATTCTCCGCTGACCGGAATACTGAACCTACCTTGCAGTACACGGAGACAAAATTCGAACCCGAAACCTCTTCCTTTCGAGTCCAATTCTATTGACTAAGCCACCCTAGGGTTGCACATTTGTTCGTTGTACTATTTAATAGAGAGATTTTTTTTTTAGTAGACAACACTGATTTCCCAGGCTTTTTTCCTCTTAAGGGACCCTGATAATTTTTTTTTTTCCCAAAGACCAACGCTGACGAGAAAGCGTGGCCCAAAACGAATCTGAGGCCCTATTGGAGATTCATTTCCGCTATACTTTGAGAATATTATATCACAAAGTTTGTGTTTTTTCTGAAAAAAGAAATGTGGAAGGTATTGTTTAATGTGAATGAAAATGAAATGCGAAGTCTTGATCGCGCATCATCGTATGGTACGAGTTGGAAACTAGTAATTCTTTCATCCTCCCCAAAGAAGAAACAAGCTAGTGCATGTGATGTATCAACGTTCTGTGTGTGATGGTAGTTTGTGTTGTAGTGCAGCTTTGTACTGTTACCAGGTGCGGAGCCGATTCCACGAAACTTGCCGAGCCATCGATTGGCTAGTTTCGCTGGGCTCGTTGTTGCGCTGAGGTAGGTTGACGAAGCGATTTTCTCTCGCAGCCCAGAAGGTTTGGCACGAGAGGTGCTTTCGCTTCCGGTTTCCCATTTCGCACCGATACTTCGGCCTTTTCCGTTTCTTCGCCAATTCCTTGGAAAGGGGTGTCAAGACGAAAATTGCGGTTGGGGGGTGTTCGGGTGGGTTGGGGAGCTTGCTCATGTCACAACATCAGCGAGGTGACAGTTTCCAGCTGGCCAGCAGAACCAGTCTGCCGATCTGTCGGTGGGGGGAGCGACGTTGTCATCAACGTCATCTCGGGCGAAGGTTTGTCGGCGATGGGGTGTTGGTCGGAGGAGAGAGACAGTACAGTACACTGTAGTGACAACAAGTCCCGTAGCACTTATGATTTCTTTCAAAAATAGCCTAAAGCTTCTATGCAAGCTGTAGGTCACTCACACAGTGTTTAGGTTTGTCCCCATCCTGAACCTAGTTTCGTTTTGCTTGCGGGGCTGGACATCACCCGACACGATGTCAGCCGGCTCTCTCCCATCGCGCTGGGAGGGCGGTGCGGTCAGGTGGATGTCGTTCGGATCTTGAGCTTCGGACAAAAGCGTGTGATAAGGGTAGAGGCTGCCTTGCCTTTTCACCAGGCATGTTGCCTGGGGAACAGGGCTGTTAGGGGACAGTAGCGAAAGGCAATTTTCAGCCACGCCTTTGCCAACTGCTTATATCTGTACGGAGAGGTGAGGTCCGCCAGAAGGGATTGGGAATCAGACAGCCAATCAGAGCTTCGATCAATCGGAAGTTTGCCAATCAGACGGCCAGGTTCAATGTGATGTCCCTCTTGCCCGGCGCAAAACGAGTTCGCCCGGACCTGGTGAGCGTTTGGGACGATGGATGCCTTGCCCGACGAGGAATCATACACACAGCCACTAGCAGCGAGACGAACGAACCCCTATTTGCAAATCCCGCAAATTTACAACACATCCGGTCGCATCCAGCCGCATCCAGTCGCTTCCAGTCGCATAGTCGCATTCCCCTCCTCACATATCCCAAAAGTCGGAGTATTTTTTACCTCCGTCGTCGGCGTCCAGAGACGCATCACTGAAGCCTTCACTGCTGGTTGTATCATGTAGGGCGGGTCCAGCACGTTCGCCCTTCGTTCGTTCCGTGCAGTTACTCGTGTTGCATCACGGTGCAAAACGGTGAAGCTTCAATTGATAACCGCTGAACACCGTCGACGGTGAACTGTGAACGAACGCGCTGGAACCGCCCTTACTAAGGGTTCTGAAGCGGAACCGCCCTTACTAAGGATTCCTGAACGTTCTACGTCAATTAGAGCGGCAAGGCTTCTGCCTGCCAATCTGCTCTTCGGGTGCTCTATCAACCGTTGATATGGTGACCCTATAGAAGTGCTGTCCTTGCGTGCGCGCCAGACTGCTTACAGCAGCCGTTCTACTGTTCTGAAACGTTGACGGACTTTATGATGGTAGCGCGCGCCATTGACAGTGGGAGTCGCTTGCTGTTGTGGGTGGCCGTGGCCGTCAACTTGACGGTTTCCGTCAATGCATCATTCGACGGATATGCGGTCGAATCCACCGTGCAACACGGTGGTAACGAAAGTAGGCGACGCTCTATTCCGTTTTGGTTGACTCAGATACCACCTAGTCGTCTTCTTGACGGTTTCCGTCAATGCATTCACCGTGAACCACGGGGACAAGTACTAGTCAGCAGCGTGCCTCCCGCCAGCACCTTATTCCGTGGCCCATTTTACTCGCCTTCCTTCCTGTGCTTCCCTTTCCTTCCCTTTCCTTCGCCTTCCCTCCCTTTCTTCCCTTCCGTCGACACCCAGCAGCGTTCAACGGCCAACAATCTTCGAGGTCTCATCTGGTGGGCAGGGTGGGCGAGTTCGAAGGCGAACTTAACTACTACCTGCCACAATCATTTAGGTCTGTCTATACTATAGGCGCAAAAAGGGTGGGCGAGTTCGAAGGCGAGCTCAACTATTACTACACCAAAAAGTGTATCCACATGGTGTCCTTAAACCACCCGAAAATGTCCAAAAAGAGTCTTTTGCCTGTTGTTCAGTGTGTCAAACAGACCGAAATGTATCCAAAATCAGACAGATCCTAAAAGTGGTTTACAACAATTTCACGCGGAAGGTCGGGGGATCGATGCTTGCCAGGTGCATTAGTGCCTGCCACAACGATTCAGGTCAGACGGGCGCATGCTCTCCAAATCATTTCTTCGGGTCAGTAAGTAAATACTTGCCAAAAACCGCTTTTCATGTTGGTTTGGCCCTCCTTGTCCCACGCCCCTTCTCAAAAAGGCATCTCTCTACCTCTCTCCCTCCCCTTCTCTCTCTCTCTCCCCTTATCTCTCCCCTTCTCTTCCCTCTCCCTCCCCTTCTCTCTTTCCATCGACTCTTCGCCTCCCCCTTCCTCCTTCCCTGCCACGCCAGGGCCCACACCAAGCGAGTCAACCTTGTGACTCGTCCGCTGGGATTTCTGGTCAACACGGCTCAAATGCCTGGGCTTCCCTCTCTCCACAGCTCGCCTGCTCAATGTGTTCTTTCCCTCTCTGTCTTCCTTTCATTCTCCCTGCCACGCCAGGACCCAACCCGAGCAAGGCAACCTGGTGACTCGCCCCTTGGGCTTTCCTGTGGACACGTCCCGCAGGCCCGGCGTGCTCCTCGCCTTCTACAAAGACGTCTCCTTCTACCAATGCGTCCTCGCCTCGCCTGCCCAACGCCTTCTTTCTCACCCCCTTTCTCTCATTCCATCCGTTTTCCCCCTCCCTCCCTTCTTCCCTCCCTCCCTGCCACGCCAGGACCCAACCCGAGCAAGGCAACCTCGTGACTCGCCCCTTGGGCTTTCCTGTAGACATGTCCCGCACGCCCGGTGTGCTCCTCAACTTCTACTAAGATGTCTCCTTCTACCAATGCGTCCGCCGCCTCGCCTGCCCAATGTCTTCTTTCTCGCCCCCTCTCTCTCATTCCATCCGTTTTTCCCCTCCCTCCCTCCCTCTCAACCCCCTCCCTGCCACGCCAGGACCCATCCAGAGCGAGCCAACCTCGTGACGCGTCCGCTGGGCTTTCCTGTAGACACGGGTCGCATGCCCGGTGTGCTGCTCGGCTACTACGAAGACATCACATTCTACCAATGCGTCCTCCGCAACTTGTCCACCAATCCGATCCAGCCACGCAGCTCCGGTGACTCTGACGGTGACGGTGGCGGTGACGCCGCCGCTTCAAGTGGCATCTCAAATGGCGATTCGTGGGACGATTCTGGTGACAGTTCAGGTTCCGATTCCATGGACGGTATCTCACACTCACTGGACAAGGAATGGGCCCTGCCACAGCTCCGCTGCCACGGCCCTCCCTGCCCCTCCTTCGGCTCCTGCACCGCCCGCTTCCCCAACGTGCAGGCCTGCTGGAACCCCCAATTCGTGGATGGGCCCGAGGACGATATCCGCCCCCCTATAAACTGCCCCCTTAAAGGAAAGATCACATGGCGCGATAAGAATACGCGTATAGTGCCGTTTGACGCGTCGTGCTCGCACGAGAAGGACTTTATCAGGCACGTGGGTTCGGCGCTGCAGATGATGCGGGTGGAGGACGTGTATGTGACGGACACGGGATATGTGCTCAACCGCTCGCACCTGTTCTTCCGCAACGGATGCACGAGCTTCCCAGGAGCGGTGAGAGGGGGTTGGCATAGCGTGAAGGGGCTGACGGGGCGAAGGGGGAGGGGGGAGAGGGGAGGGGGGGAGGGGGTGGTGGGGGTGGGAGGAGGGGCAGGAAAGGGGTTGCGTGGAGAGAGCGGGAGAAAGAGCGAGAGAGCAAGAGAAAGAGAGGGGAGAAAGAGCGAGAGAAAGAGCAAGAGAGCGAGAGAGCGAGAGAAAGAGCGAGAGAAAGAGCGAGAGAGCGAGAGAAAGAGCGAGAGAGCGAGAGAAAGAGCGAGCGAGAGAGCGAGAGAGCGAGAGAAAGAGCGAGCGAGAGAGCGAGAGAAAGAGCGAGAGAGCGAGCGAGAGAGCGAGAGAAAGAGCGAGAGAGCGAGCGAGAGAGTGAGGGAGGGAGCGATCGAAAGAGCGAGAGGGAGGGAACGAGCAAAAGAGCGAGAGAGCGAAGAAGGGAGCGAGCGAAAGTGCGAGAGAGCGAGCGAGGAAGCGAGCGAAAGAGCGAGAGTGCGAGCGAGGGAGCGAGCGAAAGAGCCAGAGAGCGAGCGAGGGTTCGAGCAATTGTGTGTGTTTGTGTCATGGGAGCAAGGATGAAAAATACGGTTTCCGTAAAATACGGTCCGTATTTTACGATCGTATTTTACGGTCAGATTTCAAAAATTCGACCGTATTTTTGTTAGAGATTTTCTTTTCTGCTAGGAAAAGAAAAACCAGACTTGCCACCAACCACCTTTAGGGATGCGAGCATTAGTGATATTGCCAACTATCAGGCCTAAGATGGTCTACAACAGATCTATGCCTTAAAAAACCGCTCCCGTATGAGTCCCCACGGAAACTCAAGACTAATATAGGCGTCCCCACTTGTGCGGCGAGTAAAAACGTTCTGGCGAGGGAAAAAATACTCGCGAATATTTTAATTCGTCGCATTCTTGACCCCTGCGCGACATGGCAGCGGGGTTCATAATCGTAGAGGCTAATTCGTCGCTTGAGGCTGCTTCGTCGCTTCACGTTTCTGCGTGACGAAATGTCAGCCAACTCAAACGCGGAAATTTTGCATCCCATTTTTTCCAGCTCACGCACTCCCCCCAACCGCTCTAAATCCCACTCCCTCTACCTAACCCAACCCAACCTTTCAAACATTTGCACTCTAACACTGGGTGAGATCTAGATCTCACTCGTACCTATTCTGCTGTGACACATTTTCCCATCGCAATAGCGCCTGGAACATCGCGATTTCCTACTAACACGGTCCTATTTAATCCCCCCTTTCCCCACTTAAGGGGAGAGGCTTCGCACAAGGGGGTCTCCCTGCAATTTCTTTTTACAGTTTCATTGTCTCAAAAATTCGACCGTAAATTACGACCGTATTTTTGAACCAACCCTAAAACAGCACAATTTACCGTATTTTACCGTAAAATACGACCGTAAAATACGATTCCGTATTTTACGGTAAATTTTCAAAAATACGACCGTATTTTTGTTCCCTGCATGGGAGGCCATTAGATGGGGTTGCTTTCAAGCGCACGCATATGGTTGCTCAAAACGGATGCTTCCTTTTCCTGGGAATTGTGATAGACTGTGCGGGCAGGGGGCGTGTGTGAAGGGAGGATTTTGTGAAGTTTGTTCCCCTCTGCTCGTGTGCCTCTCTGCCCGTGTGCCTCTCTGCCCGTGTGCCCCTCTGCCTGTGTGCCCCTCTGCACGTGTAACCCTAGAAACCTAGCCTGTAAGGCGTGTAGCATAAATTTCCTCCCCTTTTCACCAGGTCACATACGAGGCAAACCACGTGGTGCATCATCTATCCACGCCAGTGTTCAACTGGGCGTACCGGCTGGGTGGCAATTTCTTCCACTTCCTCATGGAGCTCGTTCCGCTCTTCCTCGTCGCCGCGCCCCTCATGCCCTCCACTCTGCGCCACCTGCCCGTGCTCGTCAGGAGTAACCAGGTGGGACCCAGGTGGGAGGGATTCAGGTGGGATTCAGGTGTGACCCAGGTGGGATTCAGGTGAGATCCAGGTGGGATCCAGGAGCGATCCAGGTGGGATTTAGGTGGGATTTAGGTCTTGGCGATTTTACGCCGCCAGGTGGTGTCCCGGTGAAGTTCAATAGTTACAGCACCCGCACTGCGCTTGTGAGAAGCACTGAATCAAGCATCTGCACGCTGCCAGCACTTGTGAGTTTCTTCAAACGCCCCACGCAGCAGCTCCTGGCTGTGCTCGCCAGGGGTGGGCCCGGGGGCGTTACATTCAAGCAGCGCATGCATGCCCCACTTATAGGCATACCCCTTATAGGCACACCCCTTGTAGGCACACCCCTTATAGGCACACCCCTCGTAGGCACACCCCTCGTAGGCACACCCCTCGTAGGCACACCTCTCGTAGGCACACCCCTCGTAGGCACACCCCTTGTAGGCACACCCCTCGTAGGCACACCCCTCGTAAGCACACCCCGTTCTTGCAGCAAAGTCAACTCTGCTTCACCTGCCTGTGCTCGCCATCTCCTTCCCATTTTATTCCCTTCATTCCAATCTCCTTCCTATCTCATTCCCATCTCCTTTTCTATTTTATTCCACTCATAAGCATATATTGAGTCGACTAGAAAGTGGTTCCCATGTCGTTCCCATCCCATGCCTCTCTCCACAGGTGCCCATGTATGAGAAACTGGGTGCGCCACTCATAGACATATAATGAGTCGACTAATAAGTGGTTGCCCTGTCATTCCCACCCCCATCCCATGCCTCTCTCCACAGGTGCGAATGTATGAGAAAGTGGGTGCGCCATTCCTAGGCATATAATGAGTCGACTTATAAGTGGTTGCCCTGTCATTCCCACCCCCGTCCCATGCCTCTCTCCACAGGTGCAAATGTACGAGAAAGTGGGTGCGCCACTCCTAGGCATCCCAGTCGATCAAATTCGCCTGCTCCCCACTTCCGAGAACGACTTATTTCATGCAGACGTTGTGTATCAGGTGAGTTTTGAGGGACCTCAAAACTCCACTCGATCAGATTTGCCTGCTCCCCACTTCCGAGAACGACCTGCTTCATGCAGATGTGGTGTACCAGGTAAGGCATGCATGCAGCGCGCATTTCAAATCATGTATGAATGGTGTACTAGGAAACTCATGCATGCATGCGCCTCATGTCCACGCCTCTCTGTGCATGTGCGCGCGTGCGTGCGTGCGTGCATGCATGCCGGTTCTATTCTCGCGACTACCTTTTGAATGACTCTTCAACCCTGAAAATCCTTGGGTGTGACATGTGCAGTGGAAAGAATAGTCAGAGAGATTTGCAAATACCTCAAACATTAGGGAAGCTCTTTATGGTGTCTGTCATTGGCAACACTGTAGAGTGTAAACATTTCTGGCAAAGACAAGGCAACTGAGGAATGAAATCCTTATATATATGTGTGTGTCATGTCATGTATCCATTCTGCTGTGTGTATGCCACGCAGGGACATGCAACTTTGCATAGATGCATTCGATCATAGAGTGTGAGTTAGTTTGTTTCTGATTCTTATATTTGTTCTCTTTCCTTTTTTGGGCGACCACCCATTCTCCTCCCCCAGCCCATCTTTCAGAACTGCCAGTACCCCAGCAGGTCTCTCTGGCAGTTGCTGCGGCGCCGCCATCTGCTGCACCCCTCCGGCATTCCTCTCTTCAACCCCGACTGGACCTACCGCCGCCACCGCCCTCTCTCCCCCGCCGAGGCTCGCTCCTTCCCCACCGACTGGGTGGTCGTGCTGGCGAAGCGGGCGAAAGGGAGGAATCGGGCTATGCTGAATTTTAGGGAGGTGGAGGAGGAGGTGTTGAGGCGGTTTGGTCGCGAAAGGGTGGTGGTGTTTGATGGGTCACTGCCGTTTCTGGAAGGTGAGGGGAGTACGACGTGCAAAAGTGTGTGCATATATATAAACATGTGCGTGTATTTTTCCGTGCGCACGCGTCCAAGTGTGTATATGTGTAGGCACGTTGAAAAGAGCTACTGAGGCGCAAATAAAATGAGTGAACCATTCTGCAACCACTTCTCACGGTGCAGGGGCGTTGCAGTAATGCTACGAAAACTTGAAATCACTTTTAAGAAGTCTCAAAAGTGATTCCAATATTGCAGTAATGCTATGAGATCTTTCTTCTTGACTACGCTTTTGAGAATGTTCAGTGTGTGTCGTGTCGGTTGCCACTCGTCACGGTGCAAGGAGCATTGCAGTAATGTGTGTCATGGGTTGCCGCGAGCCTCCAGCTCCTTTTCCTGGGTTGCCTTTGAAGTGACTTTTTGAGTGATCTCAAAGTCACCTAAGTCACCTTTTACAGCTCTCAAAAACCTCTCACTCACGAATCAAACCCATGCTTCTCGCCATTCAGAACATGTTGCGTTGCTTTCCACACCTTCGATCGTCTGTGCCCTGACCACACTAATTTTGCGGCGCATAAAGGTACTGACATTAACATTTTGCATCCTTACCTGCCTATCTACACTACGCCTGAAACCTTCCCTTCCATGCTGCCAAGCTGACATCACTCTCATCATCACTGTAATGCTCCCATGCTGTCATGCCCCCATCCTGTAATGCTCCCATACGGCCGTGGCCTCCTTGGCCTGATTCTACATAGCAGGCCAAGGAGCCGCCATAACGTTCAGTCTTATTATGCTCTCTCACGTTATGCATAACAGGCCATGCATTTGAGATGTCTCAGAAACCGACTTCTGCATTGCACATCATCCTTAACTTCTCTCACCTCCCTCTCTCAGCCCGTGCACTCTTCCAGCGAGCCCGCCTCTACATAGCATCACACGGAGCCGCACTCACCAACACAATATTTATTTATGTTGTCTCTCCTCTTTCATTTCCACCACCCCATTCAACCGCCCCATTCAATCATTTCATTCCACCACCCCTTTTCAGCCCGTGCACTCTTCCGACGAGCACGCCTCTACATAGCATCACACGGAGCAGCCCTCACCAACATGATTTTCATGCCAGAACACGCATCAGTCTTTGAAATCCGACCTAGGGATTGTCCCACACGGGTCTATAATGGTCTCGCTGCTGCCTGCTCGCTGCGGTACCATCTTGTGTTCAGTCAGGGGCATGGTTCGTCCGCTGCGGTGGCCAATGTGACGAGTGTGGCTCAGGTGCTTGATGCAGTACAAGCTAAGTTTCAATCGGAGGATGATGGAGGTGATGGTAGGGGCTCAGATAACCAAGTCTGATAGAACATGTGGATTATTTCCTTTGTGATTGGGGGGATTATTTCCTTTGTGATTGGGGCAAGAAAAGGGTTTCTATACTGAGAGGAAACACACTCATGGGTGGCATATTGGTTGGAAAAATATAGCAAAAAACTATAACCCGAAGGGGGCTCACGAGAGTTCACTTCTTGGTCACGTGCTTTCCATTCCGAAAACAAACTTGCTCTATCAGACTTCGTCATTTGCAACCCCGCCTTCACCTCCAGCATCCTCCATCCGAAACCTAGATTGTATTGTATCAAGCACACGAGCTACGCTCGTCACATTAGCCACCACAGTGGACAAACAGGTACCCTGGCTGAACACGAGATGGTACCGCAGCGAGCAGGCAGAGGCGAGGCCATTATAGACCGGCACGGGGCATCCCTGGGGGCGAATCTCCAGCAGGGAAGCCTTTTCCGGCATGAAGATCATGTTGGTGAGTGCGGCTCCGTGGCCCGCTATGTACAGGCGTGCTCGCATGAGGAGCGCCCGGGCTGAAGAGTGGGGCAGAAGAAGGAGAAAGAGGGGGAGGGAGGGGGAAGTATGGACGAAGGTCCTGTTGGTGAGTGCGGCTCTGTGACGTGCTATGTAGAGGCGTTCTCCTCGAGAGGAGTGCACGGGCTAAGGGGAGGGGAGGGAGAGTGTGGGAGAGAGGGATGTAGGACACAATGGAAGTGGAGAGGAGAGGAGAGAAGAGTTATGAATGGATGAAGATCGTGTTGGGGATCCCCTATGTCTTCTGCGCAAGAGGTGCGCTCGCAAGAGGAGTCCACTGGCGGAGGGCGGGGACATAGGGGAGAAGGGAGAGGGGAAGAGGACGGAATGCGAGTGGAACGGCGGGGTGGGAGGTCAAAGCTAACAATGACCATTGCATTGGCAAGAGGCGCTCCGTGTCCTGGTATGCAGGATTCTTTTGAGGCGCCTCAAAAGGTATGCAGAACTCTGGTATTGAGGCGCCTCAAAACCACAGCCTTCTGTGCAGAACCATGCTGACAGAAAGGGGTCCGCTAGTAAGAGGGGGCGTTGAAACTGGGATTTTGAGAGATCTCTAGAGCCAATCGCGATCATGTGGGTGACGGCGGGTCCACCGCCCGCCTGATGTGTGCAATTCTGTTTTGAGGCGCCTAAGAATCATCCATGGCATGGCTTGCTGTGTGGTGGAAACATGTTTACAAGTGAGGTCTTAAACTGCGGAAGAGTATGAGACATGACAGGTAACAAAGAGGGCGGAAAGGGTATGGACGGGGCGTGCAGGATGCACACTATGGATGCCAGCATGTTGCAGGTTTCTATTTAGTCTTCTCACCCAAATCCCTGATAAGCCAACATGAGTGAGCAGCAACATGGGATTAAATATGGGTTGAGAAGTTTTGAAAAAAAAAAAAAAAAAAAAAATCTTAGAAGCAAGCCTGAACACGTGACTCTCATTCACACACATCACGCAGGGCTTGGGGAACTTTCCTTGACGTGCCGAGAATATTCTCCTTTATATGAAGACACTCATGCGTAGATACATATGTACATGTGTATGCGTATACATGTACAAACGGTAAGTGTACAGGTATATATGTACATGTATAAGCATACATATACATACAGGTACATGTGTATGTGTATGTGTACGTGTACGTGTACGTGTACGCGTATGCGTATGCGTATGCGTATGCGTATGGATATGTATATGTATATGTATATGCATATGTATGTATATACATACATATACATATATAAACCATTGCATACCCTTGCTCGCACACCACTCACCTTGAAGAATTGGCAGCGACCCATCAAACAGCACCACTCTTTCGCGCCCAAATCGCCTCATCACCTCCTCCTCCACCTCTTCAAAATTCACTATCGCCCGCTTCTTCCCTTTCGGCCGCTTTGCCAGCACGACAACCCAGTCGGAGGGGAAGGAGCGAGCCTCGTGGGCGGAGAGAGGGCGGTGGTTGCGGAGAGTCCAGTCGGGGTTGAAGAGAGGCACTCCGGAGGGGTGCAGCAGGTGGCGGCGCCGCATCAACCGCCAGAGCGACTGGCTGGGATGGTGGCAGTTTTGAAAGATGGGCTGGGGGAGGGACGGAGGAGGGTGGCAAGAGGAAGCGGAAATGGAATGAATGCAGTCCTGTCCTGATGCATGGCCGGGAGCAGCCAGGAGGGGCCTAGGGAGAAGGATGGTGCTATCAAATCGTATATTTATATATTTATATTATATAATTTTCTGTTCATATATTAAATCTTATCTAGTTATCTATCTATTCATTTAAGAGGGTATATGCCCACCACACGCATGCATGCCTTACCTGGTACACCACACCGGCATGAAATAGGTCGTAGCCGGATGTGGGAAGCAAGCGCATCTGATCAAGTGGGATGCCTATGAGTGGCATACCAAGTTGCTCGTACATATGTACCTGTGGGAAGGGCATGACATGACATTGTCAAAAAGATAGGAAGGATTTTATGATCCACTCGGTAATTGATGCATCCAGCTGCATGTCATCCAGATTTACATATGGGAATGAGCGAAAGGATATGGGGATGAGGGAAAGGGTATGGGAATGAACTGGGAATGAAGTGGCAGCTGATTGTTTAGACTCGAGATGGGCCTCAAAGATTGACTCGAGATGGCAGCGGGAGGTAAAGGCTGCCACTCAGTTGGTGTGCCGAGTTTACTGCCGTGGGCACCTCATGCAGCACAGCACGCAGGAGCAAAACTAGAACCCCACCAGGTCGTTACAATGAAATCACTTTTGGAAATTCTCAAAAATGGGAATGGGATGGCAGCTAGTGGGAGAAGCTGCCACTTGGTTGGCGTGCCCACTTGAAGACTGCTGGCGGCAGCTCGTGCAGCTCGTGCAGCTCGTGCAGCACGCCCCGGAGCATAACTAGAACCCACTGGGCCACCCCGGACGAGCACAGGCAGCTGTCGCAGCGGGGAGGGCATGAGGGGCGCGGCAGTAGCGTAAACCGGAGCATGACTAGAACCCACCTGGCCCTCCCTGACAAGCACAGGCAGGTCTCGCAGTGGGGAGGGCATGAGGGGCGCGGCGACGAGGAAGAGCGGGAAGACTTCAATGAGGAAGTGATAGAAGTTGGCCGCCGGTTGGTGCGCCCAGTTGAAGACTGGTGTAGGTAGCTCGTGCACCATGTGACCCTCGTCGTATGTGAGCTGTTGAGAGGGAAGGGAATGAAGGCATCAGAGGGACAGTGACGAGGAAGAGTGCACTGAGGAAGTGGTAGGAGTTGTTGGCCGGTTGGTGCGCCCAGTTGAACACTGCTGCTGGCAGCTCGTGCACCATGTGACTTGCGTCATATGTGAGCTGGTGGTGGAAGCATATGAACACATACACTGCCCATGAACACATACACATGCCCATGAACACATACACATGCCCATGAACACACATGCCCATGAACATATACGCATGCCCATCAACACGTACACATGCCCATGAACACATACACATGCCCATGAACACATACACATGCCCATGAACACATACACATGCCCATGAACACATACACATGCCCATGAACACATACACATGCCCATGAACACATACACATGCCCATGAACACATACACAGGCCCATGAATACATGAGCGCATGAGCGCATAAACACACGAAAGCATGAGCCCATGAACGCATGACCGCATGAGCAGGCAAGATCTGCACCCAACCCTCCCTTCTACCCAACCCTCCCTCCGCTCCGCACACCTATCTCTCACCAATCCTGGAAAGTGCGAGCACCCGTTCCGGACGAACAGGTGCGTGCGGTTGAGACCAAACCCATTCTTGAACCCCTTTAAAAACGCACTCTCTCCCCTGCAAATCCCTCTCCCCCTAATTTCGCAACCCTCCACATAACCTCCCTCTCACCACTCCTGGGAAGTGCGGACACCCGCTTCTGACGAACAGGTGCGAGCGGTTGAGAGCAAACCCATTATCAGTCAAATACACATCCTCCAGCCGCATCATCTGCAGCACATACGCCCTGCCCCAAGTTCTCCGTTTATGCAACCACCTCTCACCTTTCCGGGAAAATGCGGGCACCCGCTTCTGACGAACAGGTGCGAGCGGTTGAGAGCAAACCCATTGTTCGTCACATACACGTCCTCCAGCCGCATCATCTGCAGCGCGTGTGCGCCGTGCACCCCCACGTCCTGCTCGTGCGAGCACGTCTCGTCAAACCTCGCCTGCGACCGAGACCCGTCGCCTGCGCTGTCCGCTTTAAGGGGGCAGTTTATAGGGGGGAAGGGTTCGCTCATGGGTGGGTCGACAAGGTCTGGGTTCCAGCAGGCCTGCACGTTGGGGAAGCGGGCGGTGCAGGAGCCGAAGGACGGGCAGGGAGGGCCGTGGCACTCTAGCTTCGCTGCCCCTTCTGACTCTTCCGAGCCTCTTCCCTCTGACTTGTCCGAGGGGAGGTGCTCAAAGAAATGGAGGAAGATGTTGGCCAGGCGCGCCGTGGAGAGAGGGAAGCCCAGCGGCCGCGTCACGAGGCTCACTCGCTCGGGGTGGGTTCTGGCGTGGTAGGGTGGGATGGGAGGCGAAGAAGGGATGGAGAGTGAGAGGGGGAGAGAGTGAGAAGGCATTGGGCAGGCGAGGTGTGGTGGAGAGAGGAGCCCAGCGGCCGCGTACGAGGCTCACTCGCTCGGGGTGGTTCCTAAAGTGGTAGCGAAGGAGGGAGGCGAAGAATGGATGGAAAGAGGGAGGGGGAGAGAGAGGTAAGATGTTGGGCAGGCGAGCGGTGCTGGGGGAAAAGCCGCAGTGGCCGAGGCGACTTTTGAGTCGACTCAAAAGTGAGAGGTGCTGAGGGGAAAGCCGCAGCGGCCGAGTCACGAGTTTGTCGAGTCTCGCTCGGGGTCAATCCTGGGGGGCGACGGATGGGACAGGGAGGGGGGCGACGGGCAGGAAGGGGGGCGACGGATGGGAGGGGAGGGGAAGAGAGTGTTTCGCCGGCAATGGCTCGCCTACTGAATATCTCCGCGCTCGCCCAGGATTCGCCTCTGGCTTTAAGAATCTGGTATGGATTCACCAACTGACCAGGATCGCAGAGGCAGGAAGGAATATCGCCGTGGACGTCGCACGGAATATTCGCCGCCGGCTGACCTAAATCGCAGAGGCAGGTAATAAGATTCGCTAACTGACCTAATCTTAATGGCAGGTGGTAATTAGATTCGCCAGCTGAAATAAATCGCTCTGGCAGGTAGTAGTTAAGCTCCCCTACAAACTCGCCCACCCTATAAACACACCGACCTAAATCGCTCTGGCAGATAATAGTTGAGCTCGCCTTCGAACTCGCCCACCCTGCCCACCAGATGGGACCTCGGCGATGATTGATGGCCGTTGATCGCTGTTGGAAACAACCATTACGGTTGATGAAGGAAAAAATAGGAAAGGAGTACGGAGAGTGTGTGAGAGCGGTGCAGCGTCAGCGGCTTTCGTCACTGGGTGGGTGCATTTGACGGAAACCGTAAATGGAAGAGGAGGCGAAGCTTTTCTGTTGACTGAAAAAGGGGAATGCGGGAGCGTGTCGGCCTACATTCGTCACCACCATTCGCGGTGGCGTCCTCCGTCAATTCGTCGGATGACGCATTGACGGAAACCGTCAAAAAGACGGCAACGACCAGCCACAAGAGCCGGCGACCGGTAACCTCGCGTGCCACCATCATATAGTCCGTCAGAATGAATGAGGGAGCGCGACTCTACGAGAAGTATAGTAGTAGCTCGGGAAAGATCATGGCTGCATTGTGCGACGAGAAAGGCTATTACGTATACTCGCAAGGGAGCGCCTAGGGAACAAGTAGGGAGTCTTCTTGTGTTGCGGTACGTGTACATGGCTGCGGGGCCGCCGCACCCTTATCAGGGACGGCGGGTAGGTTGACCTCACCTGGCAGGTGAGGTGAGCTGTGCTCTCCGAACCTGAAATGCCATCTTGCTCAATCACCCCACCTGGCAGACTGGCGACGCGGGCTGTAGAACCATGCGACTGCCTTGCGGATCGTGCATTCTATTGCTGAAACTTGATAACTTGATAGGACCGTTTTATAACTTGATAAACCTCATCGAACCGCATCAAGAGCTGTTACGAAACGGGTGTGTGATACTGGGGCACCTATGTGGTTGCCGTGAGGTTCTACATATCGCACTAAATTACACTCGAGTTCTCTGTAGCGAGAATACCGGTGTATTGAAGAATACCTGTATATGCTGGAACAAAACGTGGTTCTCCAGCCGCCACGTGGTGTTGACCTTGCAGAAGAAAATTCGTTGGGATTTGTGACTCATGGCTGAAAATAAAGTTGTTGCTCTGCTCACTGCCCTCGAATCGCCTCTCTAGGGTCTAGATCGCCATGTCAGCCTTTTGACTAGCCGTGTGCAAGGTCTCATTGGCTGCACTACCATGTACAACAATGATGCGCTCGAACCAAAAGCTCAGCGCAGCTACGATGTGACAAAACAGACTTATAGAATCCTCGTCACAAGCCGTTGTACAGTAGTGGTTGTCATTGAGATGATCATACCTGAATTTCTGTTAGGTAGTTCTTTCAGTCCATCTAGACTCTTATCTTTTCCACCGCACTATGGCATAGAATACAGACCTGTAAAAAGTTATCCATACACCTAAGGCAACTCCACGATCCCTTCCTTCCTTCAGCAGTAAAAGCGATGTGATAGCAAGTTACACTTGATTATCGACCCTTGGACTTGAGTGTTTCACTGAGCCTGCACAATGCGTGGGACAGGGGCGTCACCATGCAACGGTGCATGATAGGCCCATGCAGAACAGACAGAGGAAAAGATTAGCCATGAGAAAAGGTGTGTGCCACACACAAAGGACTGCATCATGGAGTATGCAAGGATGGAAGGCACAAAGATGCACCACAATGCACCGTGAAAGGATGCACAAGGATGGAGAAGGTAAGGATACACGATGCAAGGATCCATCATGCAACGATGCACCATCATACAACGACGCATGATTCAGGGTTCCGCCATACAGGGATGCAGTAGCAGGTTTCAATGCAGTGGGTACAACGTGAAGACTGAAGCCTGACCTCAGCAGTTTTGGCCATCCTCAGCCATCACAATGATACTTCTGGCCACTTAGCTTTCACAATATAAGCATGCGGGCACCATACAAGCCTGCACGCACTAGAAAATGCATGCACTGGACAAACCCTGCATGCACTAGACAAGTCTGCAGGCTCTAGTAAAGGCCAGCATTTGTCCAACCCTTGACCCAGCCCACACCTACCAGTCAGCATGCTCGCACCAGTCAACCCTGCTCTCACCAGCCAACCCTGCTCTCACCAGTCAACCCTGCTCTCACCAGCCAACCCTGCTCTCACCAGTCAACCCTGCTCTCACCAATCAACCCTGCTCTCACCAGTCAACCCTGCTCTCACCAGTCAACCCTGCTCTCACCAGTCAATCCTGCTCTCACCAGTCAACCCTGCTCTCACCAGTCAACCCTGCTCTCAAAAGTCCAGCCAGTCAAAAAGGCGCACTGCCCTTCGCAACCAACGTTTCGTGGATGGCCCCGGGTGGCCCTTCATCTTGTGTAACCCCAACCCAAAAAAACAGGACACATGCAACATGAAACATGGCACGTGGCATGTTGGGCACATGGCACATGGCACATCTTTCAACCCTCACACCAGTCAGCGCTGCTCTCACCAGTCCAGCCCCTCAAAGAGCCCATCGCCCTTGACAGCTGACGTCTTGTAGATGGCCCACGGGCGGCTCTTGATCTTGTGCAGGCCCAACGCAACTACATAAAACATCCAAACATGACCCATGCAACACAACACAAGCCACCCAGCACTCAATCTCACCAGTCCAGTCCTTCAAACAGCCCATCGCCCTTGACAGCTGACGTCTTGTAGATGGCCCATGGGCGACTCTTGATCTTATGCAGCCCCAATGCGTCTGACACCTCCACCTCACTCATGGCTCCGGGCAGATCCTGCGAGATATAGAACGGTGGAGGTGGGTGGATATGGGTGGAGATGGGTGAGCGAGAGGGATTGGAAAAGCATAAGGTGAGTGGTTTCTTAAGTCGACTCAAAACTCTTAAGGCGTCTGAGACCTGCACTGACTCGTGACTTGGGCAGATCCTGGGAGGCACACATGGGTGGAAGGATGAAGGTGTTGAGACAACACTTGCAACTCAAGTGAGTGGTTGAAATGAATATTGATACGAGCCAAGACCCCAAATCTCACCTGTTTGTTGGCATAAACCAGCACAACTGCTTCCTTCAACTCCTCCTCCTGAAAGGCATCATCAGAAGGGGCAGGAACGCACAAGACAAGTATAGCTTGTGAAAACGCATCAAGAGACATGGTGAGAAGGGTGACATCAATGAAACCAACAAAATGGCTGGAGGATCTTGCAAATTTTCTTCTTCTCAAAAGCAGTTGATTGCAAAAATTAGTGAGCAGGATGAAACGATGACTGCAGGCAGACAGCCTGATCCCAGAACCTCTGACACAATCACTGCTCATAGCGATACCAAGAAGTTCAGTCCACACAGGGGAATTTCGCAAAAGAATTGCAACGCCCTGCCTTCCACGCACCGCCACCACCACCATCGAAACATCACCCCCATTCAGACTGGCGTGGACTTCCTCCTTACAGGAATTTGAGGCAATTTGGAGATTGTGAAGGCACCCGCATTATACATAATTTTCTTTAAAAATGAACCCTGATAGAGCACTCACATCAAGAATGGCGTGGAATTCCTCCTTTGACGTGCCGATTCTGTCAACGTCTGTGGAGTCAACAACATATATGACGGCCTGAGTGTTGGGGTAGTAACACCGCCAGTACGGTCTGTTGGGTGCACACGAACGGACAGGGATGGATATGACAATTTACAAAGAGGTGGAAAGAAGAGGAACATTACGAGAAACGGGATGAGTGTTGGCGCAGAAACACCAACAGTACAGTCTGTTGGATGCACACGAGCGGAAGGGACGGTAAGGCACACTTAGGAGAGGAGGGTGGAGAAGAGAAAGGTGATGGGTCGAGTGCTGTTGAACGGCAGGGGGGAAAGGAAGGGGACGAAGAGGGAAGTGGAGGGGATAAAGGGACGGAGGGTGAGGAAGGAGAAAGGAAAAGTAATGGGGAAGCGGAGGAGATGGACGGGCAAGGACGGAAGCATTCGGAGGCTGCAGGTTCGATACAAGAAAGCTGCACACGAGTCAGACGGGATTGGGAAAAATAAACCGAAAGCAGCAGCCTTGCCATGAAGAAAACGAGGCCTGGAGAGAGCCAGAGTCGAGATTGAGTCGTGGCAGAGCCACAAAATAACTGGAGAGCAGAACAAGCGCTCAAGAGTCAAGAAAATGCTCAACAATGTAGCAAGAACGCACCTGATACTTGTTTGTCCACCTGCATGGAAGAGCGCCAAATCAGGCAGCCAAGGGGTTTCATATAGGACAAAAAGGCGGAAAGGGAGGAAAGACACGTTAAAATTGCCGGGAGAAAGACACCACTCAAGGTGGAGCAGCATAGGAAATGGACGGAACTGGGTCGACAAGAGCAGAGAACGTAGTGGCCTGGCAAAGGCGGTGGTATAGGGTAGTGGTGAATGGCCCAGGTAAACGTGAGGGGAACACAGTGGGAAACACGAGCACCAGGGTGATTCGTCAGTAAGGGTGGGGGAAGGGGTGGGGGGAGAGGTGGGGTGGGAGGTGAGGTGGGGGGTGGGGTGAGGGTTGGGGTGGGAAATGGGACGGAAGAGAAGGAGCCAGGGACAAATGGAAGAGGTGATTGAGCCTTACCTAGATCCCAGACTTGGAACTTTATGTTCTTGTATTGAACCGTCTCTACATTGAATCCAATGGCTGCAGCACAGCTCCAACACCACAAGAGACAAAACGCATAACATTTAGGTCGTGTGTTATACAATTCTGAAACGCTCCACTTCAAACGCCACTGTGCAAAGGAACACACTATATCGTTGTTAGCCACTCTACGCTCTAATTTAATCCCAGTTTGTACCCCATGATCCATGCCCGGATCGCGGCACCCTAATTCGCGTGTTGCAGCTTTGGCTATTGTTAAAAATAGTGAAACACCAGGTGGCAACGCCATAAAAGAACCTTGTGAAAACAAGTCCAAGGATGAGCTTACTTGGAATTGTCGAGACCACCTCGCCGACCTGCAACCGATCTGCAGGCAGAGAGGAAGGGTCAAAGGCAAGATGTCAATGCCAAGGGCTTGAAATCAATGAAGCATACACGATGAACGCGATTAGAACCAGAAGATGCATTCGCGAAGCGGTCGGGGCTCGTCGCGAGTCCAAAGTCGATAGCGCTTCATCCATGCACCTGCTTTGGCTGGCCTCCGCTACCCAAAGACTTCACCTTTTCGGCCACGAAGCACCAATAAAGGAATGAACGAACCTCTATGACGAACGAGACACTTCAGTATCTGACATTGTACGACGTATAGGTCGCGCTAATACGGCATATTAAACGGCAAAATAACCTCCTGCAGATAGTGTGCCAAATTGGATGGCAGCAGATTTCTTCCTGCTAGTATTAGTGGACGGCAAGGAAATTCCTCTTGCTAGTATGTCATTCCGGACGGCACGTGAACTCCTTAACGTTAAAATACCATAATATTGATTGATCAGAACATTTGCCGAAAGGATCATCTCATCACAAGGATCACTTGATCGCAACCGTCCGATTGGTGCCCAACTAGGTGATATCCAGGTACAAATCTAACGCTGAAATGGAAGCCAATGTCTAGTTGACGTACAAAGGATGGTGGTTTTGCCGGCATTGTCGAGGCCCAGTACGAGGATTCGTGCTTCTCTCTCGCCGAACAGTGAGCTCAGCAACTTTGATATAATCACACCCATCAGGTGTCAACCGATCTCTGTCAGACTATCTATTATTTCTATGTCAGGCAGCCTGTAGATAATCTCTAATAGTTTGTGGCAGTTACAGTCGTCGAGCTCATATATCGTCGTGGAGGATATAGTCGCTTTGTCGTGGCCTCACAGAGTCATTTCGCTCCTACGAAAAGAGTTGAGACCTTCTCATCAAGGTTGAGGTACGAATCTGCGACGACCCACTACACACGACGAGGCTCGCCTTCAAACAAATCGCGGCGGCGAGAAAGCCACAGAACGGACGGTGAAAACGCAGAAGGCGACGACGAACGAAGAGGTAGCTCCTAGGTATTATGTCCTTGTGCTAAAGCAGGAGTGAAATAGTGAGCAGAAATCGGCAACACATGGAGGCGAGAGGAATGGCAATTTTGATCGTGACGGAATTCTCGAGACAAGCACAGATCCTGATTCGTGATTCGGCCTCCTGGGACCGTGGGACAAGCCAGCAACGGCTCTTTCTGCACTTGTGATTGTATGGAGCGTGTCATGTGAGAGGGAAAGTTCGGGAGTTTCCATGGCCAGGTCCTCGCGCGTTACGCGCTACAAGACCTAAAGAACACTTCGCAGTCACTCGTGTACGCAATATCTAATCGTCTACCAATATGAACAAGTAATTATTCTTGGAGATTTTAGGCAGAACAGTCTGATGCCATACGGTACAACATGAACGCCACATCATTATTCTTTGATTTTTTGGCATCACTTGTTGGCGCCTACCGCGATGATGGCGGCCCCGTCCCTTTTATTGTGACGGCCAACCTTGCAAAGGGTGAGGGGTGAGATGAAGAACAGGAGCACATACTCATGATTACAAAGAAGCCATGAAGTTTTACATTCTCATCCGTTTTTGAGATATCAACTTCAATCATTCTCATCTCCTTGAAGCCATGAAGTTTTACATTCTCATCCGTTTTTGAGATATCAACTTCAATCATTCTCATCTCCTTTCGCCCAACGCTTATACGACTTAAGGAGAGGAAGTTTGGTCTTGCACATCTCCCTCGATTGCAATCCTCGGCCTGCAAGCACCTGGTGCATGGTGGACTTTAGGTCGCCTCAGAATACAACAGGTAGAGACGCACCTGGTGCATAGTGACCATGGAGAGGTGGCAGTTCCAAGCAGCAAGCGGGCGGAGGAGTAGGCGGGGCACAGGTGCAGTTTTTGAGTAAACCCAAAGGGTATCTCGAGAGATGCACCTGGCGCATGGTGACCATGGAGAGGTGGCAGTTCTAGAGAAGCGAGCAGTTCCAGACCATGGTATAAAAGGAACAAGAGAACATATACGTAATTATGACTGTAAAAAAAAAAAAACAAAACAAAAAAGAGTTACAAAGACGTTCAACCTTTCCCCTGCACGCACCTGGTGCATGGTGACCATGGAGAGGTGGCAGTTCCAGAGCAGTGAGCAGGCGGAGGAGAAGGCGGGGCGCAGGTGCAGCGGCACCAGGCGGAACGACGCAAAGCTGGCCGGCAGCCAAAAGTGCCACCCGCGCCGCCACGTCCGCAGGAAGTCTCGCTGGTACTTGTCTGCGCGAGAGGGGGAAGACGGGAGGGAGGCCAAACGGCAGCCATTCTTGTTGCGAAGCAAAGACAATTGAATGTTTGTAGAAGGACAGTGCATGAGTGTTTGAACACAATCACAGCAGCAGCAATATTGGAGGGGCCTGACAACACGAGACACACCTTTCAGTGCATGCAGCTGACCCGTCCACGCATAGTTGAACGCAAACACAGAAGCAATCAGGCACACTGATTCAGCAGAGCATGAGACGCCATGCTGGCGTTGCTTCTAAGAATTCTCAAAAGCAACACGTGACACACCTTTGAGCGCATGCAGCTGTCCCATCCACGCATAGTTGAAAGCGAACACAGCAGCAATCAGGCACGGATTCAGCAGAGCCTGAGACGCCAGCACCTTCCCCACAGCGGCGCCCAAGCTTCTCCCTGGCGCTGCCGTCTCCACCAGGGGGTAACACACGTGCAGCGCGGGTCCATATATGCAAGTGCTGGCATGTATAGTTAAACGCAAAGACAGTAGCAGCAAGTTTTGGGGAGACGCATAACACACACCTTTCAATGCATGCAGCTGGCCTGTCCACGCGTAATTATACGCAAACACAGCAGCGATCAGGCACGGATTCAGCAGAGCCTGAGACGCCAGCACCTTCCCCACAGCCGCGCCCAAGCTTCTCCCTGGCGCTGCCCTCTCCACCAGCGGGTACCACACGTGCAGCGCGGGTCCATAAATGCATGCGCCGTACACCATCATTCGCAAGGATCTCGCTGCATGGAATGTTGGTGCTGGTCCTGCTGCCGCGTTGCCAGAGCCGTCTCTATACATGGCGCTGCTGTCGCTGCTACTGCTGCTGCTGGCGCTGCTGCTGCTGCTGCTGCTGCGGCTGAGGGTGGCTTCGTCTCCGCGCGTGTCGCTTGCCTGCTTCGCGCCTCCGCGCCTGTCGCGGATCTGCGCTTCTTTTCCAACTGACGAGAGCTCGATGCACTGCGCGCATACGTCCCCGCCCGCCAGCAGCGCGCCTGACGTCGCGGACGTGCGGAGCAACGGCGGAAGGCGCGCGACGGACTGGAGAACCGCGGAGGCAACGGGGGGAGCGCGGATCTGCCACGCGCGGCGGACGCGTGACTGGAAATGGTCGACGAGCTGGAGAAGCGCACCAGTGGTAACCCGATTTGCGTCCCCTCCGCCTTCTCCCCCGCCCTCCTCCCCTCCTCCGCTTGAACCACGTCCGCCGGAACCGCTGCCTCCCCCTGATCCCCCGGACCCGCTGTTGCCCCCCTCGCCACCATCATTCTCTCCCCTCTCCCCACCCCCTCGAGAATCTCCCTTCCGCCCGATTGATCTTCCCCCGTTCCCCGATCCGCTTGTTCCGCCTCTACTGATCCCGCCTCCGCCTTCCCCCCCATGTGCGCGTCTGCTTCCTCTGCCATTCTCGTCGCGCACAGCGCGGATAGTCCTTTTTCGAGCTCTGCGCTTTATCAATTGATAAGCAGCACCAGAAGGCGCTCCGGTATTTTCGACGGTGTCACGACGCGCTGCGATAAGCGCTGTTGTGAAAGTGGCACGACGCGGCGAGCCGGCGGAGCGGGAACGGTCGATTGCGGAGAAAACAAAGGAGCACGCGGGAGGAGCGGAAGCCGCCATTTGGGATGACAACGACCAGCGGTGACTGGATCGGTTTTTGAAACTCAGACCAATCGTCGCGTGATTCAAACGCCTGTGATGCAAATACTTGAGATGCAACCCACCAGCCGTGGTGCTGTGCGGTTGACGCTGCAGTCATCGCTGGAAGTAGCGGGTCTGGCGGGTGGAACGGAAGAATGGGCCAGGTGGAATGGCAAGAGGGTGGAAAGGGTGGGCAGCATGGGATGGGAAGAGTGGGGTGGTGTGGGGTGATTTCGCCAAGAGTTTCGAAATGCAGGCTACGGTCGTCGAAAATCTGAATTACCTGCGGCGACGTTCGTCAAGGTTGAAACAAGGGTTCGCTTTGAGACAATGCACAACCCTAGGTTCCACACTGGGGCTGCGTCGTGATTGGCTGTTTTCGTTTGTCATTTGGTTGTGACGCGCTTCCGTGAGGTTAGCCCAGGCGAAACTCATTAGAACACGACACGGGAAGTAACTTTTGAGCGACGGAAACGGGTAACCCTTCGTGAGGCCCCGACAAAACGTCTTCGTGCCTACACCACGGCCACGAGCCTCCACCCACCCAGCGTTGTGCTGCTAGCAAAGCCTCTTCCCTGAGAGAATGACTCCAGTGGCCAAAACGGTGATTCACCATCCCTCGCGTGGCCACGAATGACACGGGTGGCCACCAAATTTGGTGATAATGACTCGAGTGGCCACGCCAGGGGATTCCTTCCGGTTTGTTTTTACCCGGCACATTACCCTACAAGGGATTGTATCTCCGAAACTTCTGTACGGATTATTGCCCGATTTTCATTATCCGAAAATTATGCTCTTGACATTATATGACCACGTCTGATTGGATGCGCATTGCCAAAAAAGGCACTGCGCATATAATCGACCAGTCGTTCGCGGCCATTAAATCCCGCGCAATGACGCACGGGCATTGCAGTTTATGATCGCGGAAATATATAACGGAGCATTAATATATGATTCCCGCGACCATTACTATATGTTCGGGCAAAACAAATAAAACTCATGGCTTACGGCATGCCACTCGGGAGCCTCAACCCTAAAATTTTAGGGTTGAGGCTCCCTAATGGCATGCCTTCCGTATAGGGTTTATTTTTTTTCTTGCCCGCGCTGACCCATTGCACTGGCTGCTGACGCAGGCAGTGCAATATATATCCCAATCATTCGCGGTCATTAAGGACGTGGCCCAGACCGCTTCTAATTGCCTCGATCAGAAGCGATCAACAACTTCCACGAAGCCCCACGGCCAATTTCAGGCAATCAGGGGCAATCAGCTGATCGCGATCAGTTGTTCGCCCCAGCTCGATCAACCGCCTCAAACACCCCAATCACACACAATCACACACAATCACGCACGATCAGTTGATTGCGTTGGGTTGCGGCCCTATGCGATGCCAACGAAAAGTTACAATTTTCGTGTGGATTTGGAGTACCCCTCTTCTTTCTCGAGCCGTCACTTTGTGCTGTCTCTCTGTGCGAAATTACAGGGTGACACAAGTATCGCTGGATCAGTGCCTTAACCTTTCGCAGTCGCCAAAGCTGCCCCGAAGCTGGTAAGAAATGTGTTTTTGCTTGCCATGCACCATCACGTTACATTCGATGAATTTCAGCTCTGATCGGGCGGCACGAGCCGCGCGATCAAAGTCGCTCCGATCAGATCCAACCCGACCAGATCACTGCCAATCAGACCCGGTCTGGGCCACAACCTAAATCGCACGGGCATTGCAGTTTATGATCGCGGAAATATACACATGATCGGGCATTACAGTATATGATGCTCGCGAGAATAAAAAGCCGCGCATGATTGGTAGATTATATGCGCGTCCGGTCAGGCGCGGTCATATAGGGTCACGAACATAAAATTCGTATATAAATGATCGCGCAATAACCAGGACAAACATTCGGACGATACTTTCAGGGTTTCATCAGGCTACCTCGGGATCTGTCCAGAAGTCCAATTTCAATGGCGCTTTGGAGTTTAAGCTTTCAACAGCATACATGCTCGTCTTTAATACTATTAAGGAATACGCTTTCGAGGTTTCCACCTCGAGATTTCATCCTTTCCTTCTGGAGCGTCTCGCCTCAGACAGTTGCACAAGACTATTTAACAATGCGGTGTTCAGAGTTAAGGCATCTGAAGCATCAGAGGCTTCTTCTTTTGCTCAGCACAAGGCAGAGCTGCTTTTTCCTCATCATCACACCATGGCTACGCCTAAGGGCTCGCGCTCCAAGACCACTACGGACCCTCCTGCTCCTCCTGTGGACACTGATGTTAATATCCCGGATGGTCCTGCACTGTCGCCGAACAAGGAAGATTCAAATACGGCAGTTAATGTTCCTGCAACGGCCGGCGGATCTGGCCTCAGCGTTGCTGATAAAGCTGCGGACAATGCGTCCGAAGGGAAAGCCGTCGTCGACGACTCACCTGTTGACGATGATGGCTTCATTGAAGATTCGGATGACGAAATGGAGATGGATCTGTCCCTGGAAGCGGAATGTCGTCTTCGTACCGCTATCATTCTGCTTATTCCGTTTGCCCTGCACAAGGAAATTTCATGCATTATCATTGCTGTTCGTATGCTGATTAAACGGGGGTGGAATGCAGAACTTTCAGCCGAGGCTTCTACGCCTTCAACGAAGTTTCAGGAGTTACCTGCTGCTTATTTCGCCAAGGAGCGCTTCTGCAGGCTTCAGGTCTCCTTCGTCCATGAATCAGATGCGGATGTGGTGAAGCGCAAGGACGTGTTGTATCAGCGGCTGAAGGGGGACCTGGTCACCCTGCACTGGCAACACACAGAGGATGCGGCCTTTTCCAGGGAGAAGGCCTTCCACCCGGAGGCTATTGAAGCTATCATCAAGGGAGTTGCGGCCACAGTGGAGCTGGACATGATCACCAGGAGGCTGTCTACGTACCCGCTTACCAGCCGCAAGAGGCCTGCGTTCTTGCGCTGCTCCAACTTCCACCGTGTGCTCCACCCGGTCACTGGCGCCGATACGGACATTGTCAAGGGACTGGTATACGCTCACCCCAGGGACAAGCACCGCTGGCTCCACACAATCGCCGACCCTGCTAACAACGCGAGCAGGCTCATGGTCCATTATCCTTCGCTAGTTTGTGCGCTCTGTGGTGGTCAGCAGTATGATAAGTATCATAATGCCTTCGTCACCGAACGCCAAACTAACGTAGGGAAATGGAACCTGACCCTGGGTAAAGCGCACAGACTTAACGGTAACAAATCCCGGCTCCGCTCTCATACTAACAAACTCTCGTTTTGCATTACCTTACCGCCTACTAACCTCTCGCCTGACTGTTGCAGCTGCCTCTCTGCCGGCCTCGTCGCTGATTCTTCCCCTGCTGCAAGATCCTGCTATTGCTCTGATCTCTACGGGAAGCAACAGGGAGGAGTGGCTGTGTACTCAGGCCGGCTGCATGAAAGCTCACGGCAAATGCTTCATGTCTGCCTCCGACCACATCATCTCAGCGGCTCACCTGACCAACCTGGAGAAGACAGGCACAGCGACAAAGACCTCGCTCGAGAAGATCAGCCTTGCGGTTATCAGGAAAGATTACGGCATCTGAACTCCACCCTCGCAACTGCAGCTCGTATCTGTTCGGTAGTCAGTGTAGCTTGTTCCATCGCTTTTATCAGCCTGTGGATGACGAAGGGCTGCCAAGCAGTGATTAAATGATTAACAAGAAAAACCTCCTCTCAGTCGCCGGTCTCAATGTTAACGGCCTAGGAGACGGCGTTAAGCAAGATAGGGTCACGGAGTGGTTAAAAGATGCAGCAGATATAGTGGTACTTACAGATACTAGATTAGTTGATTCTCACCCTTACTGGTCTTCACAGCGTTTCCAGACTGTCGCAGCAGCCACTCCCAAAGCGAAAGCAGGCGGAGTTGCCATTCTTTGTAGAAACCCAGCTCTTACCTTCTCAAACACATCACCTCATGTCTCAGGCCGCATCATCCGCACTGATGTCCACGGTCACGGCATCCGTTTCACTCTTCTCGCAGTTTATTTTCCGGCCGACTTAGCTCACAGAACCCCTTTCGTCCTCCACACACTCGGTCCGGTCGTTGATCAGGTAGCACCGAGCTCTCACCTCCTGATCATCGACGATCTGAACATGGTGGATCTTGATCGCACGTCAGGCCATGGTACATCAGCTGAAAATGACAGGCTCTTCAACCGATGTCAGGCCTTCCAGCTTTCGGATGCCTTTCGCACGCTCTATCCACGCAGCAGGGAATTCACCTTCTACTCACCGTCGCAGAATGCTAGCTCCCGCATTGACAGAGCCCTGATCTCTCTCTCGCTTTTACCTTTTCTTGCTGACTCAGCACACATCACCCCCGCTGACAAAATCTCGGATCATGGTTTCGCAGTTCAGGTTACTCTGAAGGTTGACACCAAGGCGAGGCTGGGTCCAGGTATCTGGAGGATGCAGGCTGCAATGGTAAACAGACCCGGGGTTCGGCGGATCATTGAAGAGGTATTATCGAAAATACAGGTAACAGACGGTAAAAGCTTCGAGTTGCTGCTGGCAAGGCTTAATGTGCGTCTGCGTGCGTATACAAGGGAGGAGAGTAAACGCATTCGCGCGACGTTCACTCACCTGATGTCGGCTGTAGCAGCTCTTCGGCAGGCAGTAATGGCAAACCCGAGCTGTAGCCGTCTGCGCGGTCTTCTTGAGGAAAAAGAAGTGTCGCTGAAAGAATACCTATCTAAAAAGCGTGACCGGCAGCACCTGTTGGCGGGCCTGGACATGGAACATACTGGGGAGGTCACCGGGAAGCAGTTGTCGGCCCTGACCAAGACACGGAAAAGCAGGACAATGATAACAGAGGTTAGCATTGGAGGGACCTCAGTGTCAGGTGCGCAGGGGGTACTCACAGCAGCCTCAGACTATTTCAGAGGGATTTTCGGGAAGGACAAGAGGCTTGATTTCAGTGACTGGAAGCCAGTGTGGGACAGACAGCTGAGAGCTCAGGAAGCAGTGAGTTTGGATGCAGACTGGACCGAGGAGGAGGTGCAGGCTGCTTTCGCGTCACTGGCAAAAAACAAGTCGCCGGGCAGTGATGGCATGCCAAAGGAGTTCTTCGAGGCCAACTGGGACCTCCTGGGGAAGAGCTTCATGGCGCTGGTCAATGATTTCTCGGAGACGGCGACTCTCCCGGATGCGGTGAAGGGTGCTGTAACGATTCTCCTGCACAAAAAAGGAGATAAGGATCAGCTGGGGAATTACCGGCCGATCACGCTGCTGAATTTCACGTACAAAATTCTGGCCAAAGTGTTGGCAGAACGGATGAAGAGGGTGCTGCACCGGGTAATCTCCCCAGATCAGTATGGCTTCATTCCTGGGAGAAGGCTCACAGACGGGGTCGCGCTGGTTGCAGACATCATCGATGCGGCAAAGAACAAGAGTGAAGACTGGTTCCTGCTGCTCGTTGATTTTCAAAAGGCCTTCGACTCTGTATCGAGGGGCTTCATCTTCCAAGTGTTGAGGCGCATGGGCTTCCCGGAGCGTTTCGTGTCGTGGGTTGAAGGCCTGCACTCACACACTACAACAAAGATGTTGCTCAACGGCTGGCTGGGGGAAGGCATTGAGGTGGTGTCAGGAGTTCACCAAGGGTGCCCCTTAGCCCCTTACCTGTTCCTGTGCGCAGTGGAGCCGCTGGTGCAGGATGTGGAGCGGAGAAAGCTGGGGCTTGAGATTGGCGGAAAGAGGCTGTCGTACCTCGGGTACGCGGATGATACCACGCTGGCTCTGCAAGGGAAGCAGCAGATTGTTAGGGCGGAGGGCGTCCTGACAAAGTTTGCGAAGAAGTCGGGACTGTGCATAAACGCGGAAAAAACAATCGTCTTACCACTCGGTCGGAATCGTGGGTACAAGGCGCCGACGAGCAGTACCTTCAAGTGGGCGGAACCGGACGATGCAGAGAGACTGCTGGGTGTATGGGTCACCCCGGACGGTAGCGGGCTCCCCACCTGGGAGAAGGCACTGGAGGAGATTGCGAAAAGGCTGGTGAAATGGAGGCAAAAATATCTCACGGAGAAAGCAAGGGGAGCGGTGGCGAATGACTACATCCAGCCGATTATGACTTTCCAGGCGCAGGTTTACCCGCCTCCTGCGAAGATATGGGGGGAGCTGGAGAGAATGATTCACAGCTTTGTCTCGGGGAACAAAGTGACATCGACGCGGGGTTTCTTTCTCTGGAGCAAAGAGCTGCTGTACACCCCCCGGAGTGAGGGTGGCCTGGGGGTGAGGGACCCAAGCATCACGCTCGCATGTCTGGCCGCGAGGAGAGTCGGACTGTTGTTGGCAGAGACGAACCAGTTGAAGCGGGATTTAATGATTCAAGCGGCAGATCTCCCGCTGGGGCTGGACACTTTCATGTCACATGACTGCTTCCTGCGACATTGGGAAGGGAGAAGTCAGCGGTGGAAGCAGACGTGTGAAACTTTCATGAAGTCGCCGCTCTGCATCAAAACGGTTAATGTGTCGCGGGAAGCAGTTGCGAAGGAAAGGCTAGTGTTCAACAGGGCAATCATGGTCGGAACGGCCACGCCTGTGGGAGGTCAGAAAGACGCTGAACCACTCTGGAACTTTAGGCTGGGAGACATGGTGAAACGACTGCAGGACGGTAGCTGGGCGCTGAAAACCATGGAGGAGCTCACAGCGAGGCTAGGAGGCAAGGGGCCGGCTAGACTCGCGCTGAGGGGTTTCGCAGCAGCGCCTGAGGAATGGAGAACCTGCTTGCTGACCCCTGCTGCAAGCTCGGCTGGCTCCACCCAGGGGGACCGGAGGCGACTCCCGCAGCTGCCAATCTTGAGAGACGGGGGAGTGATTCCGCTCAAGGAGATGAGGAGCCACTGGAAGGGGCAGCGCGGGCAGTCACACAGGATGCTGAGATGGGCCAGCAAGTGGAAGGGCTCTATAAACTGGAGGCTTATCACGGGCATCAGAGAATCACTTGCCACACCCAATCGACCGAGGGACATGTTGACACGGCTGTACAATTTCAATCTTCAAGTGGGGGAGAGATTGGCCTTCCTGGCGGACAAACCGATGTGTCCACACTGCGGGGATGTGGAGACACTGGAACATTGTTTGTTCACCTGCCCGAGGATTCAGATGGTGGTGTCGGCGCTGAAGAAATCGCTCCGCCAAATCAACCCACTCCGCGAAACAGAGTCTCTGGGGGATCTGCTGTTCCGCAAGGCTGGTTCGCGCACTGCTTTTCCGGAGGTGACATTGATTGCAATCACGCTGCACCAGCTCTGGTTGGAGAGATGCGAGGCGGTCTTCCGGGGGAAGAAGTTTCGTGCGCGGAGGGTGCTGAGAAGGATTATCTTCGCCTTCAGGCAGCATGCACGGGTCTATGTGAAGGCCCGCCACTCCACGTGGCAGAAAAGGAAGAACACGGCGCGAGCTGGCAAGCTCCAAAAGGAATTACTGGAGGACCATCGCCTTCTAAGCAGGATAAAGAAAGCTGACGACAAGAAGTGGACCTGGACAAGATCTTTCGAGTCCATCTGGTCCAATCCTAAGACAGTGTACAACCCGCCGTAGACACCCGCTGGGGCAGTCGGCCCTGCCCTCGCTTAAAACCGAAATGCAAAATAGTGAACCCGGGGCCAGCTTGAAAGAGGGCTTGCCGTGCGAAACAATTTTCGAACCAAACCGACAAGTTTCCAGTATTTCAGTTAGAGCGTTTTTAGCAGATCCAACACATCTGATTGGTTCCCGCCAAAACCCGAAAGAAGGAACACAGCACGTCAGTCGTCGCATATCAGTTTGGTAACCTGCCACTGCGATCGCTCATGCACGTCCTTGCGATTTTGGGCCCAGCTTGGGGTTCAAGTTGGGCCTGGGTGAACAACTACTAGTTCTTCTGAACATACATCTTTGCTTCTTAGTTATTTGTAGCATGTCTAGCCATAGAACTGTCAACTTAGGTCGTTGTTGTTTCAATTTAGACGCGTAGTGAAGCTGGCATGGTTGTGTAGTACTTAGTGCCGTTTCGAATGCACTCTCGCGCCTTCCCATCTCATCTCGCTCGCCCTCCCATTCCGATCGTCCACGCTCCGTCCGTCCTGACGTCGTCCCGTCGACCGCCGCGTCGCGATCCTGTCGTCCGTCCCGTCGCTGTCCCGTCGCCCTCCTGTCGTCATCTCCATTACCCCTCTCCTCCAATCACCCTCGCGTTTTTCCTGTCGCTCCAATCGCCTTCTCCTCTCCCTTCTCGTCCCTCTCTCTCTCTCTCGTCGCTCCCTTTCCATTGCAATCGCCTTCTCCCAACCCTACCCGTCGCTCGCTCTTTCTCCCCATCCCCTCCAGTTGCTCTCGGTCTCTTCCATCCCTTCCCGTCGCTCTCGCTCTTCCCCCTCGCTTCCCGTTGCTCTTGCTCTCTCCCCTCCCTTCCCGTCGCTCTCTCTCTCGCCGCTCCCTTCCAGTCGCCCTCGGTCTCTCCCATCCCGTCCCGTCGCCCTCGCTCTCTCCCCTCCCGTCCCGTCGCTCTTGCTCTCTCCCCTCCCTTCCGGTCGCGCTCTCTCTCTCGCTGCCCCTTGCGCGTCGCTCTCTCTCTCGCTGCCCCCTGCGCGTCGCTCTCTCTCTCGCTGCCCCCTGCGCGTCGCTCTCTCTCACGCCACTCCCTTCCCGTCGCCCTAGATGCAGTCGTCGCAAATTCCTCTCCCACCCTCCATCACCCTCCCCATCGCGTTCCCGCTCGCCACGAAACGCCTTCCCGTCCCGCACCCACTTTCTCCTCCCATCGCCTGCCTCGTCGCCTTCGCGCTCGCACTCAAACGCGCTCCCCGCGTCCTTCCTCTCTCCCTTCCCATCAACCACCTCGTCGCCCTCGTGCTCGCCCCAAAATGCCTTCCCATCGCCTTTCGTCTCTTCTCCCCAATCATTAATCTCTGAAACGCTCTCCAGTCGCCCATCGTATCCACCCGGTTCATCACCGACCTCGTCGCCCTCGCTCTTGCTCTGAAATACCCTCTCCGCGCCCTTCCTCCCTCCCCTCACAATCTGTCTTCCCTCCCCGCATCCCGTCGTTCTTCCTCTCTCCCCTCTCATCTGGTCGTTCCTCCTCTCTTCCCTCCCATCCCGTCGTTCTTCCTCTCTCCCCTCCCATCCCGTTGTTCCTCCTCTCTTCCCTCCCATCCCGTCGGTCCCCCTCTCTCCTCTCCCATCCCTTGTTCCTCCTCTCTTCCCTCCCATCCTGTCGTTCCCCCTCTCTCCCCTCCTCTCCCGTCGCCCCCCTTGTCCCCAGTCCCTTCTCTTCGCCTTCGCTGTCGATCAATCAACCGTCCCGACGCCCTCCCTCTTTTCGTACATCATTGATTTATTTATTTATATCTTCTTCGCCTGGTTTCACCTGTGCGTGCCATGGATTTTGCTTGATCATGCCTGTGTGCGCGCTGGATTTTGCCTGTTTTTGCCCGTGTTAGCGCAGGAATGGGCCTGTTTTGCCTCTGTGCGCACTGGATTTCGCCTGTGTGCGCGCTGGTTTTTGCATACAGGGATTCTTGTGAAGTTACGACGGCTGCTCTGGTGAATGTGGGATTGCAGCCCTGCGCCAAATTCGCATAGGAATGTGGGTGAAAGTCGCCACCAATCAGATTTGTTAACAAGTTCCATATGTTTCCCGTTCAGATCAAGACTCGTCTGGGATGAAAAAAATAAAAACGCACAGCACGTCAACTTTTCAAACGTTCGTAAGAGACTTGTGTTTTCAAGTGGACCCAACTAGAAGGGGGGGGTCACTATTTTAGCTGCTGGCTTTAAAGCGGTTACGACCGATATTGTTTGTATGCATCAACTACACCATGTATACTTACAATTCAAAAAAAAAGGACAAACATTCGGGGCTACAAACCCCCGTAGGGTAATGCGCCGAAGAAAAAAAGCCAGCAAGAATCCCCTGGCGTGGCCACTCGAGTCATTATCACCAAATTTGGTGGCCACTCGATTAATTCGTGGCCACGCGAGGGATAGCGAATCACCTTATTGGCCACTGGAGTCATTCTCTCCTCTTCCCTTGAATCGACCGCCTGGATGCTAGGCTTTCTGCGTCCTGAAATGTATATGTGGGACGAAAACTACAGGTAGTTCTTACAGAAGCAATTGAGATGATTTTGTATCAACCGAGCTCCGCCATGATTCAGTCATCTACGTTGTAGCCCGTATAATCTCGTTCATAACTGGTCCCCTGCCTTAGTTCCATTCAGCCTAGTGTGTTACAGTACTGGACGGTAGTCTTAGCACATAGTTGTGAACCATTTGCTCTTGAGGGGTTTCAGCTGAACCATTAGCTCGGCTTCGACAGTAGTTTTCATCTTAGCGGATAGCAAGAGGTGCTTCGAGGCAACATTATATAGCGTTACGGAGGAGAGCGAAGTTGATTGGTCAAACGAAAGACGATATCGAGTCGGTTTACATTACCATGCCTGTAGTTCGCACGTCAGCGATCGGTTAACGATTGGTTAGCGTACGTCGCAGTGGTCGTTCGAAATGGGCCGTTCTTCGCCCGTGCGACTGTCGCTTCTGCCTCTGCTGCTGCTCGCACTGTCGCATGGCGGAGTTGGCGTGTCAGGTACGCGTTGTGCGACGTCCAAACATTTGCTCGCGTTGAGCGATTGCTCACACTCTTGCATGGCGGCGCAAGAGCGTCGGGTACGAGTTGTGAGACGCCTTAACAATTCCTCTGAACAAATGCTCACACTGTCACATGGCGGAGTAAGGGTGTCAGGTACGAGTTCTTGTCCGCAGTGCTCTTTGAACCGCACCTTAATGCTGCTCGAACTCCATCTGGGACCGCGTGCTGTTTTTTTAGACTTCTTAGAAACAGACGACTTTTGAGACGTCTGAAAAGCAGACGACTTTTGAGACGTCTGAAAAGCAGTGCTTCGCCTTGGACCGCATCTTAGTGCAACTCGGACTCCGTTTGGGACCGCATGCTATTGCTGCTCAGTCCGTGCCTGCTATCCGTTTGGGCAAAGTTGTGAGCGAGGCTGCATTCGTGCGTGTACGTGGCCACAGATCGAGCATCAGTGCATGCCCGGGTACAATTCTGAGCCTGTGTGCATGCAAGTGGCACGAAGCTGTATTAAACCCCTCCCTCCATCGCCTCGTTCCTTCTGTCCCCTCACAATCCCCTCCCCCTCCACACACCCTCAACACCACCTCCCTTACCCCCAACACCCCCGTCTTTCCCTCCGTGCAGGTCCAGTCGTCCCGTTGCGATCGGCAGAAGGGGCGCCATGGGACCATGCCTGAGAGCACGTGGATCCTTACTCGCCTTGCTCCCTCACTCAACCAACCCCCCATGACCCCCTGCCCCCCCTCCACCCTTTTGCAGCCTCCAGTCCCCCCACTGTGATCGGCAGGAGGGCCGTCATAAGCCCCATGCTTGAGAGCACCCCATCCCCACCTTCACCCCCACCTTCACCCCCCCCACTTCCCCCCTCGCCCCCCACTTCCCCCCTGCACCATCTTGCAGGCTCCTCTCGCCCCATCGTGATTGGCAGGAGGGGCGCCATGGGCCCCATGCCTGAGAGCACGCTGGAGGGATACGAAAGGGCCATAGCTGATGGAGCGGACTATGTGGAGTGCAACGTTATCTGGTGAGGGGGGGTGTGACTATAGCGGGGTAGGACTTCATCCGCAGATATTTGGTGGCCCATGCGTGAGAGCACCTTAGAGGGATCTGTTTATTTAGAATTCTTGAAAATCGAGAGGGGCATGGCCGATGGATGGAGTGGACTGTGTGGGCACCACCTTAGAGAGACTGTGAGGCAGACGCTGGTGGCTAAATTTCTAAGAAATCTCAACAATTGACTCCGCTATAGCGGATAGAGTGGACTCGTGATAACGCGGCGCACCACTCCCAATCACCCTGCGCCCATGTGTCCCCCCTCCCTTGGTGACCAGCACAGCAGACCTAGAGTTATCTGCTGGAACGACCTGGATCTGATGCTGGTGTTGTTGAATGTTTCGCACCCCCCATAGCTCTACCTTTTTCCCCCCCTTCTCGCCACCCCTTCAACTGACCAGCACGGCAGACTCTGAGCTGATCTGTTGGAACGACCTGGATCTGACACTGGTGACGAACGTGGTGCACCATCTAGAGCTCCCTCTCTTCTTGCCAACTCTCATCTACCCTTCACTCTCGGCTTCATGTTTCCCTTGTGCCCCCACGAATTCCAGCCAGCACGGCAGACTTGGAGCTGATCTGCTGGAACGACCTGGACCTGACGCTCGTGACGCACCACACTCTTGGGTACGCCACGCTCCTGCCCGCCCGTCACTCTTTGCCTCCTGGTTTCCACCATACCCCCCCACTCACCCCACACTCCTCCCACTGGCCAGCACGGCAGACTCTGAGCTGATCTGTTGGAACGACCTGGATCTGACACTCGTGACGAACGTGGCGCACCACCCCCAATCACCTCACACCACGCCCATGTGTCCCCCACTCTCTTCCCACCTGTGGTAACCAGCACGGCGGACTCGGAGCTCATCTGCTGGAACGACCTGGATCTCACGCTTGTGACGAACGTAGCACACCACCCGGAGCTGAGTCAACTCAAGTCAACGGCGGTCATAGAGGGCCAGGAGGTGGAGGGATTCTTCGCCTTCAACTTCACGTTCGAGCAGATTCAGATCCTCAGAGGTGGGTCTGGCACAGAGCGATTTGGTGGCCAGAGAGGTGGCTGGCTGGCACCACCCGGAGCTGAGTCAACTCAGGTCAACGGTGGTCAACGGTGGTCGTCAAGGTGGGAGAATTCCTCTCGTTCAGTTTCACGGTCGAGCAGATCCAGATTCTCAGAGGCGGGTCTGGTCTGGCACGTAGTGGTGTATTCGGTACGAGATGGTGCTTTTGCCACATAGCGGTCGGTGTTTTTTGGGTACACAATGGTGGGTGTGGCACATTCAATTCACGAACTCGCAAGTACACATGATTCTCCCCTCCTCTCTCCCTCCCCTCCGTTCCCTGCAGAGCAGTGGAGCAGCGATACCAGTGGCGGGACAAGACCTTGCACGGCCGTTTATGCATCCCCACGCTCTCAGCTCTGCTCGGCCTTGTTCCCCATCCCTTCACCCAACCCCCATCTCTTCCCCTTCGTCCCCTCTTCCCTCCCCTCCGTTCCCTGCAGAGCAGTGGAGCAGCGATACCAGTGGCGGGACAAGACCCTCCACGGCACACCAATCAATACACGTGCCTGTACACACGCTTCTCTCTCTCCCCCTCCCTCCTCCCTCCCCACCCCCCCCTCCCCTCCGTTCCCTGCAGAGCAGTGGAGCAGCGATACCAGTGGCGGGACAAGACCCTTCACGGCCGTTTATGCATCCCCACACTCTCCGCTGTGCTGGCCCTTGTTCCCATCCCTTCACCCAACCCCCATCTCTTCCCCTTCGTCCCCTCTTCCCTTCTCTTCCCTTCCCTGCAGAGCAGTGGAGCAGCGATACCAGTGGCGGGACAAATACCTTCACGGCACATCCACCAGTATATGTGCCAGTACACACGCCTCTCTCCCTCTCCCTCCTCCCTCCACCCTCCCTTCCCTGCAGAGCAGTGGAGCAGCGATACCAGTGGCGGGACAAGACCCTTCACGGCCGTTTATCCATCCCCACGCTCTCAGCTGTGCTTGATCTCGTGCTCTCCTCCAATCTAAACGCCGAGCTGCTCGCTGCTAGAGGCAACCGACCCGTGGGGCTGATGCTGGAACCCAGAGTGAGTGGGGGGGAGTAAAGGGGTGAAAGGTAGAGTGCGCAAGTGAAGAAAAGGTGTGCTTTGAGCTGTCACAACCCGCCCGCTCATCCCCACTCCTTGCTCTCCGCTGTGCTGGCCCCCATACTCTCCTCCAATGAGAGCCCCGAGCTGCTCGCTGCTAGAGGCAACCAAGCCAAGGGGATGATGCTGGAGAGTGAAGGGAGGAGTTGAACGAAAGTGCTGTTGTGTCCTCCTTCAATCTGACTCAGGAATTGACACTCAAAACTCAATCCTTACTCCATCCTCCCACTGTGTCTTTCTTCCTGCTACACGCCCCCAGTACCCTGTATTTCACGAGTCCATCGGCTGCCCTCTACTCGAGTCGCTCCTCTCTCTCCTCAGCATTAACCTGCAGCCACCACCCTGCCCCGCCCTTCCAACCCCTTCAACACCCTCACTTCTTTCCTTGCCCTTTTCCTCCCATATTTCGCAGTATCCCGAATTCCACGAGTCCATCGGTTGCCCGCTACTCGAGTCTCTCCTCTCTCTCCTCAGCGTTAACAACCTGCAGCCACCACCCCGCCCTTCCAACCCCCTCAACACCCTCACTTCTTCCCCTCCCATATTTTGCAGTACCCCGAATTCCACGAGTCCATTGGCTGCCCTCTCCTTGAGTCCCTTCTCAGCCTCCTCAGCGTAAACAACCTGCAGCCACCTCCCCGCCCTTCCAACCCCTTCAACACCCTCACCTCCTCCTCCTCCCCCACTGCCTCTCTCTCTGACCGCCTTGCTAGCATCAGCGCCAGTGCTTCTACAGCCGGTGCTGCTGGTACAGGCAATGCTGCTGCTACAGCTGGTGCTGCTACAGCCGGGGGGCGGGTTATGCTGGACCCAGCAGTGCACCCGGTGGTGATAGAGGCGAGGAGCGCTGCTGCCCTGGTCTACTGCAGCCAACGCACCTCCATTCCTCTCGTGCAGATCCTGGAGGAGGGGTGGGACGAGGTGAGGAGGAGTGGGACGAGGTGGGAAGGGGTGGGATGAGATGGGGAGTTGAAGTAAAACCATTCGTGGAGTTGTGGTGCAAGCACCTTCTCGGCCAAACCAGACGCTATCATACTCTCTTTGAACTCAAACAAACAACTTTTCTTCCCTGTTCCCCTGTCCCTCTCAACCCCACGTTATCCCCAGCCATCTGACACCAACCCCATCCTGCAGGCCCCTCCATCCTCCTGCCCTCCAACTGTTCCTCTGCGAGCCTGCATACCGGACGCCATATCACTCTACGCCGTGGCCGTCGCACCAGAGAAGCATCTGGTGCTGCCGGAGGAGTCGTGGCAAGAAGCTGCTACTAACCCTTCTTCTCCCGTTTCTCCCACCCCTCCCCCTCCCCCCCCCCGCACCAGCCATCCGACACCAACCCCATTCTGCAGGCCCCTCCTCCCTCCTGCCCGCCCACCACCCCTCTGCGAGCCTGCATACTGGACGCCATATCACTCTACGCTGTGGCCATCGCACCGGAGAAGCACCTCGTGCTGCCAGTGGAGTCGTGGCACAAGAAGCTGCTCAACCAGACCGATTTGGTCTCCCTCGCCCACGATCCAGCCCGCCAGCTCGCAGTCGTGCCGTGGCCCTTCGCCAATGACTGGATTTTCCTCTCGCTGAGCTATGAATTGGTGAGTGTCCCTTAGAGAGCTCACCACATCTGGTGTTGCCGGTGGAGTCGTGGCACAAGAAGCTGCTCAACCAGACCGATTTGGTCTCCCTCGCTCACGACCCCGCTCGCCAGCTTGCCGTTCTGCCCTGGCCCTTTGCAAACGACTGGATCTTCCTATCGCTGAGCTATGAACTGGTGAGCGCTCTCCCCCTTCCTTAGCGCACTCCCTCCCTCCCTTGGCTCAATCACTCAGGCCTAGTCCTTCTTACTCACCACCCAGTTCGCCGTGCTGTCGTAGCCTTTCGCCCACAATAGGATCTTCCTCTGCCTCACTTACGAGTTGGTAAGCGGTCCCTCCCCCCTCCCCCCTATTGAGTTGACTCAAAAGTCAGCTCGAGTTGGTAAGCGGTCTCTCCCGTGCGCTTTTGAGTCGACTCGAAAGTCGGCCCTTCAACAACAACTGGATCTTCCTCTCCCTCACTTACGAATTGGTAAGCGGTCTCTCCCCCCGTTAGCTCACCACCTACCAGTCAAACAAGCCGAGTCCCACTGGCGCGCCACCTTGCTCGCCAGCTTGATGTGCTGCCAACCAATCGCCAACGACTGGGTCTTCCTCTCCCTTAGCTATGAATTGGTGAGTGCTCCCTCTCTGCCTTCATCCCACTTGTTTCCCATTGTTTCGTCCCGTCTCTCCGTCTCTCCCCTCAGGACCCTTTGAATGAGTATGCTATGTTTGTGGAGGAGGTGAGAGTGGATGGGCAGTCCCATTCCTCCCTTCATCCCACTTCTCTCCTCTTGTGTCATCCTAACTCTCCTCTCCCCTCGCGTCATCCCATCTCTCCTCTCCTCTCTCTCCTCAGGACCCTCTGAACGAGTATGCCATGTTTGTGGAGGCGGTGGGAGTGGATGGGCTCTTCTCTGACTTCCCTGCCACCGCCCTTAAGTACCTCCGTAAGTGTTTCTTTTAGAATCCCCGTAAATATGTGAGCAGTCTCCCCTCCCCATTACTCGCTCGTAAAACTCACTCCCACTCACCTGTCTCCTGTGAGAGTGTCAGCAGCTGCATCAGGAGTGCTGGGCGTGCTGATTGCCCTGCTTTCTCGCTCCAACCCCAACTCGCTCAGATCGTGCCCCTCTCCCCCCACCACGAAACACTCCTCGGGGTGTTTTGAGACGTCTCAAAACAAATCTTCAGGAGTGCTGGGCGTGCTGATTGGCCTGCTTTTTCGCTCCAACCTTAACTCGCTCAGACCGTGCCCTTCTCCCCCCACCAAAAAACATTCACGGGGGTCTTGGGACTGCCTGGCTGGCAGCAGCATCAGGAGTGCTGGGTGGGTGTGTTGGTGTTTGCCGCCCAGTGGCTTTTGAGTCAAGAAGAAGGTGACTTAAGAATCACTTTGTTGGTGTTTGCCGCCCAGTGGCTTTTGAGTCAAGAAGAAGGTGACTTAAGAATCACTTTGTTGGTGTTTGCCGCCCAGTGGCTTTTGAGTCAAGAAGAAGGTGACTTAAGAATCACTTTGTTGGTGTTTGCCGCCCAGTGGCTTTTGAGTCAAGAAGAAGGTGACTTAAGAATCACTTTGTTGGTGTTTGCCGCCCAGTGGCTTTTGAGTCAAGAAGAAGGTGACTTAAGAATCACTTTGTTGGTGTTTGCCGCCCAGTGGCTTTTGAGTCAAGAAGAAGGTGACTTAAGAATCACTTTGTTGGTGTTTGCCGCCCTACTCCACCCCTCTGCCCTTAACTCACTCAAACTCCCCCTCTTCCCCCTCCCCTCCCCATCCCACCCGTAAAACACACCTCAGGGTCCCGGGACTGCCTGGCAGCAGCATCGGGAGTGTTGGGTGCGTTGGTGTTTGCTGCCCTACTCCTCCCTTCTGCTTTTAACTCACTCAGACTCCCCCTCCTCTCCCTCCCCTCCCCATCCCACCCATAATACACACATCAGGGTCTCGGGACTGCCTAGCAGCAGCATCGGGAGTGACTTTTGAGTCGACTCAGAAGTCACCTCTTCCCCCTCCCCTCCCCATCCCACCTGTAAAACTCACCTCAGGGTCTCGGGACTGCCTAGCAGCAGCATCAGGAGTGCTGGGTGCGTTGGTGGTGGCAGCACCAAGAAAACGAGGCCTGGCAGGTGAGTCGGGGAGGAATGTTGAGTCGACTAAAACTAAAACTAAAACTAAAAATCGTCTCAAACGAGGCCTGGCAGGTGAGTGGGGGAGGAATGGTTGCATAGAGGATCAAAGGGGTGGACGGACAGAAGAACGGGTGGAGGGAGGGCATGGGTGATTGGCTGCGTGGACTGACAGTCTTGAGGAGCATAACACCGATCCTTCCATCCCCATGGCTAGGCCTGGACTGACAGCCATGGCCAGGAGCTTGGCCTCGCCCTCCCCCCTTCCTCCCCCTCCCACCTATAGACCTCCTTCTCCTGGCAGTCATCGTCACAATTGCTGTCCTCCCCATGGCGGTATGGACGCTCTACGCCATGCACAAGTGGAGGCAGACGGGGCAGCATCTGCACTGGCAAGAGCTCGCCTTACCCGCCCATGACTTGCCCCCCCTGTAACTCCCTGCCTCTTTCACCCCAGACCTTCTAATCCTAGCTGTCATCGTCTCCATAGCCGTCCTCCCCATGGCGGTGTGGGCACTCTACGCCATGCACAGGTGGAGGCAGACGGAGCAGCATCTGCACTGGCAGGACCTTGCTTTACCCTGCCAGTGCTTGCCATCTCCGTTATCCCCTCCACCCCTTCCCCCAGACCTGCTGATCCTGGGAGTCATCATCACCATTGCTGTGCTCCCAATGGCCATCTGGGCGCTCTACGCCATGCACAAGTGGAGGCAGACGGAGCAGCACCTGCACTGGCAGGAGTTTGCGACCATCCACTCCCACGGCCCCACCACCGCCTCCGAAAGACAACCCCTCACGTCCTGTGACTCGGACCTTAGCCCTTCCTCTGCTGCCGCTGCCGCCGCGGCCGCTGCTGTTGGTGCTGGTGCTGGTGGTGCTGGTGCTGGTGCTGGTGGTGATGATTTGAGTCCTTCTGGTTTGTTCTCTCCCCGCATCGGCGCGCTCCACTTGCAGCACCACCGCCCGTCGTCTCCCCCGCCGCTGCCACCGGGGCTGGGGGGGGTTGAGGACGGATTGGCGTTGTCGTCAGCAATGGCTGGTGGGGGGCGGTCGAGAGGGGGCAGGAGAATCAGAGCCATGGACTTTGGGGAAGAGGACTGGTAGCAGTGGGATGCTGTGAAGGTGGTGGGTTAGGCAAAGATTGGTAAGGGCATCAGTGCGATCATCATTGCTGCTGCTCACGGCTGGTGGCTGCTTGAAAGCTCCTCCTGCCAACTGTTGTGTGGCAGGTAAAGCTTTGCTTTGAGTTGTATTATCATACCAGGAAGTAGGCATGCACTGCACAGCTCTATAATAGCATAAATAGGGCTGACAGGGAGCAGCCTTATTGGTAATGATGTACTCTACCTGCCTGTTTGTCCAGTCCACACATGCTCTCCTAGCCCTTGGGTATTATTACCACAGAGAAGTTAGCTTGAAGGGGGCCATACTGTAGAATGAAAAGTTATCAGATTATAGCTAGTGTGTTCACTCCGTTAGGGATGACTTATAATGCTAACACACTTTTGAGTCTGCGCTATTACAAGAGTGCTACAGCATTTGCATGAGGAACACAAAAAAAACACTTGGCTTGCATACCACCATACCAACTTAAATGAACACACTACAAGAACTGAAACGCATAATCAGCGACGGCTAATCCTCCTTGATAATTGTCACCTCCCTAATCTCCTTAGGAGATTAGGACGAGTTAGGGCTGCTGGATCCAGGTGAAAACTACATTTCTAGGCTAATCCTCCTTGATCATTGTCACCTCCCTAAGCACCTCAAGCCAGCGAGTTCTAGCTGCTGCATCCTGTGCTGCCTCTGCTCCCCTCTCCGATTGCTCCAATGCCTGCTGCAGCAGAAGGAACCTGCGTGCAGAGAGAGTGACACGGGACGAATAAGAGAGTACCTAACAAGGGTGCAGCAAGAGATCAACAAGAGAATAGCAAGCGCGAGCGACGGAAAAGCGCAACAAAAGAGAATGACAAATGGAGGTGTAGCAGTGGTACTTGTGCCCTCCCTGCTCACTCCTCCTCACCTCTCTTCACTCCCCACCGCATCAGCCAGTGCTATCCACATGCAAATCGCTGCCTCATCGCCCCTCACAGCCTCCCTCATAGCCACTCCATCCTTTCTCCCTCACCGCCTCCCACATCTCCCCCAAAGCACTAACTTCTCACCTTCCGCTAACAATCCTTCCCACATCTCTTCACTCCAAACTGCATCTGCCAATTTCCAAAACCCTATACGATATAAAAACCCCTTTCCTTACTTGTCTTTTCCTCCTCACCGATTCCCACCTCTCCTCACTTTTCACTCAACAGCGCATCTGCCAGGGGTATCCACTTGCCAATCGCTGCCTCATCATCCCTCACAGCCTCCTCAGTACCCTAACCAATGAAACGCTCCCTCCCCTTACCTCTTCATGTCTCACCTCTCCTCACTCCTTCTCACCCCTCGTCAATCCTTTCTCACCTCTCTTCACTCCCCAGAGCATCAGCCAGGGGTATCCACATGCCAATTGCTGCCTCATCGCCCCTCACAGCCTCCCCCATTGCCTCCTCCATCCCCTCCCCTCGCACCACCTCCCACATCTCCCCCACCACTCTCGCCGCCTCGTTCCATTGGTCGAGAGAAGAGTGCGTGGCGGAGAGGAGGGAGAGGAGGGGGAGGGAGGCGGCGTGGGAGGGACCGAGGAAGGAGCGGAGGGAGGGGAGGGCGGAGAGGAGGATGGGGAGGGCCTCGTTGGGGCGACGGAGGGTGAGGAGGAGAGAGGCGAGGTCTGTTGCTGTGCCTGCAAGGGAAATGGGGAAGAAGGGGGAACAGGGAGAGAGGGTGAACGGTGGGGGGATGAAAAGGGGGTTGTGAAGAAGTTTAATGCGCAAAGGTGACAAGAAGGGTGTACGGGGAGGGGAGGGCGGAAAGCAGGATGGGTCGGTGCGCTTGATGTGCAGGGTAGAGCAAAGGAGACAGTTAAGGAGTGCTGCTGCTTCCAACCTGTGAACCTTCAATTCCACACACTGGCCCCCCCTTCCAGTAACTCCCCTGCTTCCTCAAACTCACCAACAGCAGCAGCAGATGATCGGGGTGCTCCCTTCTGGTGCTCAGCGCCCGCCCGCTGCAAGAGAGGCACCGCCATGCCATTGCGGTCGGTGCGTTTGAGTTTACCTATAGCCCATTAATGCAATCCCCTCTCCCTCTGACTCACCTACAGCCTGCAGCAGATGGTCTGGATGCTCCCTTCTGATGCTCAGCGCCCGCTGCAAGAGAGGCACCGCCATGCCAATGCGGTCGGTGCGTTTGAGGTGCAAAGTGTTTCCCATGTTACCTCAGTGCCCGTTGACTTCCCAAGCGCACTTGAGATGTTCCTTTCCCCAATGACTCACCCACAGCCTGCAGCAGATGGTCTGGATGCTCCCTTCTGATGCTCAGCGCCCGTTGCAGCAGGGGCACCGCCATGCCGTTGCGGTCGGTGCGTTTGAGGTGCAGAGTGTTCCTCCCCCCAATGACTTACCCACAGCCTGGAGCAAGTGGTCTGGATGCTCCCTTCTGATGCTCAGCGCCCGCTGCAAGACAGGCACGGCCATCCCGTTGCGGTCAGTGCGTTTGAGGTGCAGAGCCACGTGGGAGAGCGCTGTTGCTGCTAGTGAGTGGCCCGACTTGCCTCTGCACTCACACAGTCGCTTCCCTTTCCAAAAACTCTTTTCTGCCTCGATAACTCTCCTCACCCCCTCTACACCCTCCTTCTGACTCACCCACAGCCTGCAGCAAGTGGTCTGGATGCTCCCTTCTAATGCTCAGCGCCCGTTGCAGCAAAGGCACGGCTTGGTGCAATTGGGGTGCTTAAGTTAATCGGTCAGTCCATACATACAGTCTCTTCCCCCAGCGACTCACCTACAGCTTGCAGCAAGTGGTCTGGATGCTCCTGTCTGATGCTCAGCGCCCGCTGCAGCAGAGGCACCGCCATGCCGTTGCAGTCGGTGCGTTTGAGTTTACCTATAGCCCATTCATGCGATTTCCTCCCCCTCTGACTCACCTACAGCCTGCAGCAGATGGTCTGGATGCTCCCTTCTGATGCTCAGCGCCCGTTGCAGCAGAGGCACCGCCATGCCATTGCAATCGGTGCGTTTGAGGTGCAGAGTGTTCCTTCCCCCAGTGACTCACCCACACCCTGCAGCAGATGATGGGGGTGCTCTTTTCTAATACTGAGCGCTCGTTGCAGCAAAGATACCGCCATGCCACTGCGGTCGGTGCGCCTGAGATGCAGAGCCACGTGGGAGAGCGCTGCTGCTGCTCATCAGCCCACACACGCAGGTCCCACCCACCCAATGACTCACCTACAGCCTGCAGCAGATGATCTGGGTGCTCTTTTCTAATACTGAGCGCTCGTTGCAGCAAAGACACAGCCATGCCATTGCGGTCGGTGCGCTTGAGATGCAGAGCCACGTGGGAGAGCGCTGCTGCTGCCTCCTCGCTGCGCTGGTGCGCCGCTGGCATGGCTGCTAGAACTTTGATTGCTCTCTTGCTCACTTTCTGGTGGTGGGATAGAGAGAGGTATTGTGGAGTGAATAAAGCGAGTAATGCAAACAAAATGAGTGGGAGAGCGCTTTTGTCCCGCACCCAACCGCCCACTCAACACCCCTGCCTCACCTCACCACATCGCACTTCACCTTACCGCACCCAACCGCCTGCCTCACCTCGGCCTCCTCCACCTGCCCTAACTGCCAGTACACATCGGCAGGAAGTCCTTGCTACAGCAGGAATCTTGCTTACTACTTTGCCTCACCTAACCGCACCTCAGCCCACCTCACCGCACTTCACCTCGCCGCACCTCTGCCTCCTCCGCCTGCCCTATCTGCCAGTGCACGTCAGCAGTGAGTGCATACATCCTCGCTACAGCAGAGATCTCGCATATTATTTCCCCTCACCTCGCCGCACCTCCCCGCACTTCACCGCACCGCACCCCACTCACCTCAGCCTCCTCCACCAGCCATATTTGCCAGTACACGTCAGCAGCGAGTGCAGCTTTGCCACAGCCGGATGATTCTTTGTACTATGAGACAGCCTGTAGCTACTTTATTCTCCTAGCCTAACCTCACCGCACCGCACCGTACCTCACTGAACCGTACCTCACTGCACCTCACCTCTGCCTCCTCTGCCTGCCCTACCTGCCAGTACATGTCCGCAGCCAATGCAGACATTCTCGCCACAGCAGGTGATCGCATAATACTTTGCCTCATCTCACCTCACCACACCTCACTGCACCGCACCGCACCGTACAGCACTGTACCGCACCTCACCTCGGCCTCCTCTGCCTGCCCTATCTGCCAGTACACACCAGCAGCGAGAGCATACATCCTCGCCACAGCAGGGTGATCCTTCCCCAGCTCCCTCCCCTGCACCGCTGCACCCCTCCCACCCGCCCAACCCCCCATCCAAACCACCATCTCACCTCAGCTTCCTCCGTCTGCCCTATCTGCCAGTACACATCAGCAGCGAGAGCATACGTCCTTGCCACAGCAGGATGGTCCTTCCCCAGCTCCTCCCCCTGCACCACCACACACTGTTTCAGTGCCTCCAACGCCAGCACTGCCATATCCATCGCCTCCTCTCTCCCCTCCCCTCCCTCTGCTCCTCCCTCATACCCTCTCCTTACTCCTCCCCCTAATCCTTCACCCATTCCTTCCCCTAACTGCTCTCTGCCATCAATCTCCTCCCCGTTCTCCGCCTCCTCTGCTCCTCCCCTCTCCCCACTCTCACCCTTTTCCCCAACCTCTTCCCTCTCCCTCCCTTCCCCTCCCTCCCCCATCTCCCCCTCCTCCTCCCCTCCCTGCAGCAACCCGGAGTGCAGGATAATGTCGACTGTGGCGAGGTGTACAGAGGCGAGGTCGAGGGGGGAGAGGGCGGAGGGCGGGGAGGACGAGGAGAGCAGGGAGGAGAGCAGGGCGGCTGCTGCTGAGAGGTGGTGGACTGCAGGGGAGGCATCGCCTTGACCCGCATGCACTGCTGCTAGCAGGCTGAATGGGGGGGAGAGGCAGCAAGGGAAGGAAAGGGAAGCAAGAAAAGGAATGGGAAGAAAGCAAGACGGGAAGAAGGAACGAGAAGGATAATGTCGACAGAGGCGGGGTGTGCAGAGGCGGGGTGTACAGAGGCGGGGTGTGAAGAGGCGGGGTGTGAAGAGGCGGGGTGTGAAGAGGCGGGGTGTGGAGAGGCGGGGTCAGCCAAACCGATCGCTGAGCAGCCAAACAACAGTTTCAACCGATCAAGATGTGCCACTTTCTTGATAAGCCGGCAACAGCTGCTTGATAAGCCAACTCACCGGTGATCAGCCACCTCTTTCATCACAGCCTCCTCATACTCCCTCCTCACCTCCTCCCTTCCCCTACCCTCCAGCTCCTCCCTCACTCTCTCCCTCAGCTCCTCCCCTCTCACCTCTCCTCCCTCCCCACCCTCCCCTCCCCCTCCTCCCCCCTCCCCACTCCCCTCCTCCCCTCCCAACCTCTCCTCCAACCCCCTCCTATGCGCCTCATGCAGGTGCAGCGCGCGCATCCCCATGGCATGGGCATCAGCTAGCCGCATGTGTCTCGCACACTCCTCCCCCACATGCTGCAATGCGTCTGCTACCCTCGGATCGTCTGCTCCTAACGCCTCCTCTTGTAGCTCCAGAGCAGTCCTGGAAGGGGTAACAAGAGGCCACGTGTAAAAAGTGAATTTTTGAGACGTCACAAAAATGCCTCTTCTTGTAGCTCGAGAAAAAGAGGACAGAGGAGTAAACAAACACCCACCTGTATGCCACACGCACCCACCTATACGCCTTCATTGCAGTGTCCATGTCCCCACTGGCACTGCTGACGTCAGCTCGCAGCATGTGCATGGCAAACCCAACCATGTGGATGGCATCGGCTGTCCCTTGTGCCATCGCCGCTGCTGCTGCTTCCTCCCCCTCCCCCTCCCCATCGCCATCACCACCCTCTATCCTTCCACCTTCCCTTCCTACACTCCCCATTCCCCCATTCTCCACTCCTCCACTTCCCAATCCACTCTTCTTCCCCCCATCTGAGCCTATTTCCTGCTCACTCCCAGCTACGTCTTGTTCTTGCATGAGGCTCTGAAGCTTCTTGGCAGCTTCCAGCGCCGCCTCGCACTGCACAAGGAGTGAGAGACACTCCTCAGGGTCGCCGAGCCTGCAGGAGCAATGGGGGAGGAGCATCAGCCATCACCTAGCATGGCATGCAGCCATGAGGTGCAGTGCAGGCACATGGCCAATGTGAAGCAACATATAACCCCATCACAGCAACACCACACCATCACCCATCACCCCTTCATACCGTCACATCACCCCATCAGTTATCACCTGGCATGGCATGCGGCCATGAGGTGCAGGCACATGGCTCGCACCGGATCACCATCAATGGCAACCGCATCAAACACCTGATGGTACCATGGGGGGACGGAGGGAGGGAAGGTCATTGGATGCAAGGGTTTTGGAGTTCAGGTTTGGCGTTGCGTTTGGTGGGATTTGGGATTCAATGACATGCGGCCGCAGGCAGACAGATGGAACACACGGGATCCCCATCGATGTCAACGGTGCCAAACATGGGATGGAGGAAGGGTCATGGGACGCAAGGCTTTTGGAGTTGAGGTTGGATATTGGGTTTAGCAGGGGTTCGGGTTTAATAGCATGCGGCCATGAGGTGCAAGCACATGGCTCGCACCGGATCCCCATCAATGGCAACGGCGTCGAACACCTGATGGTGCCAGGGGAGGGAGGGTAGGCGGGAGCGAGGGTCATGGGACGCAAGGGTTTTGGAGGAGTTGAGGTTCAGCAAGGGGTTTGGCGGGGTTTGGAATCCAATGGACCAATGGTGTGCGCACACACAAGATCCCTGTCCCATCCATGGTAACGCCGTCAAACACCTGATGGTGGTGCCATGAGTGGGAGGGAAGGTCATGCACGCAAGGGTTTCGGGCTCAGGGATTGGGGTTAAGGTTTAAAGGTTCAGGGTTTTGGGCTTCGGCAGGGTCTAGTTGAATTCGAAATTCAATGTTGCGGGGTCGGGGTTGGTGAGGTGGTCCTGATTCGGGGTTTGGGGTTCCAATGTACAACAAGCCACTCAAAAACCAGGCCCATTAAAAAAATAAATCAGTTGTCATGGTTTCCATGTTGAACAGATCTTGAAAAGTGCCTAACAATGCCGGTTCATTGTCAAGCCATGCAGCACCTCCCCTTTCTCTCCTCCCAAGCCTTCTCCACCACAGAGAGCACCTCTCCCGCGTCCCGCCCCTGCTGCAGATTAGCCTGCGCCAGTCGCAGCCTGAGTCCCGCCACCAGCTCGCACCTCCCCCACTCACCTCCCACGCCTTTTCCACCACAGATAGCACCTCCCCCGCGTCCCGCCCCTGCTGCAGGTAAGCCTGCGCCAGTCGCAGCCTGAGTCCCGCCACCAGCTCATGCCTCTCGCCGTACGCCTGCCGCGCATCCTCCACCACCCCCTCCAGCACCCCCACCGACACGTCCTCCGAACCTAAATCCGAGCCTGAATCCGAGCCTGAATCCGAACCTAGATCCGAACCTAGATCTGACTCTAGATCCGAAACTCGGTCTGATTCTAGTCCGCCCGCGGCCTCGCCCCTGCCGCCTACACTCCCGCTGCTGCCGCCACCACTGCGGCCATCACTGCCGCTGCTGCTGCCGCCGGCGGAAACGGCGCTAAAAGCGCGAAAATAAAGCGAGCTGACCGGGAGAGGTGTGGAGTGATGATGAGGAGCAGAAAGTCTAGAAAGAGGTGTAAGGCGCGGTGCAGAGCGGTACCGCTCGGCGAGTGATGACGTGGCTATGGAAGGTGATGGCTCGGCGGGCAGCGTGGCAACGAATGGTTGGCTGACAGCCTGGTAGCAGATCTGCGGCATCGCGGCAGTGAATCGTCCTACGTGGATATCGCATCGGCTGGTAGGACGCGCCGCCTCTATTGGCCGGCTAGCTGCCGGCCGATCTCCGCCGACCGCCGTGACGGCCGCGGCACGGGGTTGTAGCGCGGCGAGTCGGGGAGCAGCATGGCGCTGCGCGAAGAGATGGAGAAGGCGAGACGCGCGGGAGTTGCGCACGCGATGCATGCGCGCAGACTGGGGGCGGACGGCTGCGCTGACGTGGCGATAGCGCGGACGGGACGGATGACTGTGCGGACGGGGAATGCGCGGACGGGGCTGGCGGGAGAGACTTGTTGCGATACGGAGGGCAAGAAGAAATTGCTGGATGGGTGGAGGATGAATTCGACGCAGCCGGGAGAAAGGAGTTCGGAGGATTCGGTTTCGCCCACGTGTGATCAAAATTCGACGTCACACCGCAATAAACCATTCTGTTTCCCGTTCTGTAATTTGGGTCTCTGTACAAAGTGTACACATAAAACAGTCAAAATATTACTTGAAAAAAGTACCACCAAATCTCGGCCTCGCAACTATGGCTGCCGTGCGCTGCCGTTCCGCCGTTTCTCGCGGCGTGTGTGCGTCCGCGTCGCTGTTCGATTCCCAGCTATCACAGCGCATCGCGAGCATTCTTTGCTCCTCTTCCGATCTTCCGCTCTCCGTCTCCTCGCCTCATTCCGAGCCGCTGCGTGTGACGGGGCCTGCCGCTGGCCTCTCGCGCTTCCATTCGTCTTCTTTTATCGGCGCAGATCCAAACGCAGGTGACTATAGCGCGGATTAATCTATTTGCATCTGCCCGCTCTTTATTCGTCCTTAGTCCCTGTCGGTTCGTCATTTCCCGCCTCTTTTCCTTTCACCCGTCGCTACCTTTCTACTGGAAGCAGGTTCCACCCCTTCGTCGCCAGCCGTCGCAGGCGACGTCGCACAGTCACCACTTCTGCCGCGTCTGCGATCATGGTTCGCAGCGCCCGACCTCACTCCGCCGCCGTTCGCGGGCCCTGCGGGCGGATCTGAGGCGGGGAGCGGAGCGGACGGAGAGGCACGGGGGGACGCGCAAGGGCGGGGGGAAGCGCGGATGTACGGAGGCGGCGCGCGGGGCGACGGGGATCAGCGGGTGTACGGGCGGGACCCGCGGGGGTATGGGCGGAACTTCCGCCCGCGCCCGCCTGTGGCGCGGCCGAAGTTGGATCTTCTGGAGAAGGTGCTGACCTGGCGGATTAGCGGGAAGAGGATGGGGAAGGGGGTGGAAAGGAAGGGAAGGAGGGTTGGGGGAGGAAGAGTTGCAAGGTTCGGGTTGGCGGACGAAAGTAGGCCTGCTGAGTAAGGTGCTTCTTGCTGCCTTAGGGGGAGTGGGTGGGATTGGGTGCAAGAGGGGAACGGGGGGTACGGAGTGGTGAAGGGAGGAACGTGGGGATGGTTTTAGTGGGCTTATTGGTAATATGGGGAAGGGAAGCGGAGGAGGCGGAAGGTTGGGGGAGGCTCAAGGTTGGGGGAGGCGGAATGTTGGGGAAGGTGAAATGTTGGGGGAGGCGGAAGGTCGGGGAAGGCGGAAGGTTGTGGGAGTCAGAAGTTTGGGGGAGGGAGTCATTGCTTTGGATAATGTCAGTCAGTGTGATTGTTCTGGGCCTGAGGGAACGAGTGAAATGTTGCTGTGGGCAATGGGCAGGTGAGTGAGAGAGTGAGAGGCTGCTTCTCCCCTTTCCCCCATCCCCCTTCCACCCTGGTCCCTGCCTCACGTCCCTCCCCGTCACGGCAGTATCTAAACTCTTTTTTTGCATCCCCTTAACTGCCTTTCCACACCCTCTTCCCTCCCCCCGTCTCCCGCACGACCCCCCAATCCCCGGTTTCTCCCCCCGTCCATCCCAGTACGTGCACCCGTCGCTGCTGTCAGCAGAGGAGCGGCGGCAGGAGGAGCTGCTTGGAGTGAAGGCAGCGCAGCAGCTTTACCTGCTAACATCCCCACCTTTTGTTTTCTTTGCACACCCGGTTCCCCCTTTCCCCCCCAACGCCCCCCCTTCCCCAGTACATGCACCCGTCGCTGATGTCAGCGGAGGAGCGGCGGCAGGAGGAGCTGCGGGGAGTGAGGGAGCGGTTCAGAGTGCACGAGGGGGACACAGGGTCGAGTGAAGTGCAGAGTGAGTGAGGGAGGGAGTGAGTGAAGGAGTGAGTGAGGGAGTGACTGAGAAGATGAAGGAGTGGTTCAGAGTGCACGAGGGGGACACAGGGTCCAGTGTAGTGCAGAGTGAGTGAGGAAGGGAGTGATTGAAGGAGTGAGTGAGTGAGTGAAAGAGTGATAAGAATAGGAAAGTGAGAGAGCCAGCCATGTCAGGGTGCATGAGAGGGAGACTGGCTGCAAAGTGTGTGACGCAGGGAACGAGCTAGCTGTTCGACGAGAATATGAGAGAGAGTGGGTGTTGTGTGCGCTATTGTATATCACTTCAACTAAACTGTTTTGTGTCATCAGGCCATCTTCTCTGCATCATCACTCAACCGTTTTCACTATTATCCGTCTCCCTTGTCTGCCCTCCTTTCTCCTGCATGCAATCCTCTGTGCACCCCTCTCCTCTGCCGCAAACCAACAGTTGCTCTGCTCACCTCGCGCATTGCCTACATGGCCAACCACCTCCAAACTCACAAGAAGGTGAGTGCCATCAGGACAACACACACGCACACACACTTAGCTGCCCTTTGGTAATTTGATGGAAGTAAGGCCTCTGCAGCCCACCTGTCTGCCTCAATGTGTCCGCACCCCATTGCCTACATGGCCCAGCACCTCCAAACTCACAAGAAGGTGAGTGCCGTCAGGACAACTTGACCCAGCAGCTCCCAGCATGTTAGGGATGGTCAAGGGACAGGAGTAGCCGGTCGGGTCCTCAGCACCAGGAGTAGCTCCAACGCCCGAGTCCTCAGCACCAGCAGCAGCTCCAACGCCCGGGTCCTCAGCACCAGCAGCAGCTCCAACGCCCGGGTCCTCAGTACCAGCAGCAGAGCCCGTGTGTCCTCCGGGCTTGCCAGTTCACATCAAGTCTAGTTTCCTTGTCATGAATGGACGCCCATGGAATGCTGACCATGATTTTTTTTCACTTGCCCTCAGCATCTCTTTTCTCTCTCTCCCTGCCTACAGGACCTGCACTCACGGCGGGGTCTGGATGGAATGCTGGCGCGGCGGCGCAAGCTGCTCAAGTACCTGCGGAGGAAGAACTGGGACTCGTACTGCCATGTCATTGCGGAGCTGGGGCTGCGAGACAGAGTGGACCTGCAATCTTAGCCGTTGATTAGGTGGTTAGTGCTGTTGGCTGTGAGTTGTGACGTCTCAAATGGTGCAAGCTGCTGAAGTATCTGTGGAGGAATAATTGGGTTTCCTACAGCCACGGCCCACGTCGTTGCAGTTGCAGAGCTGGAGCCTGGGGCCACGAGTTCAATCAGCGGCGGTGTCACAAGATAGTTCCTAGTGGTAAACAGCATGCGTCTTACATGATGTGCACAGCAGTGCTGTTTTCATCAGAGAGCTGTTACTGTTACAGTGCTTTGTTCAGTCCGGGATTAGGTATGGGCCAACTTTGGATAAAGGCTGCAAAACTGATCATGGCATACTGTACAGCTACCAACTCAACTAGCATGCAGCTCTTTCCAGAGTGACATTCCTGGCATTCATTTTCACATCACTCTTTATGAATTTCAGAGGTGAAGAGAAGTTCTACGGAACTGCAACAAACCATCAACAGATAAATCCGTGGGACACGTCGCCTTGTTCGAAATGAGCGACATGTGGTGCGAGAATCGCAGCACATTTCGCAGTTCACCCAAAAGCCCACCCAGATGAAATTGTGATGTTACAGCGGTAAATTATGATTTCTGGTGGTGAAGTTCTTGCCAAATTATCGAAACTCGATATTCCCAATGAGCCAATAATTGTCGAACTTCCTAATCCATGGCTTCCGCTCCACACCTAGCATATCCCTCCTTCCATCCAGTCCAGCCTTCCCTCTCTTCCAGGGAACCTTTTTGTCACGACAGGACGCACTGCAACTGCGACAGACCCAAACACCCGGAATTATTGGAGTGGTTTGTCCATGGGTCGCCAGAATTCGTCCGGACGCGGCTTGTACCATCCGCAGAAGCCGCAATGTCCAGGATCCGCCACCCCAACCGAGCCCATAATTGTGAAAGCCTCGTCCCGCGACAAAACTGCACCGGACTTTCTAAACAGCAGGCATTGCACGAGCCGCGGAGGTTTCACAGACGCCGAAATTATACGAGCAGTCAAGGAAATTATAGGTGTCACGGTTCGGGTAGATCGTTCCCGACACGCTCGCGCGTCGACGTGCTCGCAGCAGCGGTAACATCGGAGTCGACTCAAATGGCAGCAGCAGCAGTATATATGCGCGCGCTGCCACTCCCTAACCATCTCTCGTTCTCATCATGCTCCATCGAATCGCACCTTGAAGTTGTCAGTTACGAGCCTGCGAGACAGCGTTTCAATGATACATGGGTGTATCTTGAAAGCACTCGTATCAGCCTAGACAAACACACATTCCGTCATATCTCTCAAGTCTGTAATTCCCGGACCTTTTTTCTCCCGAGCGCACACCTGCATAGGCCACAGATTTGTGGTTTTTCGTTACTCTCGCATACTATCGCTGAACCGCAACCGAAAGGCGGTTTTGGCGACTCTGACGAAGCTTCCTCGGAGTGACCAGGTCACTTCTTAAGAATGGCGACTGCCGTAAGTATTGGTTCTAGAACAGCACCTTGTACCATCCATTTCCTTCCCTTCGCCCCCCTACCTTATTTATCATATTGTTCCATTTCTGCGGCGACTCAGAAATCAACTCTGTCTTTTCATCCATTTTTTCTCGCCCGTGTTTCGCCAACCCCGTCCCGCCGTCATGCGACAGCAGGCATCGCATGCGACGTTCAGTGTGCGTCGCACAAGCCCCAGTGTCGGTTTCTCCTTCCGCCCTTCCCAAGCCGTCTCGGCCGTTCAGCTGGCGCTCGTGGCGCTGCTGGCGGTCGTTATCACAGCCCATAACGCGGCAGCTTCTATCGTGTACAGCAGTGCGGGCGTGCATGCTTCTAACGGGGTTCCCGTGCGGAGCCTCGGACGGTGGCGCGCGCAGGAAGGGGAGATGGCGGCGGGAGGGCGCGCATTGATCAGCAGCAGCCGCATCAGCATCAGCGGCAACAGCGACAGCATCAGCGGCGGTTTCGGCCCCGGAGGCAAACGCGGGGAGATTCCCGAGTGGGCGCGGAGCGAGGTGTTGCGGTGGGAGGCGGCGCACGCGCGCGAGCTGGGGGAGGCGGAGGATGAGGCGGAGCGGGCGAAGCGGGCGGCGCACGCGGAGATGGCGCGCGCGCTGTGGGAGGAGACGGAGGCGCAGTTCGAGGGGCGGCTGCAGGAGTGGCGCAGGCAGAGCGCGCGCCTGCAGGGGGTGGCGCAGCGGAAGTCGGAGAAGCGCACCAGGCGCGCCATGCGCGAGTGGGCGCGCGCGCAGGGAAAGGCGAGACGGGCGCACACACGGGCGGCGGGAGTGGCGGGAGCGGCGGGAGTGGCGGGAGTGGCGAGCCCGACAGACGAGGAGCTGTTGGATCTCATGCCGGGAGGCACGCGCTCCTGGCAGGACCTTAAAGCCTCCACTGTCCGCACCTCCTCGAACTCCCCCTCCGCCTTCTCTGCCACCGTTGCCTCCTCCTCCGATTCCTCTCCCTCCTCCTCCTCTTCCTCCTCTGCCAATTCCTCCTCGTGCAACTGCTCTTCTTCCTCCGGTGCGAAAAGCAAGAGCAGCGACACGGCGGCCCCAACCCCGTGGGAGGAGAATCGGCCGGCAGGAGAGGCTCCGTGCAGCCCCAGGAGCACCGGACCGGTGATCAACGTCACCACTCTGGACCACATTCTATCGCGCACGCAGTACCCGTCGAACCAGACGGTCACGCTGGTGCTGCAGGCGTCCATCACGCTCAACCACTCTCTAGTGCTCGACTCCAACTTCTCCTGCACCATCTTCCAGGCTGATACCCTCCCCAGCGAATACGTTCTCGAGATAACAACAGATACAGAGCCCGTTCTGCAGGTGCGTTCCTTTCTTTGAGCCGTGTTGAGCAGTCTGTGATCTTCACGCCTCCTGCACCATCTTTCAGGCAGATACACTTCCCAGCGAATACGTTCTCGAGATCACCACCGACTCGGAGCCCGTTTTTCAGGTGCGTTGTGAGACGCGTTGTTGTCTGGACACCTGTCTTCCCCTGCACCATCTTCCAGGCAGATACGGTCCCCAGCGAATACGTTTTGGAGATCACCACCGACACAGAACCAGTGCTGCAGGTGCGTTGTAAAAGGTCCTCATTCTCACGTTCAGGTGTTTGGTCAACTTGGCTTCTCCTGCATCATCTTCCAGTCGGATACACTCCCCAGCGAGTATGTGCTGGAGATCACCACTGACACGGAGCCCGTGCTGCAGGTGCGTTCTGGTTTTTGAGAATTCTCAAAAACCTGCTGGAGATCACCACTGACACGGAAGCGGTGCTGCAGGTGCTTTCATTGAGTCGTGTTGAGTCGTTTGAAAGCATGAACTCGAACGCAACGCTCCTGTCAGGCGCGCTTCACATCGAGCATGTTATCTCGAGGTCACAATTGATACAGTGCCACTGACACCACAAAACAGATCGCCACTGACACTGACCCTGTGCCATGCGGCCTGCAGGTGCACAATGCGAGCAACATGGTGTTTATTGGGATCTGCCTGAGGAGCCTGTTCCTCGACTTGAGGGGCCTAAACCACCATTTGAACTAAACCCTGGGTGACACTGTTCCCATGCTGCAGGTGCACAATGCGAGCAACATGGTGTTCATCGGGATCAGTCTGAGGAGCCCAGTCAGAAACGGGTCGGCTTATTGTGTGTCGCTGCCCGAGTATGGGAATCTGCTGGGGAACGACCTGCTGTGCCCGGCTCTGCTCATCTACAGGTGTGTTTCGGGTTCGTTTTGGGGTTTTGACGCATGTACTGGTTGCTTATCTGCTGCTCGCTTGTTGAAGGCATAAAGAAATAGCATGTCTTGCCTACTATATGGCCTGTTCTGCCTGCTGCTCCTCCTGCTGCCTCTTCCATTATGCTTCCCTCCCCTGCAGGTCGTACGGCATTCAGTTCATGCAGGCATCAGTGGTGGGGCGGATAGACGCGTTTCACTGTGCATGCGCCAAGCACAGCTCATGCCTCGCTTTGCTTTTTCCTCCTTGCCGCTTCTGCCTTCCCATGTGCACTGGCAGGTTGTACGGCATTCAGTTCACGCAGGCGTCAGTGGTGGGGCTCATAGCAGGTGCTACACTCGTTCTTTCTATTCTCACTAGGCCCGTCTCCTCTGCCTGCTGCTGCTGCTGCTGCTGCTGCCCTTGCTGCTGCCCTTTCCCTCCCCTACAGGTCGTACGGCATTCAGTTCACGCAGGCGTCAGTGGTGGGGCGGATAGACGTGTTCCGCTGCGCCTACACGAAGCTGGACTCGCTCTTTGCCACGGCGCCCTGGGACTTCCAGTACCACCCGGGGGTCATCCGCATGGGAATGAGCGGCATCGGCGTCAACCTCACCTCCTCTGAAAACATAATCTCGAATAACGATCTCTTTGGAGCGTGGGAGCTGATTTATCTGTACCGAGGGACGATAGGCGCCACCGTTCGCAACAACTTCCTCCACGACTACCTCTTCTCAGGCTTCAGGTGCGGTGATTAGCGTAAACAGAGCGGTGCAGTGCGGTGCATGGGAGCTGGTCCATCTGTATTGGAGCACCATAGGAGCTGTGGTTTGCAACAACTTCCTCCACGAGTAACCCTTCTCAGGCTTCAGGTGCGGTGCCTCGTGTAATCAGAGCGGTGCACTGCGTTGCAGAGCTCTTAAGCACCTCGTTTCACATACTCAGCTGCTGTTACCAACCAGGACTTCCTCTCCCACCCTTTCCATCTCCTCTTCCATTGTCGTTATCCCTACACACTCTCTTCCCATTTCCCACTGTGCAGGTGCGGCGCGGACGTGCATTTCGCGTTTGACTGTGCGCTGACGACAGTGAAGCACAACTTTGTCTTCTCCCCGCAGAAGAAGAACCTCACAGGCGACTCTGCTGGCATCTACTTCTGCACGCACTGGTTCAGCCCTGGTGAGCTTTCAGCCTTGGTAAGCCCTAAACCCTAATAACCATCAACCAGCCTTGCCACTGGTTCAACCGCGGTGAGACTCAGGTAGACCCGGTGAGACTCAGGTAGACCCGGAGAGACTCAGGTCGACCGACCCGGAGAGCCATTGCCCCTTGTTGCAACCTCAAAGGCCACCAGCATCTGCTTCTGCACGCACTGGTTCAGCCCTGGTGAGCCCTCGACCCCTATAAGCCTGAGCCGCTTTTGAAACAGGCCCTTATAAGCCTGAGCCTATTCGGATTATGTGACTGCCGCTCCTATGCCTGCCTCCCTGCACCTCTGGATTCTGGCTCTTCCGTACCGCATCCCACCGCACTCCACCCCACCCCACCCACTGCTACTGCTTCGACAACTGCACGTCAGACGTGGCCATCCAGGGGGGCGTGTGACTGCCTGCAGCTATGGGCTCTGACTCTTTCTCACCACGTTCTACCACATTCCACCGCACCCTAGCCCGCCCCACCATCCAGGCAACATGGTGAGCTGCAACCAGCGGGCACCACTGCTACTACCTCCAGGGAGGCGTGTGCCTGCAGCTGTGGACTCTGACTCTTTCTCACCGCACTCTACCGTGCCCCACCGCATTCCACCGCACTCCATCCCATTCAATCCAGGCAACAAGGTGAGCTGCAACTACGTGGTGGGCGGGGACCACTGCTACTACCTGGACTACTGCACGTCAGGCGTGGAGATTGAGGGGGGCGTGTGCCTGCAGCTGTGGGACGGTGTGAAGCTGAACAACGGCAAGCGCAACCACATCCGCAGCCTGCTCATGGTCGCCTTGGGGCAGAGCCCCGGCTACATCACGTGCTTCACTGTCACTGTGAACCACTGTCAAAAGGACCCAGGGTCCTACTGGGAGGCCATGAGAAAGCTCCACTACGACACGCCTGAAATCAACAAGGTGAGCAACCACATCCGCAGCCTGCTCATGGTCGCCCTGGGGCAGTCCCCCGGCTACATCACGTGCTTCACGGTTACGGTGAATCACTGCGGGAAGGAGCCGGGGAAGTACTGGGAGGCCATGCGGAAGCTCTACTACGACACACCTGAGATGAACGAGGTGAGGGCTGTGATGAGTGCTCATGGTGGGGCTGGCTGGGCCTGAGCCCACACTACATCACGTGCTTGACGGCCCTGAGGCACCTCAGAGGAGGAACCACATCCGCAGCCTGCTCATGGTGGGGCTGGGGCAGTCCCCCGGCTACATCACGTGCTTCACGGTTACGGTGAACCACTGCGGGAAGGAGCCGGGGAAGTACTGGGAGGCCATGCGGAAGCTCTACTACGACACACCTGAGATCAACAAGGTGAGGGTTAATAAAACTCCTCTCCACCACCTCCCCACACCTCTCCACCTCTCTCCACCCATCACCCATTTCCACCCCTATGCACCCCTCTTCACCCTTCTCCACACCTCTCCACCCCTCTCCACCCTTCATCTCCACACCTCTCCACCCCTCTCCACCGCTCTTCACCCCTCTCCACTCATCTCCACACATCTCCACTGCTCTCCACTCATCTCTACCCCTTTCCACCCATCTCCACCGATCTCCACCCCTCTGCATCCCTCTTTACCCCACTCCACCGCTCTCCATCCCTTGCCAAACCCGCATCCCTTGTTCCTCCGCCAGGAATGGCCGTGGATGAAGCACGTGTGCCGCCAGACGCGCATCGGCGCGTACAGCTGCAACCCGCCCGGGCCCGGCGCGCTCACTGCGCACGACACCGGCGCGTGCAGCGGAATGGCGACGGAAAACGACGTCGAATACATCGTCGTCGATCCGGACTCTCTCAGGGACGCGGAATATCGCTACTGCGAGAAAAACCCTGGCGCGGATTATTTGAACCGTCAGATCGTCTTCAGGTACACCGGCGACGACATGAAATTCGCGGATTATGCAAATCAGGATTTCGCGGTGTCGGAGGGGTCGGTGGTGTTGGCAGAACACCCCGATTTTGTTTCCTGCCCGAAGAAGGATATCGGGATAAAGGCGGTCTCGGTACAATCGTACTTCAAGGATTGGAACCTTCCAGAGCCGCCGTTTTTCCAGGCTATGCTGGACCTGCCTTACAAGATGGTGTTCAATAGTGATCTTTTTTAGAGTCTAGTATGTCCAGGTCTCTAGTGTGTCTTTTTTCAGTGTGTTGTAGGGAATAAGGCATGGCACCACCGTGGCAGCGTCTGCCTGTTTTGTCTTATCCAATAAGGTGCAATGAAGTCTACAAATTGCATTTTCCTTGCTATAAACAGCTTTACTCAATAACCTGCCATTCTGCGCACCTCTCAAACCTTCCTGCTGGGTGCGCCTTCTAAAATAATGCCTGGGGGAAAGCATGCAACAAGGTGCATGATCTTTGTAGGTACCTTCTGAATGGAGGACGATTAGAAAAAGTCAGAGTTTTTTGTCTGATTTGCTTGTTTTAGTCTGAGATTTCAGATTTAATTTAGGGTGAACTCTGTTAAATTCAGAGTTTTTATTGCCTCAACTCTGTCAAAATCAGAATTTTTTATAGGCTGACTCTGACGTCTCAGAGTTTTCCAAAAGTGTACTCTGCTGGATTCAGAGTACAAACGAGTTCCGACTCTGATTGAATCTACCTGCACGCCGACACCCAGGACTAGCTACAGCGCATACATTGTATCTGTACCGCCACCCTGCGGCCCGATGTTTCCCTCGTACAGCTTGATTTTTCACCCGCCCTGCGGCGCGAAGTTTCCCTCGGTGTAAGCTCCAGCTCACACCCTCCGTGCGCACTGATTGGTGCGTTTGGCATCTTCTGTCCGCCGTCACGAACTTCACTACCACCCTTGTACAAGATGCTGCAGCAATTGCCACCCACGTAAACGTGATGGCAAGCAGACGGTGCCAACAAGACCTGTTGGCACACACACTACGCGTTGGATTGGTCCTTTAGGCAGCATCGTGTACCACGATGCTGCAACATCCACACCACACACTGCAACGATGCGCCTCGTCGTTGCCGTGCATGCTAGGCAACCACCCACACAACTCAATGATGGCCCATCTTGGCAAAAGGCCTACGTGTTTGTGCTAGGGTTTCATCCACACCCCACTGCTTCAACTCACGGGCCCAATCCAGTGCCCTGTTTTGCCTCAGCCAACATCTCTCTAGTTCCTGCTTGGCAGGCTCATTCACAGCCCCGCCATGGCGGTGCTGGACAATCCCGCCACAGGCGACGATGACCCTGATGAGCGGCCTGCCTTAACAGGCTTAGACTTCCTGCTTAGTACACTAGATCTCGATAAGGCAGCACGCGCCACGCCCGATACGATCCCCATACAGAAAGCACCCGCGACTCCAGTTATCTCCCTTTCTCCCGACCGTGTGGCAGAGACATCTGCGGAACCGACTGTTGCTTCACAGTCGCAGATTCCGACTCAGACCACGGCGCGCACGATCCGTCTCAAGCAGGCGACCTTGACCTTCGGCAAATCAGCATCATCGACTGCCAACGTCAACAACGCTCCCAGAACATCTGACCGACCGCGACCTCGCCTCACTATCAATTTGGCTGAGCTCATCGAGGGAGTTTACGACGACGCGATTGACAAGTTCAAAAGTCAGTGGTCTACCCGTTTTCCGTGGCTCAGGATCACTAAAACCACTACCGGCTTGCCTGCGTTCAAGTGTGCCGTTTGTGCAGCCTATGCTGGCGCCGCAGGAAAGTGCGGGAGGCGCGGGAAAGGCGCCACCGACCTGCAGACACAGTCTTTCCGTAAACACGCTGGCACGGCGAAGCACAAGCTTGCAGTTGCGAGACAGACAGCTGAAGCGGAGTGCGGTGCAAGGCAGCCACAGATCGACCAACATCGTGCCGCTGTTGACTCTGAGAAGATGCGGACCGTCGCCCTTCTCGACTCGCTGCTGTTCATCAGCAGGTCCGACGCGCCCATGGGGATGTGGGTGAAACTGGTGCGGTACTTGGCGGAGAAGGGCGTGCAAGGCTTTCCGAAGAGGGGGTACGGCACCTACTACACCACGTGAGTGCAATTGCCGTACGCCTCTTTTTTAAACACCGTGGTCTTATTAATGTATTAACTGTTTCTGTTTCTGACTGTTGATTCCATGTGCAGATACGGCTTCGGTGAGCTGACGCAAGCTACAGCTACATGGCTCCAGACCACCCAGCTGCAACATGTGCTGTCGTCGCCCTTTGTCGGCATCTCGATTGACGAGAGCACGGATAGGTGCAGCGGGAAACACATGATCCTGTTCATCACCTTTGTCCGTGACTTCAAGGTCGTCTCGGAGTTCATGGCGCTACTCACCGTGGAGAAGGCCGACGCCGCTTCTCTTCTGGCCGTTCTGCTATCACACCTGCAGGCTGTCGGGGTCGACCTGCAGCGCATAGCCGGCATCAGCACCGATGGCGCGAACGTCATGATGGGCAGCAAGAGCGGCCTGACCACACGCCTCCGCTTGCGCATTCCCCATTTGGTGTCATCCCACTGCATCGCGCATAGGTAAGCTTGGAGGTGCATAGTGTTGTTTGAAGATTTTTAACGTGTGCGAGTTACTAATGTGTCCCGTTTTGTTTTTACAGGGAGGCACTGGCGGCTAAAACAGCCGCAGAGAAGATTCCCGCCTTCGACGTCATTGACTACGTGATCCGCACCGTCGCTGAGTATCTCGGTCGTAGTGGGCCATGGCATCAGCGCTTCATGGGGCTGCAGGAAGTCTTCACCTCCACCTCTCTGGAGCTGCAAGGGATCCATACAGTCCGTTGGCTGTCGCGGGGCGACGCAGTGCTCAGGCTCGTCTCCGTCCTTCCGGCTCTTATCGTGATGTTGAAGGAATGGGACGCGACGCTCTACACGCTGGTGACGAGCTACAGGTTTCACTTCCTCCTGTTTTTCATTGCAGATGTGCTTGAGCAGCTGAACATCCTCAACAGGGCCTTCCAGCACAAGGAGGTATGCTATGGTTTCTTGCTACTAGTTGTTAAATGTTTGGGCTTTTGCAAACTTCGTGCATTCTTACCTTCAGTCACTAACCACCTTTGCACGTGTTTCTTTCCAGCTTGATTATGCCGGCGTGCATGCGCAGATCAAGCGTACAACATCCCACATCGAGAGCCGCTACGTCGATTGCGGAGACGACTTCGGTGGCGGCGTCAGTGAGCTGCTGTCCCCCTTCATCGCGCGCCATGGGCCTGGAGGAAACCGGGAGGTGAAGGTCGAAGGGATTGATTCGGACGGCCGACCAGCATGCTTCAAATTCGTGCTGAACGAGGACGAGCTGGAGGATTTCGAAGGGCCCGGCACCCACGATGCCTGCGTGGAGGTTTGCACGGAGTTCGCCGAGGTGATCGTGCACCAACTGGAGCACCGGCTTGGCGACCTCAACGGGATGTTTGGCGCTCGGCTCTTCACCCCCGACGAGTACCCGCTGGAGCGAGGAGAGAGGAACCGCGGGTGCCTCGAGTGGCTACGGTCGCTAGTCACGCTGTTCAAGGCCGACCAGACGGCTGAGATTCTGCCAGGTAAGCCATGGGCGTTATGGTTTAAATATCAAGTTACGCCGTCGTGACGTTTGTTTTGCATGTGACGATTCAATGAATGTTTGTATTTGGGTTCTGAGCTTGTTCCTCTGTTAATACTTTTACCCCGTCAGGAATTGACAAGCGCCGCGTGGAGAAGGAGTTGCGCATGTTCACCTCGGTGCTTGCAGCATCTACCGGCGGCGAGCGCAGTTTTTACGCGGGTCTCACTGCCATGCTCAAGACACCTGACTGGCGGGACAACTACCCCAACTTGGTGCTTCTGTGGGTGGCAGTTGCTGTACTGCCACTGAGCACTGTGGAGTGCGAGCGGGGGTTCTCGTGCCAGAACATCATTAAGTCGTGGAAGAGGGGCGCGCTTAAGGATGCACGCCTGGGGGACCTGATGTGCATGAGCTTGATGGATTACGCCCCCGATTGGGATGAGATTGTGACCGTCTGGAGGGCTTACAAGAAGCGCAAGCCCCAGAGCAACGCTCCACTCCCGCCTGCAGGAGAGCAACACAACAAGAAGGGCAGAGAGGCAGATGAAGAGATGGAAGTCGATGAGGCAGAGGATGCAGTTGACAGTGATGATGATGATGTCAGAATCCCAGCCACTAACCACTGGGATAAAAGGGCTTGTTTGTGTAGCGGGTGAGTGCGCCCATAACCCCCCAGGCCAACGTGCCTGTAACCCTTCCCTAGGATCAATCGGGGATCTCCAGTGGACCTCTGACACCCCCCCGCACTGGGATGCCCGAAGTGCACACACCGGGAATCGAACCCGAGACCTTCGCTCTGATACCATGTCAGAATCCCAGCCACTAACCACTGGGATAAAAGGGCTTGTTTGTGTAGCGGGTGAGTGCGCCCATAACCCCCCAGGCCAACGTGCCTGTAACCCTTCCCTAGGATCAATCGGGGATCTCCAGTGGACCTCTGACAGATGACGACGATGGATTCAATGAGTAGGATAGCAGAGGATTAGTAGGATAGGTAGGATGTTGTAGTGGTTGCCTGGGAGAATAGCTAAATAGGGTATTTCTATAATCTATTGGTGGCTAAGCAAAGCAAGTAGCATTATGTATGTAGGTTGTTGCAATGTACGTTACGTAGTTTAAACAAGACCAACTGTTAGAAAGACAAACAGACTTCTTACAGGCGTTGATTCTGAATCATCAGACTTTTATCTTAGGACACTCTAACTGTCAGCCCTTTTTTTTTTTGCAACTCTGTCAGATTCAGAAGAAAACTGTGTGAGAGTCTGACCAATCAGACAGGCCAAAAACGAATCTGAGGGCCTGCTTTCCCCTAAACAACAGCCACAATGAGGGAGGTACCGTATTGTTAAGGTGACCCAAAGATGGGCCCTTTGGGTCACCTTAACAATACTAGCTGCTAAGCCATCGTGGCTCGATTCCTTTCCTCTCTAACATCGGCACACCCTCCTTTGCCTCCACCGCCCCAGCCTCTCCACACTAAAACCAGTCACATTGTGGCCCGCTCCCTTTCTTCTCAGCCATGACAGCAGCACTAGCCCCCTTTCTCGCACCCATCATCTCATCGTATATATCCGACAGTCGCTGCCTCTCTGCTGCTGACACGGACGGCTGATACACGCTGAAGCCTAAGCCAGGGTTGCTCTTTTTCCCTTCCTCTCCGCCATGGCAGCAGCACTGCTCCCCTTCCTCGCCCCCATCATCTCATCGTATATATCTGACAGTCGCTGCCTCTCTGCTGCTGACACGGATGGCCGCACGCTCCCCACAGCCTGCTCCAGATGCACCCTCCCCAGTACTGGCCTCCCTGCCTCCACTCCCTCCACTTTCTTCCCCTTTCTGCCCTTTCTCGCCGATCCTGTCCTCCCTCTCCAGTGCTTCTTCTGGTCCTTGGAACCTCCACCCTCCACTTCCTGCCTCCCTGCTCCCCCTTCCACCTCTGTCTTATCGTCCCCTCCATCCCCACTTCTCTTCCCCTCCCCAGCTGCCTCCTCCTCCTCTCCTCCTCCCTTCCCACTCTCCCCTCCTCCCCTCTTCTCAACCTCCTCTCCTCCCCCTTTCCCACCCTCCCTTCCTCCCCCCCCCTCACTCTCAAGCAGCACAGCATGCACCGCCGCCAGCTGTGCATCTGCCAGCAAGGCCTGCAAATCCGCCCCGCTGAACCCCTCCGTGCGCCGCGCCAGCTCAGCAAGGTCCACGTCAGCACCCAGAGGAAGCGTCCTGGAAAGCGCGCGCAGAATCGCCAGCCGATCCTCCTCCCCGGGGAAATCGCAGAGTACGAGCCGATCCAACCGTCCAGGACGCAGCAGAGCCGGATCAATCAGATCTGGACGGCTCGTAGCGGCCACCACAAAAACCCCTTCCAACCCCTCCACACCATCCAGCTCCGTTAGTAGCTGATTCACTACCCTGTCAGTCACCCCCGTGCTATCATGCCCTCTTCTCGGCGCAATCGCGTCAAACTCATCGAAAAACAAAATGCACGGAGCAGCGCGGGAGGCTCGGGAAAACACATCCCGAACCGCCTGCTCCGAAGCTCCAATGTACTTATTCAGCAGCTCAGGACCCTTCACCGACACACACCGGATCCCACATGCCGCAGCAGCGGCGCCGACAATATGAGTCTTCCCGCACCCGGGCGGGCCGAAAAGGAGCACTCCGGTGCGAAGGCGGAGGGGAGCTGAGGCAAAGATATGGGAGTGCTGCGCTGGAAGCTCCAAGACTTCTCGCAAGGCTGTTTGGGCATCCGCCATTCCTCCCACATCGTCCCAGCCTAGCTGGGGGGAGGAGGAGGCGGAGGAAGAGGAGGAGGAGGGGTCGGAGGAGGAGGAGAGCTTGGCGACGCCACGCACTGCTGCTGGGACGAAGCCTTGCAGGGCAGAGGTGAAATCTGGCTCGCAGAGGAGGAGCGGGTGCTCCTGCTGCTTTACCTGCTCCTGTGCTGGCCTCTGCTCTCCGCTGGCTGTTCCTTGTACCATCATTGCCACTTTGCCTCCCTTCATCCTTCCTCCCCTCTTCTCTACTGCTCCATGTTGCTCGTTGACCCTTTCCCCATCCCCTTCACCAACCCATTCCCCATTTTCGCCGTTCCCTTTCCTCCCTCTCCCTACTTCAAACATCTCCCTCCCTCGTCGCGCGTGAGCCGCACGATCAACCAGCACCTCGAGATCCGACGCGTCGCAGCCCTGACACCTGGCGGCCACCGATTGGAGCAGAGAATCCCCGCCCTGCCACCCAATCCGCCTCTCCTGCAGGATCCGCATGAGCAGCGCTGTCCTCTCGCCCTCCCCCATGGCGGGTAGCTCCACAGGCGTGTCAAAACGACAGGCAGCACGGAGTTGAGGGGATATGGCGGATGGGGAGGGGGCTGTGGCTAGGAAGGCGATGGGTGCCTGGTGGGCCTGGCGAAGTGTATGGAAGGGAAGTGAGAACGAAAAGAGAAGTTTCAGACTCTGAACAAAAACCATCGGAGCTGCGCTGTCCTCTCGCCCTCCCCCATGGCGGGTAGCTCCACAGGCGTGTCAAAGCGGCATGCCGCACGGAGAGATGGGGAGATGGCGGATGGGGAGGGGGCTGTTGCTAGGAAGGCAATTGGGGATTGGTGGGCCTGGGGGAGAAAGGGAGGGGACGGGCAAAGCAAAGAGAAAAAAGAGAAAGCGTCAGACTCAAAACAGAAACCGTTGGAGCAGCGTTGCTCTCTCGCCCTCCCCCATGGCGGGTAGCTCCACAGGGGTGTCAAAGCGGCATGCGGCACGGAGAGATGGGGATATGGCGGATGGCGAGGGGGCTGTTGCTAGGAAGGCGATGGGTACCTTGTGCGCATGGGAGATGGAGAGCAGGGGAGAGTACAAGAACGGCGGAAGGGGACGGGGCGATGGAGGTGAGGTGGGGTGAAGTGAGATGAAGTGAGGTGAGGATGGCAGCTAGAGGAGAGTGAGAGGCATGTTGCCCCATACCTTGCATTCATCCATATACCCTAACAAATGCGCACCATACACAAGCCGTGCCACCTCAACACGTCGCTCACCTGGCATTCATCCATCAGGTCAGCAATAAACTCCACCAATCCCGCGCCGCCACCTGTCCCTTCCTCTGCCCCCCACTCGCCCCCGGAGCCAACACATCCAGATCGTCTAACACAACGACAGCTGGCGCCCTCTCATTGGCCCGCGCCACCGCCCTCCCCAGCACCCGCCGAACCTCCTTCACAGGCTCGGACCCGAGCCTGGAGCAGCTGACAAACTCCGTGTGCGCGAGGCAGGCCCGGTCATTCCGAACCTGCCAGGCCAGGGCCGAAGCTAGGGAGGTTTTGCCACTGGCAGGGGGGCCGTGGAGGAGAATGGAGCCTGGGGCAGGGAGGCGGAGGGAGCGACGGGTGAGGCGGAAGGGGAGGGAGAGAGAGATGTGGAGACGGGAAAGGGCTGTGGAGGCTGGTTGGTGCAGCCAGGAAAGGGTGAAGGAGAAGGAATGGTCTAGAGGTGTTGCGACAGCTATTTCTGGTGCTGCTGCTGCTGATGATGATGCTGATGATGATGCTGATGATGCTGATGATGCTGATGATGGTGTTACTGATGTCAGTGCTGCTGGTGCGTTTTGTGGTGGTGGTGCTGAGGGCGCGGGCAGAGGCAACAGAGCAGAAAGAAGAGGAGAGACATTTTCGGAAGAGTGACCGGGAGAGGTGGCTGAGTTATGAAGAGTCGATGCTGCTGAATGGGGTTGGTGGTCAGGGCTTATGACGATTCCGGGGCTGCTTGCAAAGGGGACAGCCCACTCCATGGGAGCTCCCAGTGCTACAGTGCTGCACCCCGATTGGACGGCCGCCAGCAGCGCCAGGCTGTCCACCGCCTCGCTGGCAGCTGCCCGGACGGCAGGAAGCGCCTTGGAAGCTTCAGAGGAAGGTTCTTCTGTGGGTCTATCTGAAGATCCCACTGTGGACCCACGGGAGATAGAAGCAGGGAATGCCGTAGAGCCAGGGAGTGCCGTAGAGGCAGGGACTGGTGCCACACTCCCATATGCGCCCATCCCTCCCATGCTACTGCCAGGCCCCATGGTACTACCACCACCCATCATCCCTCTTCCTCCCGCCCCTCCCAGCCCCATGCTTCCTCCCAACACTGACCCTGCGAGCGCACTCAACGCTGCCATCTGCTGCTGCTGCTGCTGCTGCTGCTGCTGCTGCTGCTGCTGCTGCTGCTGCTGCTGCTGCTGCTGCTGCTGCTGCTGCTGCTGAGATGCGTTAGACGGCAAATTATCTAAAGTGGAACCAGCAGCTGTGCCAGAAGCTGCAGCAGCAGCGCGAGTGCGTCCCCCTCGTGGCGAGCCAAGGGTGAGCAGAAAGAGAGCGTCCCTCACCGCTCCTGCTGCTGCAGGCGGTGATGCTGCTGCTGCCACTGCTGCTGCCGCTGCTGTTACCGCTGCTGTCCCCTCACCTCCCTCTGCAGCCCCATCCCCTTCCACTCCACCCTGACCCGCCCCGTCCCCACCCACTCTGTCCCAATCAGCTCTGTCCCTGTCCGCTCCATCCCACCACACCAACCTCAGCACTGCACCATCTACCAGAGGCACTCCCATCTCTCCCCTTGTTTGCTCCACTCCTCCCCTTGCTTTTTCCACCCCTCCTCCTTGCAGCAACAGACATGCCAGCGCCCGCACCCCTGAATCCCTCTTTTCCTGAGATGCCTCTAAACGGCCTTCTGACTCCCTCCCCTCATCCTCCTCCTCTTGTTCCCTTCCCTCTCCCTCGTCCATTCTAGCACCACCCTTCCCTTCTCTAGTCCTTCCCCCTTCTCTTCCCCTCCACCCAGCTACTCTCCTCCAATGCCTTTCTGCTGCTTCAACAGCAGCACCCACTCCAACCACTCCTAACCGCGTCTGCTGCCGCCGATCCAGCTGCTGAATCTGCTGCTGCTGCTCGTTTCCTGGGTGATGATCACCTATAGCACTCCCTCCCCCTCCCACTCCCCCTCCTGCGCCTGCTCCCCCGGATCCTCCCCTTGACCCCGCACCCCCCACTGCACCAGCATCAGAGAGGACCAGAGGGGTGAGGAAGAGAGAGGGAGGAGGAGGAATGAGGAGGCAGGAGGACACAGCGGAGGAGGGGGATGAATGAATATGAAAGGGTTCCCACTCACTCCCTTTCTCTGCACTCCCTCTGCTGCCTCCCCCACTCACTCCCTCCCTTCCACCGTTCTGGGTCTCCAATCCACCACTCCCAACCGCATTCCACCCATCATCACCAGCCCCAACCGTGTTCCACCCCTCTGCACCACTCCTAGCACCTACAGTCCCCTTGAGGAGCACTTTTGAGAACCAGTCTATAGCCAGGCACAGGGAGAGGGCTGGAGGAATCATCAAATGGCCTGCTGCCACGTGGAAGGAGGGCAGCACTCGCACAGGGACAGAGGAGCACGAGGAGAAGCGTTGTGATTGGCTGGAGCGGCTGGGTGCTGGGCCCTGATTGGTGGGTTTTGGGCGGCGGGCTGATGCTGGCACGTGGAGAAGGAGGAGGAGAGGGGGATGTGCTGTTGTGCTGTGAACACCCCCACCCCCCCCCCACCCCCACCCCCACCCCCACTCACACTCTCACGCGCACTCCCATGTTTGCTCCCGCTCTCATGGCTGCTCTCCTGTGCTGCATGCGAGGGCTTTACAGAAGGGGCCCCATGCTGCAGCTGTGCCCCTCCCACTCGTTTCCAGTCCACTTCGCTCACAAACACACACCCTGCCGGTTCCACCACCACAAACCCATCACCACTCCCTCCAACTCCTCTGCTGCTGCCTGCTGCTGCAACCCCCTCGCTTCTTGTACCAGCAAGGTGTTTCAGGACAGTTTCAGACACATCCTTACTTCCGGGACCATTGCAATCGCCTGTGAGGCTGGCACCATCCCTACACGAGCCACGTGTATCATGGAGTGCCACGTCATTGCGAGAGCTGTCCTGTGATTGGCCTGAAACGACGGACCAATCAAAGGGCTGTACACGCAACCACACTCGCACCTTCCTCTCCCTTCCACCTCTTCCCTTCCTGTCTTTACCCTCCTTTCCCTTCTCCTCTCCTTCTCCCCCTCCCGCTCCCCCTCCCCCACCTATCAGCTTCTCTCCTGCGCCTTCCCCCTCCCCCTCCGCGCCCTCCCCCGCGCCCCCCCTAGTGCGGGGGGCCACAATGACCTCAGAGCCGGGCACCAGGCGCACCAGGGGGGATGGGGACGCGGAGAGCGCGCACAGGCGCAGGGGGGCCTGCCCCTGCGCCCATATGGGGAAGGACTGCCCTGCTGCAACCGCGCCCACCTGTGCCCATCAGGGGGAAAGGGAAGAGGGGGGATTTTTAGCATTGGTGAGGGGGGAATTGGTAGGCCGGGAGGCCCCTACCCCTGCGCCCATATGGGGAAGAACTGCCCTGCTGCAACCGCGCCCACCTGTGCGCATCAGGGGAAACGGGGGAGGAGGGGGAGGCGCACAGATGGGGGGGATTCAAGGGGGAATAGGGAGCAGTTCTGTGCGCCCATGGGGGGAAGAGTTGCGCGCCTGCAACCCTGCACCCAGCTGGATCACGGAGAAATAACCCCCCCCCCTGCCCCCTTTAAATCGCAACTTTTTTGGAACCTACCTGCTGTTGAAAAGAGCCTTAAGTCCCCCGGAACCCACCTCCCCCCAGAGAACACCTCCCCCCGGAACCCACCTCCCCCCGGAACCCACCTCCCCCCGGAACCCACCTCCCCTAGAGAACCCACCTGCTGCAGAATGGTCTCCTCCAAAAGCGACGGATTCAGCTCCAGCACCTCCCAGTCGTCTGACGTGGCAGGTGCCACGTGGACAGCCTCTGCGGGCGGGATGCTCCCCCACAGGCGCACCCTTGCCCGCACCCCCTCCCCCTCCGCCAGCCCCAGACACTCCCCCAACTCCCGCGGAACCTCCAGCGCCGAACCTGCTGCCGCGGCTCCGCCCCAAGCCAGAAAGAGCTGCTTGGCCGAGGCTCGGGATGAAGAGGCTCGGGAGGAGGCATGGGAAGAGGCGTGAGACGAGGGTTGGGAGGAAGGAAGGGGGGAGGTTCGGCGAAGGTCGAGGAGGAGAGGAGCGGGAGGAGGTTCGTCGGAGGAGGAGGAAAGAGTGAGGGAGTGCAGGAAGTGGAGGGGGAGGCGCACCCAGCAGGAACGGTCGGGGATGAGAGAGACGGTGAGGTCCATGTTATGTGAACCTAATGGTGCAACTCCAACAGTGGTGTACGAGGGGACCGCAGCCACGCACACAACCCAACCGGCACCGCTGCAGCGAACGACGTGAATATGCAGGTTCTTGCTAGAAATCCCGGAAAAGACGGGAGACTTGGTTGAATGATGCTAGAGAGTAGATCGCACGCGCGCCAAAGAAGAAGCTAGCGAGGTGAGTAAGTTTGTTCACAACGAGAACACAGAGACGTGGGAAAGAGGGAAAGGATATTAGTATAGTGCGACGGGCAGTGCGAAAGTCGCGAACCATGCGACCAGGCCCGTGCGACCAGCCCGGCGACCATCGTGCGACCAGCGTGCTGGTGTCAAGCTAACGACAAGCTGCTGCGATGGGGAGTTCCTTCGGGGGTGCGGCGCGCTCAAGCTATTGTCGGCAAAAAGCCGCGACCAAACGCATTAGGTGCTAAGTGCGAATGTGGGACAGGTTAGGTGACGACCTCCCCTAGTAGTCCGACTTGGTGCCACGTGGCGTGGTGAAATTCCAACAAACCTCGGGATGGACAGAAATTGGAAATTCAACACTTGCGGCTAAATGTTGAGCAAAACTGTGGAACCACGATTAGGGTAACGTTCGCTAATAACGGCTCACGCTATAGAGAGTCGAATTTCAGATGCTAGCAAGCAGCCTTGAGGAGAGGGATCACAAACAACTCACACCTTGTAGCAAAAAGAGTAGATCCTGGTAGCTTGCGGATCAGCAGGTGATTTTAGCTAGCGGTATGTAGTTTCCTCCTCCTTTATATTCCGGATTCTCAACTATCTTTGCCTGAAACTGGCGAGGATGACCTCCCTGTAGCGTCAGAAAGCCGTTATTTTGGAAATGAAGCGTGCGAATTGCCAGCCGTAGCCAGTTCTGGTCAATTCCAGCTCGTCATTCGTCTACGTGAACCGTCAAGCTCATCCCGTTTTCGGTTTCCTGCTTTCAGATTCTTAGTACTCGCAGAAAGCTGTTTATCTCAAACTGTCCAAACTTCAGTGATACTCGTGCGACTCGCATTGTCGCACAGGGCGAAACAATGTCGCTGAAGGCAATCATTGCGACGTGGGCTCGTCGCGTGTGCGACCCGCGCGACACCAAGGCGGCGTGGGCCGTCGCACGGCTGCTTCTGATCGCAGAGGCGGTGCTGTGTTCCGCGATCATCGCAAAAGTCCCCTGTGCGTCTCTCGTCATTGCCTCGCCTTTGCTGCTCCTCGTCACTGCCGCTCTCCGACATTGCCGCTCGCCGTCCGTCACCTCATTCACACCTGCCGTGTGGTTCTTCTCTCGCTCCTGTACTCTCCGATTATCGAGCCCTGCTGTCGTTTCGAAAAATACGCTTCTTCCATTTCTCCTCACCGTTTGTGCCATCTTCCCCTCTTTATTCTGACCCCCAGACACCAAGATAGACTGGGATGCGTACATGGCGCAAGTCACGGGCTTTCAGCACGGCGAGCGGGATTACTCTAAGCTGGAGGGAAGGAGACACGGTCCCTCTTGTGTACCCCGCCAGCTCACCTTGTAGGCAGTTCAAAATACGCTGCTGCTCTCATGCACCCGTCCCCTTGCCCCACCCGCCAGACACCAAGATAGACTGGGACGCGTACATGGCACAAGTCACGGGCTTTCAGCACGGCGAGCGAGATTACACCAAGCTAGAGGGCGACACAGGCCCTCTCGTCTACCCTGCTGGCTTCCTCCTCTCCTTCTCTGCTCTCAAGTGGATTACGGGAGGGCTTGTCGCAAATGCTCAGGTGGGCCCTTGGAATTGGTAAACTCTCACCAAGTTGAGGGCGACACGGGCCCTCTTGTCTTCCCTGCTGGCTTTCTCCTCTCCTTCTCTGTCCTCAAATGGATCACCGGAGGAATTGTTGCGAACGCTCAGGTAAGTTCTTGGAAGCTCAAATGGGTTTTTGGAAGCTCGAAAAGGTTCCTGGAGGCACAGGTGCAGGTTTCCCCTCTCCTCCTATATCTTCTCAGCCTTCTCTGCATATTCTGCAGGTCTCCATTTTCTGATTCTTTTTTTCTCCACCTCTCCTGCCTCTCTCCTGGCTCTCTCTCTCCTCGCCTCCGTTGCAAGTGGCCTTCCTCGTCCTCTCTTATCTCATCAACCTCCTCATCGTCTATGCAATCTGTTCTTACTCTCTTAGCTTTCCTGCCTCTCTCCTCTGTCTCTTCTTGCCCTCTCCTCATCCTCTCCTCCACCCCTGCTGCAGGTGGCCTTCCTCGTCCTCTATCTCATCAACCTGCTTATGGTCTTTGCTATCTACATTCGCACACAGGCGGTAAGAAGAAGAGATGCTCATATTGTGCTATGGTCACGAGGTGACTTTTGACTCTATCCCATCGACCTCCTCATGGTCTTCGCCATCTATATCCCACACAGGCGGTAAGACGAAGCAATGCAGGTGCTGTGGAACTGATGCTAAGTGAATTTTGAGTCAACTCAAAAGCCACCTCATCATGCCCTCTATCTATCTCATCATTCTCCTCATGGTCTTCGCCATCTACATTCACACACAGGCGGTAAGAAACAATCCACTTGCGGCTTTTGAGTCGACTCAAAAGCCGCTAAGAAACGATCCACTTGCTGTCGTGCGACGAGGTGTGTGGTTGACTCATGTGGCACGCCTCTTCCTGCTCCACCTCCCATCATGGATTCCCTCATTCCGCGCTCTCTACTCTTTCGTTCTTTTCCCTCCCAATCAGGTGCCCCCCTGGGCGCTCGTGCTGCTGTGTCTCTCCAAGCGTCTGCACTCCATCTTCCTCCTCCGCCTCTCACGCCTAATTCCCTCATTTCCCACAGCACACTTACCCAATCTGTCCTCTCTTTCTCAATCAGGTGCCCCCCTGGGCGCTCGTGCTGTTGTGTCTCTCCAAGCGCGTGCACTCCATCTTCCTGCTGCGCCTCTTCATTCCCGCCTTGTTACCCCGTTACATGTTCTGTCCCACCACATCAGGTGGCCCCATGGGCGCTCGTGCTGCTGTGCCTCTCCAAGCGCGTACACTCTTCCTGGCCCGCCTCCTCAATGACTGCCTTGTTACACCGTTGCCCATTCTTTCCCCGCTCCTCCCCACACCAGGTGCCCCCATGGGCCCTCGTCCTCCTCTGTCTCTCCAAGCGCGTACACTCCATCTTCCTGCTCCGCCTCTTCAACGACTGCCTCGCCATGGCCTTCCTGCACGCCTCACTGCTCAGACTGCAATCGTCCCGATGGATCCCCGCAGTTCTGCTATTCAGGTCAGTAAAAACCGCTTGTTTGCTAGGAATTTCCACACGCATTTCCCTGTTGCCACTCTCATACTAATAAGTGTGCAGTGCAGGCGTGCAGTCAAGATGAACGTGCTCCTCATCCTCCTCTGCTTCTTCTCTCCCCCATTAGTCCTCCTCCCTCTCATCCTCCATCCCTCCACATGACTACCCCCACATGCATGTGCATGAGTGCAGTGCAGGCGTGTCAGTCAAAATGAACGTGCTGCTCTTCCTCCCTCCGCTGCTTCGTCTCTCCACCCTTAATCTTTCCTTCCTCCATTCCTCCACACGGCTATGTCCATGTGCATGGCTACATGCATGAGTGCAGTGCAGGCGTGTCAGTCAAAATGAGCGTGCTGCTCTTCCTCCCTCCGCTGCTTCGTCTCTCCACCCTTAATCTTTCCTCCCTCCATTCTTCCTCCACACGGCTATGTCCATATGCATGGCTACATGCATGAGTGCAGTGCAGGCGTGTCAGTCAAGATGAACGTGCTTCTCTTCCTCCCTCCGCTGCTTGTCATCATGGCAAAGGTTTGATACCCACTCCCTCCAAACCCCCCAATCTTCTTCGTTCATACAGGCACGAAACTGTTATCGTGCTAATCTATGCCATAGCTTTACCAATGGTTTCAGCAAGGCCGAAATCGCATTTGCACCCTTGATTCTGATCCCCTCTCTCCACCCTCTCGCCTCACCCTGAGTTATCAGTTTGTGTTCGCAATGGTCTTCAAGTTTCAACCGCAAGCACCTTCACGCTTTCCCCTTTGCAAGTTCTCAATCGCCACCTTTTTAATTATCACATAAGTGACACAACCTCTCTCGACTTCCTCGTCTCAAATCTGTGTCCTTTCGGAAACCCACTGCATTGGACTCTTCCCCTGGTTCAAGCAGCTGCTCGTATCACTTCACGCCTAAGAAATTTACTCTCTATCCCTTTGCAACCCCACTGCACCAGACCCTTCCTTTGGTTCAAATAGTGGCTCTTCTTGGGGCAGCAGTCGGCTTTCAGGTATCTGTGTCCATCTCACCTTCGTAGGGTCTACGGTTTCTCTCCCCTGAAAATGAGGTTATTATGCAGGGATTATGGTTTATGATTCCGGTCTAGCCTCTACAGTCTAGAATTATTTTTTTAGGAATAAATGGAAAATGTAATTGAAATGGTTCTCACTCGCTATGTCCGTTTGTAGCCATCAATTTCTGGTTATGTCGTTCCAGTATATTGCCCTCAACTGTAACATTTTCTTTATCCGATGTCCTTGAACTTGCCTGCCACGTGGCAGCTCCTGGTTGGCTGGCCATTCATCAGCACCTTCCCTCAAGCCTACTTTGGTCGCGCATTCGACCTCGGACGCGTCTTCATCCACTTCTGGTACTGCCCTTCACAATATCCTCTGACTACTTTCGCTACCCCGTCCTCTGTTTTTACTCTCACACGAGTATTCATCCACTTCAGGCACTCCCTGCACTTAAGACCCTTCATAGAACCTTACAGTAGTGCCCTGCCTGCTTCTCCCTGCCCCTGCTTATTTCTGCTTTCGACCTTGGACGAGCCTGCATCCACTTCTGGTACTGCCCTGCGTTTGAGGCCCTTCAAGAAATTACCTGTGTTTGGAGTGGTCAGAAGCACATGTGACAGTCTTGTAGCTGCCCTGCTTCTCCCCGCCCCTTCTTTCCTCTGCTCTCCAAACCCTTCATTCGATCCCTCTGGCTTCCTCTTTCTCACCCGCTGCTCTTCCCTTCCCTCTCCTCCCATCAAGTATGTCAATTTCAATTTTGTCCCCAACTCAACCTTTGTCTCCAAGCCCTTTGTTCTCTCCCTCTCTCTTTCACTTGCTCTCCCCCAAATGGTTAATTTCCTGCTGTTTCTGGTGCCCTTGTTTCATCTCTTCCCATCCCTCTCGTCCCATCAGGTCTGTCAACTTCAAGTTTGTCCCCGAGTCAATCTTTGTCTCTAAGCCCTTTGCTCTCTCCCTCCTGGGGCTGCACCTGTTGCTGCTGCTGCTCTTCTGTCACTTCTGCTGCTGCAAGTGAGTTGAGCGTGAGTGATGTCCTTACAAGTGAGTCTAGTTTGAGTGATTCCATACAGGTGAGTTTGTCCAGTGCGCCTTAATTGCGGGTACCTGCTGCTGCTGCCGCCGCCGCTGCTGCCGCCACCGCCGCTGCCGCTGCCATCGCCACTGCCGCATGTCATCTCCCATCATCCCCTTCTCCATCGCTTCTTATCTATCCCCACTCCTCTCCCTGTCCCTCTCACCAGGTACACGGATTGCATGCTCCAACTCACCATCACTCTCCCCTCCATCCATCCTCACCATCCTATTGCACCTCTCCCATACCTTCCATCCATCCGCTCTCCTCTCCCACCTTCCTCACACCAGGTACGAGGGAGGCATGTTTCGAGTCATCATCGCTGCTCTGCTCTCCCTGTTCCCTTTACCACTCTCAAGTTATCCCATTTAACCATCCACAACGGAAATAAATCACTTTTCCATCCCTTCCACCTCCCTCCCGCCAGGTACGAGGGGGGCATGTTTCGAGTCTCCATCGCTGCTCTGCTCTCCTCTTCAAGCACCATTCTTGGAAAATCCCATTAACCATTCATGACATATACTCTTATCCCTTCCCCATCTCTCCCACCTTCCTCACACCAGGTACGAGGGAGGCATGTTTCGAGTCATCATCGCTGCACTCCTCTCCCCCTTCAAACGGCTTCAGACCCGGCCATTGCATCCTGACCGTACGTTATCGCCCCATTTTGACCTTACAACGTCATGACTTCCTGTCTTCACATATCTAGCACACCCTTATCCTATTGTGTCCTCCTCCCATATTTCCAAGTCATTTTTCTAGTCAAGTTTTAAGACACTTCAAGCTATTTCCGATTCGCTTTTTAATATTATCAAAAACGACTCCAATCCAACATCTCTAGCGTATGCTTTTGCTATTGTGCACTCTACCCATATTCCTCCTCCTGCAGTTAGCGCATATACCATCCTCTCCCACCTTCCTTCGTTTGTTTGAATCAGATACCCCATCCGCCGTGCATATATCACACATACCATCCTTCCCAGCTTCCTTCGCTTTCTGCACCGAGTGTGACAATGTTTTTTTTGCACCGCCACCTGTAGTGCATGCAACACAACATCCTTTAACCACGCAGTGCCCTTTCTATCCATCCCCCCCGTCATGTTGCAGACATCACATACCTTATGCTAGTTGGAAACTTCATTGGAATCTTCTGTGCTCGCAGCCTGCACTACCAGTTCTACTCCTGGTCGGTACAAAACCAGCGGTTTTTCAACCCTTCTCTCTGAGTACCAGACCCCTTCTTTTCCCGCTTCTCCCAGCCCTCATTGAATGCCTAATTGCCCTGTTCCACCTACCGTCCTCCTCCTCCTGTGCGACCCCTACACGAAGCTTCTCGTGGTTTCAACCCGAGCTTTCTTCTTTGCTCACTCTTCGGTTCTACAATTCCGCAACTGCGTACACTCTTCTTTCCTCTTATCTTCCGTGTCTTCTCTGTTTTGTTTCTTTGCACCTCCTTTTCCACGATTCCCTTTTCCCCTTTTCTCCCCTGCATTGGAGTTCTTTTCCGCCTCTCTTATTCCCCCACCAGGTACTACTTCTCTATCCCATACCTCCTATGGATTTCTCCTCTACCCACACCACTTAGGTAAGTGTTCTAACCACCACTCCACCATCACACGGGCAAGAATTGGCAAGCACTGGCCACAGCACCCAAATCCATCTCCTTGTACGCTTTGTAAAAATGGTTCGTCGCAAGTTGCCCTGTGCTCATTCGAGTACACCAATGCCGCTCAGAGAGTTTGGTCCTTCCCAGCCACTCCCTCGGCCTATCCCATCCAAAGATTCATGGAGCGCAGAGAATTCCATCTTCCCTGTCCCCTAACAATATTTACTTCTTATAACCTCCCTCCTACCCCAGCCTCCCCTCTCTCTTTCCTCCTCACGCACCTCTCCCTCCTCTTCGCCCTCTGGATGGTTCCCCCCCTTCCCCCCCCCCCGCCTGCCCTTCGGAACAGACGAGCAGTCCTGGCAGGGGCAGGGGGAAGGGGGGAATGGCGCTGGGAGGAACAAGTGTGAATGCTTTCTCAACCCCTTTTTTTCCTCCCTCTGTCCCTCTTCCCCACTCCCCTTGTTTCTCCAGGCTGCTCCTGTGGCTGACCATCGAGCTGTGTTGGAACATCTACCCGTCCACCCCGGCCTCCTCCCTCTCCTACTTAACCACTCTCTCTCTCTCTCTCTTCTCTCTGCCGCCCTTCCCCCTTCCAGGCTGCTCCTGCTCTGAGCTCTTTTGAAATTTCTATCCGTCCACCCCTGATTCCCTCTCCCACTCTAAACCACTCTCTCCCACACCTCCCTTCCTCCCGCCCCCCTCTTCCTCCCATTCCAGACTGCTCCTGTGGCTGTCCATAGAGCTCTGTTGGAACATCTACCCGTCCACCCCGGCCTCCTCCCTCTCCCTCCTCTTCACGCACCTCTCCCTCCTCCTTGCCCTCTGGATGGCTCCCCCCCGCCTGCCCTTCGGAGCAGACGAGCAGGTAGGGGGGGAGATGGAGGGTATGGGGAGGGAGGAGAGGGAGAAGATGTGGCAGCAGTACGTGCAGCAGATGACAAGGGAGGCTGAAGCTCAAGCAGCTGCTGCTGCTTCTGCTGGAGAGGGGTCAAATGGAGCAGAAGGAGAGAAACGAAAGGCAGAGTAAAGTTGTTGGGTTCGATGTGGGGAGGAGGAGAGGGAAAAGATGTGGCAGCAGTACGTTCAGCAGATGACACAAGAGGCTGAGGCTGCTGCTGCTGCAGAGGCGGCAGCAGCAAGGACAAAAGGTGCAGAGGGATCAGGAGCAGGAAGGGGGGAGGGTGGCAAGGGAGCAGAGGGAGAGAAGCGAAAGGCAGAGTAAAGTTGCTGGTGTGGGATGGCAATGTGACAGCAGTGTGTGCAGCAGTTGACACGAGAGGCTGAAGTTGCTACTACTACAGAGACAGCAGCTGAAAGATCAAAAGAAGCAGAGGGATCAGGAGCAGGAGTAGGAGCAGGGGGGGTTGGCAAGGGAGCAGAGGGAGAGAAACGAAAGGTAGAGTGTAGTTGGTGGGTGCTAGATGGGGAGGGAGGAGAGGGAGAAGATGTGGCAGCAGTACGTGCAGCAGATGACACGAAAGGCTGAAGCTGCTGCTGCAGAGGCGGCAGCAGAGGGGACAAAAGGTGCAGAGGGATCAGGAGCAGGAAGGGGGGAGGGTGGCAAGGGAGCAGAGGGAGAGAAGCGAAAGGCAGAGTAAGCTGCTGGTGTGGGATTGCAATGTGGCAGCAGTACTTGCAGCAGATGAGACGGGAGGTTGAAGCTGCTGCTGCTGCAGAGGCAGCGGCTGAGGGATCAAAAGAAGCAGAGAAATCAGGAGCAGGAGTAGGAGCAGGGGGGGTTGGCAAGGGAGCAGAGGGAGAGAAACGAAAGGTAGAGTGTAGTTGGTGGGTGCTAGATGGGGAGGGAGGAGAGGGAGGGAATGTGGCAGCAGTACGTGCAGCAGATGACACGGAAGGCACAAGTTGCTGCTGCTGCAGAGGCGGCAGGAGTAGCATAAGTATCGGTAGCAGCAAGGCAAGGGCAGGTAAGGTGCAGGGGAGGGAGGAGATGGAGGGGAGGGTGTGGAGGTGGAGAAAGGGTGGAGGTGGAGGAGGGGGGTGGAGAGGTGGAAAAAGTGCGAAACAGCAAAGAGGAAAGTGGAATGAAGGGGAGAATACGGCCCAAAGAGTGAAGAGGCTGAGTGCGGGGTGGAGAGGATACATGTCTGGCTGGTGGTGTGGTCTGGCAACAGCAGCAACGTCCGAAGCTGAGGACAAGGAAGCAGCAAGGGAACACCCATGCAGGCAGCACCTGTGTGTGCCAAAACAGAGGCAGCATGTGACTTTCTATGCTGGCCAGAGCAGTAGCAGCGGCAGCAGTAGCAGCGGCGGCAGCATCAGCAGCACACACACTCTTGAGGGTACTGAGTGAGCTAAAACTGCTTTGGTTGACCTTTGGGTGGCAATGGCTTGTATGTTTCACCGTTTGCAGCTGCAGTACACAGTACGGTACAGGTATCTGTGTTTCTACAGAATCGGAGCCAAAATTCAACATGGTACCATATATTTCCAATTTATGTCCTAAATTTTACAAATTTGAGAGGTGGCAGACTCATTCACTAAGGATCCACATGTCCAGCAACAATTCGCAAACCAACACGTTGGAACACCTGTCAACATCCTGAACTCAGAAAACAAAAGCACACTAAAAAAGGGTTTCTACAGCCTACTAACAAGCAACACAATTACACCCATGCAGAAAGCAGCTTTTGTGTCTACACTACATCTGCTGCTGTCCGCCCCCATAGTCCCCCCAGTTGGCCCCCTCCTCCCATTCATCCTCTTCCTCCACCCTTCTTCTCCTCCTCCTGTCATACACCCCCCCTTCCTCCACCACTCTCTTTCTCTTATCATAGATCACCCCCCTCGCCTTACCCTGCGAAACCCTCACTCCATTCAGATACTCCCTTACCATTCGCGTTGCAAACGGATTCGTTTCCGGCCGCCCTCCGTTCTCCTCGAAAGCGGCTCGCAGCCGGCCAATCAGAGCGTCCAGACTCCCCCACGCCTGCTTCATGGGACAGACACATGACTCCCGTACTGAGCTAGACCCATATAACGGACACCCTAAATCGTGTACGCGCGTCCGCCCAAATTGGTCCATATAACGCATGTATTCCACCACATGACGCGGTGTAGCGCGAATCATTGCCACAGGCGGCTGATGCCTTGCCAAATACTGGCTGAAATTGTTCCAATCCCGCTGCTTCTGCGCGTCATACTTATTCGCAGGTCGCGCCTGCTGGCCCTGCAACCCCGTCTTACCAAACCCAGACGCCACAGCAGCAGCACTCGGGGACTTGGGATCGCCAGGACGAAGAGGAGCAAGCGGGGGAACAGAGGGGACGGGGGTGAGCGGGGTCTGCAGCGGCTGCTGCTGGTGCTGCATGTCTAGGAGCATGGAGAAAACGCCACTTGCGGAAGCACCGTTAGAAACGACGGCGGGGGAGCGATTTCCGGCGCCCGTCCCGGAATCCGGACCAGCGCCTTCCTCGACCTTGACTGTGACCTCCTTTTGAGCTGCTTCGTTTTGAGCCGCTTCCTTTTGAGCCGCTTCGGTTCGAGTCGCTTCGGTTTGAGCTGCGCCGGTTTGGGCTGTTTCGGCTGGAGTCGCTTCGTTATGAGCTGCTTCGGTTTGAGCTGCTCCAGTGTGAGCCGCTTCGGTTTGAGCCGCTTCGTTTTGGGCCGCTTCGTTCTGACCTGCTGCTTCGTGCTGGGTTGCTTGGTTGTCCTGAACAGCCGGAACATTCAGATTATTTCCCGTTTGTCCCAGGAAACTCTCCTGAGCTTGATTAGTAACCGCATCTTCGTTTGTAACCGCTTCGTTTGTAGCTGCAAATCCTCCACCATGACCCCCTCCTGGTAAACTCCCTTGCAGCGGCGCCTCCCCGTGCGGCGCATCTTCCGCTGCCAACGGCTCCTGGTGCACAACTCCCCCTCCCGTCAACTGCTGCGTGAACGTCTGATGCTGCTGAGTGAACGTTGGTTGCTGCTGCTGCTGAGTGAACGTTGGCTGTTGCTGCTGACTGAACGTTGGCTGCTGCTGTTGCTGCTGCTGAGTGAACGTTGGCTGTTGCTGCTGAGTGAACGTTGGATTCTGCTGGGTAAACGTTGGATTTTGTTGAGATCCTCCGCCATGGATCGCATCATGAGTCAACTGCTGAGTGAACGCAGAATGACGCGCCGCTTCCTGGATCAACTGCTGTGTTAACGCCGCGTGCAGCGACGATCCCCCCTGCAACGCATCATGAGCTGGCGCGGAGTATGGCGCCGAGAACTGCGCCGCGAATTGCGCTGATCCGGAATAAAACTGCTCGTGCGCTGACGCTCCCGTATTTGCCGGCTCAGGGTTCGTGTTTTCCGCCTGCAGCTGTGAAGCAAGAAGCCCGTCGCGGTACGCTCGGAACACGGCTTGGGCGAACGGATCCGCCATTGCGCTAGCGAAATTGTAGATGCTGAGATGTGTGGGTCGGCCAAGTTGCTTCTTTCCCTGCAAAGAGGACATAGGGATGACGAGGATGCGGGTTAGACTCGGAAGGACTCGGGATGAACTCGGGAAAAAATATAACAACGGAAATACAGAAATCTGAAGAAAGAGATTACGGCACCGCGATGCATTACAGCACCGCGATGCGTCGATGATGAGTAGGAATTTTGTGATAATGAAATTCTGACAGGTTTGCGGATTGGACGGCCTTTGAGCTTGGAGTGTACCAGACGGGCCTTAGAGCTACAGTGATTGCAGGTGTAGTCGCTGCACCCCCAAAAGCAGCAGGAAATGGTGATCCAAGCTAATAGGGAGAGAGGTACACGGCGAAACCCCTATAGAGAAGGCAACAGCTACACCAGCAGCGAGAGGTACACTGAGGGAGCTTCGATTGCAACGAGAGCTACACGCAGGCTGGAGTTATCGAGTCTACACCAGGCGAGCTCGAGGTTCTTGAGAGCGGATGAAAGAGAAACGAATGAAACCCTAGGCGGACGAAAGTGAAGCATGGGGGAAGGGGAAGGTAGGGGAATGCGGGAGGGGGGAGGAAGTGCGGATTTGATGAGCGCAAATGTTTAGTCAAGGGCAGTGTTTTGGATTCTGGAATTTACCGTAAGTGTAGGAATTCGTGTTCGGGTCCAGTATTCGGGTTTGACAGACATTCGCGTCTGACTTCAAATGACGACGCTGCTTGTGGCGCGGAAGCACCACGGGTGTACCGTTTTGGCCTGGTAGTCTGTAGGCTGGTGAATTTATTTGCTCGACTGGAAGGAGGTGCCCAAATTCTGGTTGTTCGTGTATCTGTTGCCCGTACCGCCCCCGCACCCCGCTTTCGAGCTGAAAATCTGTTCTGAGCGCGCTGAAGCGGAAGCATACAACCGTTCGATAAGCCCGCCCAGCCAGCTCACCCAGAATCGTGTTCGTCTATCATCCCGTGAAACCCGCTTTCACCCATCCGCGCTGATCGCAAGTGGAGCTCAATTTCTCTATCTACTTCCGGCACACCACAATGGCACATACTCGTTATTATAGTCCCTAGATGCTTGAACAAAAGTTAAATGAAATATCTGAACGAAAGTCTTGCAGCCCCGATAAGATAAGACAAACAATACAAAAGAAATTCGGCAAGATACAAAATGCCAGCACAAACCATAGGATTCATGTAAATTGATTGGAGAAATTATTTTTTGTTCTTTAGATAAAATATTTAGTCCAACGATACAAGTAAGCGTAATGGTGAATGGCAAAGCAATTACGGTAAGTGCTTGCATGTGCTTCACACGTTATGCTACTTCAAAAAATGGATTGAAGCAAATCATATGCTTTCAATTTTAATAAGGGTCCAAATTTCTGTAGAGACTCACATTACTGCCTTAGGGACATGAATACCGTTAGTTTTGTCAGGTACTTGTTCTGTAAACGAAGATGTCTATTTGCACACCTCGAGATTATCAGTGAATACCTCAGTGTATACGAGTCTCTCGGGTTTGGATTGCCTCAGTGATGTGTGTTCGATGAACCTCGCGTATCGAAAATACGAGGAGCCATGGTCTGTGCGAGGTGTGGAGCCACATTAGAAACGTCGCTCGTTGACACTACAGCCGCTCGAAGTGCAATTTAGGGCCGCATCATCAGATCAGATTCCAGAGAGGCCAGCATTAGTCCGTACAACATCCATTAGGATTCACTATCAGCGAACGCGGTTCGGAAGTCTCCTAGTCATGGTTGGTTACAGGGAGGCGGCGTTTGGCACGTGGACAGTGAAAAGAAATGGGTCGTCGACCGGAGTCTTGCAGTTTCCTACGTGGCATTTCAGCAGTGCGTTGGACTTGAAGCCTGAAGACTTTAGCTGGCACGTGGCATGTGCGTAAGCCTCTAAGCGTCGACCTTGCTTCTCCTCCCGACGTTACCGTTTGCACGCGACGTTACAACCTGCTCCCATCGTTACGTTTCGTAGGGACTGGCAGACGAGCGACTACACTCATGTCGCGGTACTCCTTAGTCGAATAAAAGTATACTAGAAGTAATCGTGAATGCCAATCAGAGACCTCTCTGGCTTCGCATCAGCGATCAACGACACGTGTGCTTCACGACTTCCGTGATTTCCTTCAGTCCGTCTCAATCTCGACAGACTGACCATAGGAGAAGCTTCGCTGAACCACCTTTGTCGGACTAAAACAACACTCGTCCAACCTATATTCTCCTTTTAAACACCCCGCCGCTAACCACCGCTGGGTTCCCACACCCCTTCCTTCTCCTCCCTCTCCAACCCCCACCCCCCAACCCCCCCTTTTTCTTAACACGCCTCACCCTCATTTCCGCCTGCTTCCACCCCTTCCTGCTTCCTACTTATTTCCCCTCCCTCCTGTCCAGCCCAATTCCCCGTCCCTTACACCACAGGGTCTCTCTTCCTTACATCCGTGCTGCTCCCCCCTGCAGTTCTCCCCTGCTGCTCCCTCCCCTGCTGCTCCCTCTCCTGATGCTCCCGAGTCCCGCAACTGCTGATCCTTCCCCTGCTGCTCCCCCCCGTGCTGCTTCCCCCCGTGCTGCTTCTCCCCGTGCTGCTTCCCCCCGTGCTGCTCCCCCCCGTGCTGCTTCCCCCCGTGCTGCTTCCCCCCGTGCTGCTTCCCCCCGTGCTGCTTCCCTCCCGTGCTGCTTCCCCTCCTGCTGCTCTCTCCGTGCTGATCCGTGCTTCTCTCCCCCCATACCCCCAGATACTTTTTTCCTCAACTTCTGCGCTTTCTCTGAGCACGCCTCTCGCCTACATAGTCCCTGTGTTCATGCCCGTCCTGCTCCGCTCTCCCTTGGCTGCTCCCCCTTGCCCTGATCTCCCATCCTTCCAGGGGCTTTCTTTCTCATGGTGCTGTTCGCTTGCTGCCCTCCCTCCTCGCGCTGAAATCCCACCCATCCCACCAGGGACGCTCTTTCTCAAGCTCTGCGCATTTATCTGGGCGCACCTCTCGCCCTACATCACCCCAGCCATTGCGCCCTTCCTAGCATCATGGCAGCAGAACTGGGCGGCGGTGCAAGCGGTTCTCATGGACCCCTGCTCGCAGCACGCCCTCATGGCCGACACCCACCTCCTCTTCCTCCTCCTCGTTGCCCTCTCCTCCCTCCCCTCACCACTCCCCTTTATCCCACATGCCCCTCCCCCTTCCCATCCCCTTCCCTCCCGTTCCGCTCCCCTCCCCATCCCCCCCCAATTCCCCCAGGGACTCTCTTCCTCAAGCTCTGCGCCTTCCTCTGGGCACACCTCTCGCCCTACATCACACCAGCCATCGCGCCCTTCCTACCAGCATGGCAGCAGCACTGGGCAGCAGTGCAAGCCGTGTTCATGGACCCCTGCTCGCAGCACGCCCTCATGGCCGACACGCACCTCCTCTTCCTCCTCCTCGTTGCCCTCGCCTCCCTCGTTCGCGCCCTCCAGCCCGCCCCCCGCCTCGGCCCCGGCGTGACCCCCGAGCAGCTGCAGCAGCAGCACTGGCTGCACCACCGGCGCCACGTACGCGTTTTAGAAGGGTCCCTTTACACAGTTACAGTGGTGCTGACCATGCTGGTAGGGCTAGCGAATCTGGTGGTTTCCCTGTGGTACGTCTGGCCGGGGTGGCGGCCGGAGTGGTCCGATTGCCCCATATTCGAAGACCTGCTGCCGATCGTGCAGTGTGTGGCGTGGTTCGGCATGTCCTGGTCGGTCATGGAGGAGAAAAGACAAGGTGCCACGTGGCACTTCTTCACTCTCCGCCTCTGGTGGACCTCGGTGTTTCTCCTGAATTCCTGGAGCGTGGTCTATTCTCTCGTGCAGATGCACAAGGGGGTGCGCCTCTCAGTAGATGCAGCCCTTGGGATCATCGCCTGGCCCATTTCCGCGTTTCTTTTCGCAGTGGCTTGCCAAAAGCCACCGCCTGTTCACCGGCCGAACGAACCTCTCACCGAGTCTCTTCTTTCCGGGCTGCCCGGAGTGGCCGACCAACCGACCGACCCAGGGGTCACCCCCTGGGAGCGGGCAGGCTGGTGGAACGTTCTCACCTTCCAGTGGATCAACCCGCTTCTCGCCAAAGGGCACCAGAAACCTTTAGACCTGCCCGACATTCCGTTCCTAGCAGACTGGGACACGGCAGATGCTGCCCGAGAAGCTTTCTACCGCACGTGGGATCGCATCCGGCTCTACACGCCGCTCCAACAACCGTCCATCGCATGGACTCTCTGGCTCACCTACTGGCGAAAGTTCCTGGCAATTGCGTTCTGGGCAGGGCTGGAAACGCTGCTACTGTACGTAGGCCCGTCGCTGCTGGCGGAATTTGTGCGGGTGGTTGGGGGAGACGTGCCTGTGTTGACTTTTGACAGAGGGGGCTCTGCTGGTGGTGTCTGTGCTGCTGGGGTTGCTGCTGATGCTGGTGGCAGCTGCAGCAGTAGCTCTGGCAGCTGGCATGTTGATGTGGCTGGGCCGTTAGCAGCGCTGGGGATGGGCCTGACTGGGGCTTTGGGCCTGACGGGCCTGTTCAGCTCTGCTGCTTCTTCCTCTGCCTCCGCTGCTGCTTCTGCTGCTTCCTCCAACCTCACTGCCACTGCCCAAGCCATCGCCTCTGCTGCTTCTGCTGCTTCTGCTGCTGCTGCTGCCGCCTCTTCTACTGCAGTCTTTGTCACTCAAACAGCAGCAGTGGCAGCAGCAGCAGCAGCAGCGGCAGCAGCAGCAGCGCCAGCCCCTAGCCCGGGTGCGCCCCCAGACGAGCCGTGGGAGCAGTGGGAGGGGTACTGGCTGTGCGGGGTGCTGCTGGGGTGCAAGCTGGTGGAGACAGTGGCACAGCACCAGTTCTACTTCCGCTCTGACATCCTTGGGATGAACGTGCGGGCGGCACTCACAGGCCATGTGTTTGACAAGGCGCTCAGGCTGAGCAATGCTGCACGGCACGCGCACCCCATGGGGGAGATCGTCAACTACATGGCGCTGGATGTGCAGGTGCGGGAATGGGTGTTGGTTTTTGGGGTTTGGTTGTAGCTGTGTGGTTGGTGTGCTGCTGGGGTGCTGCTGGGGTGCAAGCTAGTGGAGACGGCTGCACAGCACCAGTTCTAGCTCCGCACTGAAATCCTTGGGATGAATGTCAGGGCGGCGCTCACTCACAGGCCACATGTTTTACAAGGCGATCAGGTTAAGCAATGCCGGAAGGCACACGCACCCCATGAAAGGATGACGCTTTATGTCGGGGAGGGTTTTTCATGTTTGCCTGTTGGGGGACCGTAAGGGCTTTTCATGTTGTGGCGAGAGGCAAGCCCACTAGCACCACCACTACTGATGCCAAGACAGGTGGTGATAAGGCAGGTGGAGATGAGGCAGGTGGTGAGAAGACAGGTGGTGAGAAGACATGTGGTGAGACGACAGGTAGTGAGAAGGCAGGTGGTGAGAAGGCAGGTGGTGAGAAGGAAGGTGATGAGAAGGCAGGTAATGAGAAGACAAGTGGTGATAAGACAGGTGATGTTAAGGTGCTTTTCACCACCTACCTTCTCACTGCCTACCTTCTCATTGCCTGCCTTCTCACTGCCTACCTTCTCACTGCCTGCCTTCTCACCGCCTGCCTCCTGACCAGCTGACTTCTTTCCACCTGTCTTCTCACCACCAGCCTTCTCACCACCAGCCTTCTCACCACCAGCCTTCTCATCATCTGCCTTATCTTCATCCGTCTTATCACCACCTGCCTTGGCATCAGTATTGGTGGTGCTGGTGGGCTTGTCTCCCGCCACAACTGGTGTCGCCTTGCTTTTCATGTTTACAATTACGACAGGGGGACCGTAGGGGCTTTTCATGTTTGCCTGTTGGGAGGCAAGGGGGTACTGGGTGTGCAGCGTGCTGCTAGGAGGCAAGCTGGTGGATATGACGGCAAGAGAAGGGAAGCTCTGCGTGTGCGTGTGGGAGTGATGCTCCTGTGTATTGAGCTCGTGTTTTGAGGTGTCTCAAAGCAGCGTGTGTGTGTGGGTGATAGCATCAGCGTACTGAGCTCGTGTGGTGGCAGTGAAGTTCCTTCTTTCTCAACCCTTTCTCGTCCCTCCCTTCTCCCCCTTCCCCTCACTCTTCCCAGCGAGTAGCGGACATGATGTTTCAGCTGAACAACCTGTGGACTCTTCCTTTGCAGATCCTGCTGGCTCTACTACTACTGCACGCCACTGTGGGCCCCGCAGGCACGCTGGCAGGCGTGGCTACCATGGTGCTGATGATGTGGGCTCAGCTGCTGGTGGCGGGGCAGGCGAGGGAATGCCAGAAGGAGAGAACCGCCTGGCAGGATTTGAGACTCAAGGCCACCACAGAGGCACTCAACAACATGAAGGTGAGGGAGGGGGAAGGGGGAGCGGGGGTGAGCAGGAGAGAGGAGGAGGGAGGACCATTCGAGAGAGAAAGAGAGAGCTGGCGTGGCGACCATGGTGCTCATGATGTGGGCTCAGCTGCTGGTGGCGGGGCAGGCGAGGGAGTGCCAGAAGGAACGCACAGCCTGGCAGGATTTGAGACTCAAGGCCACCACAGAGGCACTCAACAACATGAAGGTGGGGTGGGGGGGAGGGGCGAGTGATCGATTCCAAGAGAGAGTATAAGAGATGAAGAAAGAGTTGGGCTGGGCGGGTATGGTGGGCTGGGGGAGAGGGTGAGTAGAAGCGAGAGAGAGCAGGCGTGGCGACCATGGTGCTCATGATGTGGGCTCAGCTGCTCGTGGCGGGGCAGTCAAGGGAGTGCCAGAAGGAACGAACGGCCTGGCAGGATCTGAGGCTGAAAGCCACTACAGAGGCACTCAACAATATGAAGGTATGCTGGGGAAAAAGGGGGAGTGGGTGGATAGAAGTGAGAGGGGAGAGGGGTTGCGTGATGATAATGGACGAAGAGAGGTGTTATAGGAAGGGGCTGGATGTAAGAAGCCTTCATTGAACCTCACCCATCACGTACCCCTCCCTCCTCCGGCCCTTTCTCTTCCCCCACCATCGCACAACACAGGTGATAAAGCTGCATGCGTGGGAGGGGCGGATCTTGGAGCAGATAGAGGACTATCGGGCGGAGGAGGCAGCATGGTTGGATATTGAGGTGTCTTCATCGAGCCTCACCACTCTGCACCACCGCCCACTCCCCCCCAACCCCCTCTCCTTTGCACCCGCACCGCAGGTGATAAAGCTGCATGCGTGGGAGGGGCGATTCTTGGAGCAGATAGAGGACTATCGGGCGGAGGAGGCGGCATGGTTAGCGCGTTACAACTACCTCATGGCAGCCAACATCGTCTTCCTCTGGATGTCGCCTCTCCTCGTCGCCTCCGCTACCTTCGCTGCCTGCGTGGCCTTCCAAGAACCGCTCTCTGCTGCTTCCATTTTCACAGCCATCGCCACCTTCCGGATTCTCCAGGTATGTGGGTTGGGGGGCTGCGTCAATCCACATACCGTAGCCTAATCAGTACATGGTAAGTCTTAGATGAGTGCAGCCAGCATACATGGTTAGCGCGTTACAACTACCTCATGGCAGCCAACATCGTCTTCCTCTGAATGTCGCCTCTCCTCGTCGCCTCCGCCACCTTTGCTGCCTGCGTGGCCTTCCAAGAACCGCTGTCTGCTGCGTCAATCTTCACTGCCATCGCCACCTAGGGATGAGCAGAGGCCGAACTCGAACAGGTTCGAGTTCGTCCTCAGTCGAACAGCTCGAACAGCCGAACCGAACACTGTTCGGTTCGGCGAACGATTTAGGCCGCCTCTGGTGTTCGATGTTCGGCCCCAGGGGCGAACGTTTTGTGGTAGCAGGCGAACTCGAACATGTTCGCGCCGAACATGTTTGAGTTCGCCTTTCATCATATTCACTATAATCACACCTGCCAGAAAGGGTTTTTTACGGGCCAGAAAGATAAATAAAGGGTTTGCATGGTGCCCCAGCGTTCCTGCAACCGTCCCAAACCTACAAACAACATTCCACGGTGTAACAAGAGTTGTATAATGCCAAAAATCCCTATGCTAACGCCGCGCCACTGCTACTACCAACAGCAGGCTCTACCCCCTCGCCAGCTGTGTCATCAGCAGCCCCCACACCCTTCCCCCCCTCCTCCTCCTCCTCCTCATCCTCCTCCTCCTCGTCGTCTTCCTCCGCCCCCTCGCCCTCAATGGCAAACTCTGGCGGTGCGACGCCTCTCTGTCGGCGGCCCTCGCCTATCCTCTGGCCGGGGTGTGAGGTGTACCAGGATCGGAGAACCATGATAGCTCGCGTTCTCTGGGAGGCCAGGCGGTGTCGCTTCCAGGAAATGACGTTGCGGCCAAGGAGAACACGCGCTCGTTCGATGCGGACGTGGCAGGGATCGCGAGATAATCCTGGGCCATGCGCCTAAGCGTCTGCATGTTGGTGGCCGTGCGCCAGTACTCCAACGCCGTCACGTCATCCCAAACCCGCTCCGACAGGTACCTGCTAACCTCGTCATCCTGTAGCATCCCGCCCCTCCCCGCCTGCTGGCTCGCTGAGAGACGCACTGCAAGTCGACGGCGACTAGGGATATACTGCGCATCCTCGTCGTCGTCCGCTGCGTCACCCTCCTCCTCCTCCGTCACAGTGGCAAGTGGGGGCGCCCGGGGGGCTAGCGCTGCAGCCCGGGCCTGGTACTCGGCCACGCGGTCGCGTACCAGCTGGACCACCTCGCTAGAAGTGGGACGCGGCCTCACCCTCGGCTCGGTCTCGGGATGCTGCGACTCCCAGTGCGCGTCATCAAACCACGCCGCCTTCATGGACGGGTCCAAGAAGGTGGCGATCCACAGCTCGTTGGAGGACATGTACGCATACTTCTTCAGCACCCCCAGCGCCGCCTCGATCATCGGCTTCAGCGCATCCGATGGCCACTTCGCAAGGCGCGCCTCCAAAGCGTCGATCAGGCCGTTGTAGTACGGCACGACCATCGACACTGTAGGGTACGCCGCCCCCTCCGCTGCCTTCGAGACTCTGGCGAATGGACTGAGGAATGCCTTGACAGCATGCAGAGTCTCCCAATCTGCGTCAGTCAGGCGCAAGGTCTCGACCTTCTTCTTGTCAGTCGCCGACAAGCCCTGTAGGTTTGTGGGTTTGGACAGGCATGGTTGACAGAATGAAACTTGGGTTAGTGAGGGTGGCTTGTGATTGTAAAACGCACAACAAACATGAACACCGCCAGTGTTGTCAGTGCTGTGTCTAGGTGGTAAGACCTGCTTGCAAACGTAACCCCAGCACACACACAACACCGGTCGCGCACACCCGTCACACACACCTGTGTCTGGGCAAAGAAGACATTGATTGGTTCCTGCAGAACCCCAGCTCGCTCGACCATGTCGTGGGTCGACCCCCAGCGCGTGGGAGAGTCCTGCACCAGCTTCAGCGCCGGCTTCGGTTTGGCGGGGTTGGCCTGCGCGTTCAAGGTCCGCTGTAGGCCCAGAAACTTCCCTGAGCGCTGTGGCGAGAAGCCCACCCACGACGCCATCTCCCTCAGGATCTTCAGCAGCTTGCGTATGGCGGCCATTGCGAGAGCTGCCTTCACTGCAAGGTTGATCACATGTGCCAAGCAGCTGCACGAGCAAAACAGCATGAAAGACGGACAGATGGGGAAGGGTGAGTATGCATCGTCAAAGCAAGCCACGAAGCCACACGTTTAGCTACACACCAAATAAGTCACAACTAGGCACGCCCGCAGCCCACACACCCTCACACACACACACTCACCGGAAGTGCATGCGCTCGGTGAAGAAGCACCTCCCACCACCCTCCTCCGACAGCCGCCTGAAGGCAGCAATGTTGCTGGAGGCGTTGTCTGACGTCAACCCAAGACAACGCCCCTCCAACTTCCACTGCACCACTGTCTCCTCAACCACCTTCGCAATCTCCTTGCCCCCATGCCGCCCGAGCATCTCACGGAACTCAAGCACCATCGTGCGCAGCTGGAAGGCCTCGTCTATCCAGTGGCCGGTAACCACTAGCCATGCTTTGTTGTTGGGTGCCGTCCATATGTCTATGGTAGTCGACACCTTGCACCCCAGCTCCCCCTCCTTCGCCAGCATCTCCGCGATGGCGGACTGGAGAGCGGCCGCCGCAAAGACAACGGTGTCGCGGGAGACCGTCCATCGGGAGGGGATGAAGTTCTTCTGCGTGCAGTTGCGATTTAGCAGGATCAGCAGCTCCCGAAACTGTAGGGGGGTGGAGACAAGGGGAGGGGAGATAGGGGCGTCAAAGAATGGGTGATGGGCGTGAGAAATGCAGGCACAAACCAACAATCGAGCGCAATAAACAGAATAGCAAACTCACATGCTTCCCATAACCCTACCATATCACCCCATGGGATAGGGCACTTACAGCCTCGGCCTCCACGATGCGGAAGGGGAGGTCGCAGGTGACCACTAGCTTGGCGATCGCCTGTCGGAGCTCCCCCAAAGTCAGCTTCGTTGTCATAAACCGCTCAATCCCGCCCCCCTTCTTATCTCCACGCGATGCCTGCCCTGTCTTGGTCGCGAGATGAGGCCACGTCTTGGCAAGCGGGTAAGCTTCGACGTAGCCATCTGGAACACCCTTGTAGCCCCCTCGAGGAAACGTTTCGCCTGGCAACTGAATGGACGGGGTGTGGTAACGGTGATGCCATACGAGCATATGCGTTGTATGGTGGCTCGCGAAGTGCCACTCGCCGGGAGTGGTTGTGGACTGCTTCCACGAGATCTTGTCAGTGCAAATCTTGCACTGACGCTTCTCGTCTGCGTCCTTCGGTCCGAACATCATAACTTGCCACCCCGGTTTCCTGCTACCCGTCCCCTTGCTACTTTCTGACCCTCCGTCCTCGTCTAAGAACTCCGGTGCGATCACGCCCTCGCCCAACGGCTCCCCTGTGAACGTAGCGGGGTACGCCCGCTCCCTCAACTTGTTCACCCTCTTCCCCCGCCTTGGCGGCTTAATGGTCGCGGCCTTTTTCCCTACGGTAACCCCCACGCTCCCACCCCCTTCACGCACATGGTGTGAGCCCGCCTCCGTCGCCGCCTCTCCACCACCCTCTCCCACCTCCTCCTCCCCCCCCTCTGGCTCCAACCCATCCATCTCGTGGTCTTCATCATCCTCTCCCCTCTCCCCACCGCCATCCGTCTCTGGGTCCCACCCTGCCTCACTGTCATCCCCGCTCCCCTCATCGTCCTCATCCTCATCGCAATCACCCTCCTCCTCCTCCTCCTCATCCTCTTCCCCACTGCCACTCTCCGGCTGTGTCTGCCCTGAAGGAGGGGGTCGAGGGCCGTCGTAGCGGAAAGAATGACGTGACGTCGGCGTCGCTAAGGAAAGCAACCCTCCCACAAAGCAAGCGCCGGCTCCTCCAGGTCCATCCCCTACCCGCCCCTCCATAGGTCGTGGTGGAGAACCTGGTACGCCGCTACCAGCGCCGCCTGGACCTCGTGCTACAGATCCACCTCGGCCAGAAGCCATACCCCCGCCCTCGGCTCAAAAACCCTAAAACCCGGGGTGAGGCGACGGGCGGTTTCTTTGGGTAGTAGCACGGCCCTGAACGTACTGAACTTCGTGTGGCTATCTAAAATTGAGTGATTCGAACCGTACGGCTTAGACCACGTGTTGCTTGAAGAAGTTGCTACAATAAGAGACTGAAATTTCGACTACGTAGACTCCACCAATGAAACCCTAGTTATGATCTCCGGGAGGATAAGTTGTGACGGAGAGCTAAGGCTACAAGTTAAAGAATGCTAGGGTGGGGTGGGGGTGTGAGGTAGTAGGGCTGGCAAGGCTGGAAAACGCGATCTGAGTTTGAGCTATCGAAATGAGCCCAAACTCAGATCGGCCGCGACCTAAAATTGGTCGCGGCCAAATTTGACGCGAACACCAATGTGTTCGCGTAGCCCCCGAGTCGAACACGAACATGTTCGTGTTCGACTTGGGGGCCCCTGTTGACTGAGGCGAACATCGAACATGTTCGGCCGAAAACCGAACATGTTCGGGCCGAACTATTTAAGCAAAAAAAAATGCCTGTTCGGTTCGCCTCGAACATGTTCGAGGCGAACCGAACAGGCGTTCGGAATTTTGCTCAACCCTATCGCCACCTTCCAAATCCTCCAGGTGGGCTGTCTGCTGCTGCCGCTCCTTGTCCTCACTTATTTTCTCCATACCTCTTCCCTCTCTGATCATATCCAGCATACCTCCTGTTTTAAAGCTTCTCTTCCACTGCCTTCTATGTTTCTCATGCTCCCACCTCATCCTCCTCCCTCCCTGCACCTGCCTCTCCTCCTGTCCTTGCCCCTGCCTCCCTTCCTTCCCCTGCTCGTCTCCCTCTCCTCTGCCCCACAGGAGCCCCTCCGATCGTTTCCAGACGTCCTCTCCTCCATCTCTCAAGCACTCGTGTCTTTCTCAGTTCTGCAGTTTCCGCATTTTTCTCACGCCTACCCCTCTTCCCCATCTCCCTCTCTGTCATCAATTCTCCCTCTCCTCTGCCCCACAGGAGCCCCTCCGCTCATTCCCAGACGTCCTCTCCTCCATCTCTCAAGCACTCGTGTCTCTCGATCGCCTCGCCAGGTATAGCCACCCTCAAGCGCTCGTGTCTCTCTATCTCTCAAACGCCACGTGCGCCAGGTATAGCTAGTATACCAGACTGCTTACCGTGCTTGCCAGTTACAGAGCAGCAGTACTTCTCCCTGTCCCCTGCTCGCTGCTCCCTACACTTTGGTCCCTCCCCTTCTCCCTCGCCCTCACCATCCCCACACGAGAAACCAGGTACCAGTGCAGGCAGGAGATCGAGGTGACAGCAGTCTCATGGCTCTCCCCAGAGGACACAGACGACGCTGTCTATGTGGACGGGGGCGCTTCTAGGACCTACCCCTGCTGCAGCTGCTGCAGCACATGCACCTGCCTCCTCCATCCCCCTCCCTTTCTGCCTCCTCAACCCCACTCTCGCGGCTCGCTTCTGCAGGTACCAGTCAGCGCAGGAGATCGAGGTGACAACAGTTTCCTGGCTCTCCCCGGAGGACACAGAGGACGCTGTCTTTGTTGACGGGGGTGCTCCTCCTTCCCTGTCTGCCACATGCCTCTTCCCTCCCATCCCCTTCCCCCTCTCCATCCCACTCCAGGTACCAGTCAGCGCAGGAGATCGAGGTGACAGCAGTCTCATGGCTCTCCCCAGAGGACACAGAGGATGCTGTCTTAATCGACGGGGGCGCTTTAACCTGGGACCTGCTCCCCCACACCTTCACCACATGAACCGTCCCACATCCACAACAATCCCCCTCGCTTTCCCCTTCCCCACCCCTACTGCAGGTACCAGTCAGCCCAGGAGATCGAGGTGACAGCAGCCTCATGGCTCTCGCCAGAGGACACAGAGGATGCTGTCTTAATCGACGGGGGCGCTTTAACCTGGGACCTGCTCCCCCACACCTTCACCACATGAACCGTCCCACATCCACAACAATCCCCCTCGCTTTCCCCTTCCCCACCCCTACTGCAGGTACCAGTCAGCCCAGGAGATCGAGGTGACAGCAGTCTCATGGCTCTCGCCAGAGGACACAGAGGACGCTGTCTTTGTCGACGGGGGTGCTCCTCCTTCCCTGTCTGCCACATGCCTCTTCCCTCCCATCCCCTTCCCCCTCTCCATCCCACTCCAGGTACCAGTCAGCGCAGGAGATCGAGGTGACAGCAGTCTCATGGCTCTCCCCAGAGGACACAGAGGACGCTGTCTTAATCGACAAGGGCGCTTTAACCTGGGACCTGCTCCCCCACACCTTCACCACATGAACCGTCCCACATCCACAACAATCCCCCTCGCTTTCCCCTTCCCCACCCCTACTGCAGGTACCAGTCAGCCCAGGAGATCGAGGTGACAGCAGTCTCATGGCTCTCGCCAGAGGACACAGAGGACGCTGTTTTTGTCGACGGGGGCGCCTTCACATGGGACCTGCCCCCCCCGCACCTGCAGCACATGCACCGCCCCACGCTGCGCGGCATCGGCATGCAGATCGGCCGCGGGGCCCGAGTGGCCATCTGTGGGCCTGTTGGGTCGGGCAAGTCGAGCCTTCTCAGCTGCATCCTGGGAGAGATGCACAAGCTATCTGGCATTGTGAGTGTCCCTTGGGAAGGGGGCATCGGCATGCAGTTCGGCCGGGGGGCGAGAGTGGCCATCTGTGGGCCTGTGGGTCGGGCAAGTCGAGCCTGCTCAGCTGCATTTTGGGGGAGATGCTCAAGCTGTCGGGAATTGTAAGTCGAGTAGAGTGTGCGATCAGGAACTGGGGGTGGGGGATATGACCAAGGGTGGCCATTTGTCAGCCTGTGGGGTCGGGCAAGTCGAGCCTGCTCAGCTGCATCCTGGGGGAGATGCTCTGTCTGGCATTGTAAGTAGGGTGTGTGTCTGGGAATTGGGGGGGTATGACTGGGTTTAGATTGAGCATGAACCACCATGCTGGATGGATGGAAGGCTGGGGGCGTTTACCTGGCTGGGACCTGACCCCCCCGAGTATGAAGATTATTTTTGAGGCGTCTCAAAAGTAAACTTCATACACGTGGTTTACCGGGCTGGAATGTGACCCTTCACTTCACTCCCTTACCCTCCCCACCCCTTCCCCCCAGGTGCAAGTGGCGGGCACCATAGCACACGTGCCGCAAACCCCGTGGATTCAGAACGGCACCATTCGGGACAATGTCACATTCGGCCTGCAGATGAACCGTGCTCTCTACGAGCGCGTGCTGCGCGTCTGCGCCCTCGCTGCTGACCTGGCAGGTGAGTTTCCACCTCGCCGCTGACGTGGCAGGTGAGACTTTTGAAGCGCCTCTGAAGCCAGATGAACTGCGCCCTCTGCGGGAGTGTGCTGCGCGTGTGCGCCTCGCTGCTGACCTGGTAGGTGAGCTTGCGCCCTCACTGCTGACCTGGCAGGTGCAATCTCGCTGCTGGCCTAACTGCCATGTCAGCATGCGTAATTTTTTTCCGAGCTGGCACCCATGTTGCATGCACACTTGCGCTCATTATCACACTCCACCTTGCATCCCCACGCCTCTGTGCTGGCATCTGACGTGGCAGTGCTGCCACGTGGCGACGAGACGGAGATAGGGGAGCGGGGCATCAACCTATCGGGCGGGCAGAAGCAGCGCATCCAGGTGGCGAGGGCCGTGTACCATGATGCTGACATCTACCTGCTGGATGACCCGTTTTCGAGTGTTGACACGGCAACTGGCTCCTTGATCTTCGATGTGAGTGAGCCCTCATGGTCGATCATCGTCTCTTATTGTGTGCCCATTAAGGTGCAGTGCAGAAGCAGCGCATACAGGTGGCCAGGGCCGTGTACCACGATTCCGACATCTACCTGCTGGATGACCCCTTCTCAAGCGTTGTCACCGCCACTGGCTCCTTGATCTTCGATGTGAGGCCTTTGCTTTGCGTAATCATGTGATATCATACTCTCTGTCTTGTTTTGCACCCATGTGTGTGTTTGTTTTGAGTGAGTTGAGGTGCTTCGCAATGCATCATCTGCCCTTGTCTTTGCCTTGCCTGCCCCCTCTGCCCACTGGCCATTGCCCGGAGCGCGTGCTGGACTTCCTGCTGCTGGCTACCAGGACTGGCACATCAAACAGACAGACATACTGAATCAAGCTCCGCTCTGCAGTCATGCTTTTCCTTTTCTGCTTGCCTCACCTCTGCCTACTGCCCTCACCAGGAGTGTGTGTTGGGCCTGCTGGGCGCCAAAACAGTTCTCTTCGTGACCAATCAGCTTGAGTTCCTGCCGGCTGCTGACCTCATCCTGGTGCGTGCTGACGTGACGTCATCCCGATGTCATTATGGATGATGTCATCCTGGTGTGCACTGACAGTGTGTCTTCCCAGTTTCAACCATCCACACCATCACTTTTCCTCCCTTTAGTCCGATGCCAGCACTCACATTGTATTGCGTATCTGCCCTTGATTTCTGCACCCCACCACACTCCACCGCATTCGGTGGAGGACTTCTCCCTCCTGCTAAACCTCCCTCCCCCAACCCTCCCTCCTGTTGCCTTTCCCCTCCCTTGCTCCCTCCCTCCTACAGGTGATGCGGGACGGGGAGATAGTCCAGGCAGGGCAGTATGAGGAGCTACAGAGGGCAGGCACAGACTTCTCCCTGCTGCTGGAACGTCTCTCCTCCTTTGCTCCTTTGCTCCCTCGCTCCCATGGGGAGATAGTCCAAGCGGGGAAGTACGAGGAAGGCACAGACTTCTCTCTGTTGATGATACCCCCCAACTTCCATCCCCCATTCCCACTCGCCCCGCCCCACCCTCCTACAGGTTATGCGTGATGGGGAGATAGTCCAGGCAGGGCAATACGAGGAGCTTCAGAGGGCCGGCACCGACTTCTCCCTCCTGCTCGACTTCTCCTTTCCCCCCTTTGTTCCCTTGCTCCCTTCCGCCACAGGTGATGCGCGATGGTGAAATAGTCCAGGCAGGGCAGTATGAGGAGCTGCAACGTGCAGGCACGGACTTCTCCCTGCTGCTGGACGCACACAACGACGCCATGGGCTCCATGGACCTGCCCCCTCCCAACCCCTTCCAACCGTCCCACACCTTCCACCACCACCCTCAACCGCAACGCGCCCCTTCCCTCGGGAACATCCTAGCCGCCAATGGCGACGTGTTCTCCCGGTTCGACATGGACGATCAAGAGTTGGCGACTCTGCTGCTGGGCCCCCAGGCCGGGGCTGACGGGCTCGGGCTAGCCTCGGGCGGAGGCTCGGGAGGGATGGGAGACCTGGGGATGGGTGCGGGAGGTGGTGTGGGTTTGGGAGGTGGGGGAGCGAGTGGGGTTGCTGCAGATGGGTCATTGATCGGGGTGGTGGGGGGAGCGGGGGGAGTGGTGGTGGGACCGATGGCGGCAGTGGCAGCAGCGGTGGCGAGTGGGGCGGAGGACCGGCAGTTTGGGCGGGTGAATGCGGAGGTGTATCGGGCGTATCTCACGCGGGCGTATGGGGGGTCTATGGTGCCCATCATTGTGGCCTCGCAGGTAGGAATTGAGGGGGGCTTGCAGGGAGAAGAGGGGAAGCAGGAGTTGACTCAAGTGGTGCCTCAGGTTGTTCGTTAGGGCGGGTGAATGGAGATGTGTATCGGGCATACCTCACAAGGGCATATGGTGGACCCATGGTCCCCATCGTTGTGGCCTCTCAGGTGAGTGCTCGCATGGAACAGAGGGGTTGGCTCCCAGCCCAGGCGTGTGTCTGGAGGGAAGGGTGCAGTTCACTTGAAGGGCACTGCAGGGGTGAATGACAAGCAGAGGGCAGGTAAGTTGGGCGGGTGAATGAGGAGCCGAGGACGGGCAGTTTCGGTGTATCGGGCGTACCTCACACAGGCGTATGGTGTCGCAGGTGAGTGTGTGATACCTGGACGGGAGGGGTCTAGCCTTGGTGGTCACTCAACTTAACTGGCACCCCCTGTGATGCTAATAGTCATAGCACACTCAGATTCGCACTGCTGTTCTGTTCCTGGCAGAAGCAACGATGAAACTCTTTCCTCCCTCCGTCTTCCCTTTCCTCTCCCTCTTCTCTCTCCCCTTCCCCACACCTACCTCCTTCAGGTGCTTTTTCAGGTGCTTCAGATAGGTGCCAACTGGTGGTTAGCCCGTGAAGTGCAACCTCTCCACCCAGCAGTGCTCACCTGGTCGGATGTCCGAGCCTTCGCCTCCCTCGCCATCGACAGCAGCCTTTTCGTCATGCTCCGTGCCTTCCTGTTTTCATAATCAGTGCACTGATCTCCTTTATTCTCCTCCCACCTCTCCCCTCTCTTCCTCCGCCTCCTCCCCCTCCCCATCTTCCCCTCCTTCCCCCCACCTACCTCCTTCAGGTGCTTTTTCAGGTGCTGCAGATAGGCGCGAACTGGTGGCTAGCTCGTGAAGTGCAACCTCTCCACCCAGTTGTGCTCACGTGGCCGGACGTCCGAGCCTACGCCTCCCTCGCCATCGGCAGCAGCCTCTACGTTGTTCTCCGCGCCTCCCTCTCTCTCCTCCGCCCATGTATGCAAACCCGTCTCCTCCTTTCGTCTCCCTTCCTCCCTCGCCACTTCCAACCTTCCCCACCCTTCACTCGTCCCAACACCACCTCAGGTGCTTTTTCAGGTGCTTCAGATAGGAGCCAACTGGTGGCTAGCTCGCGAGGTCCAACCCCTGCACCCAGCAGTGCTCACGTGGCCGGACGTCCGAGCCTACGCCTCCCTCGCCATCGGCAGCGGCCTCTTCGTTGTCCTCCGCGCCTTCCTCTCCGTGCATGTGGGGCTGAGGACGGCTGATGGGTTCTTTCAGGACATGCTGCATGCTGTGTTCCGCGCTCCCATGGCCTTCTTTGACTCCACCCCCACGGGAAGGACGCTTGCCAGGGTGAGTCTTGGGGTCTTGGTGCGAGTGTGGGAGGCATAGAACCTCTTATTCCTCTTTCCTTTCCGTGCATGTGAGGCTGAGAACAGCAGATGGGTTCTTTCAAGACGTGCTGCATACTGTGTTCCTCTCCCCCACGGCCTTTTTCGAGTCCACCCCTAGGGGAAGAACTCTTGCTAGGGTTAGTGGTGGAGTCTGGGACATGATGTGAGTATCATAGTTAGTGAACTCATAGCGCCCTTTCTGCCAGATCGTGCACGTGGGATCGAAAACAGCAAATCGGTTCAGCGGACTGGGAGGCATCAGCACACGGGTTCTACCAGAACAACCTGACTAGCTCTTCACCAGCTATATATCTCTCTCCATCACACCACACCCCTCTCTCACTCATCAACACACCAGGCATCAGCGGACCAGAACACGCTGGACTTGCAGCTCTTCTTCAACTCCTCTGTATCTCTATCCATCCCTCTCCACTCCGCCACTCTCTTACCGTCTGTCACACCAGGCATCAGCTGACCAGAACGCCCTCGACTTGCAGCTCGTCTTCAACTTCAACACATCTCTCCCCACCACCTCATCCCCTTCCGCGCCTCTCTTCATCCCTCTGCACCCATCCACCCCTCTCTCTGTCACCCACACATCAGGCATCAGCGGACCAGAACGCCCTTGACGTGCAGCTCTTGTTGAACTCCTTTGTAACCCTATCCACCACCACTATATTTCTATCTCCGCCCCTCTGCGCCACTCTATTACCACCAGGCATCAGCGGACCAGAACGCCTTTGACTTGCAGCTCGTCAAAGCCTATATATCCCTCTCCACCCCTCCCAAACACTCCCTTACTGGTTATCATGCCAGGCATCTGTGGTCCAGAATGCGCTGGACTTGCAGCTCTTCTTCAACTCATATACCCAGCCATCCCCACTACTTCATCCCCTTCTGCCCCTCCCCACCCCTCTCTGACCCACACATCAGGCATCAGCGGACCAGAACGCCCTTGACTTGCAGCTCTTCTTCAACTTTGGCTCCGTGCTCAACAACCTCGTGCAGCTTCTGGGAATCTTCCTCGTCACCGCTGCCGTCACGTGGCCGGTCATCGTGGTCCTCATCCCCCTCGCGCTGCTCTACGTGCCGCTGCAGGTGGGAAAGGGTGCAGGTTGAAGCAACTCCAGTCCTACAAATGAAGGTAAAGGTACTATAGTGTAAAGGACTCCTCCTCAAGTATCACCTCTGCCGTCACCGCCGGTCATCGTGGTCCTCATTCCCCTCGCGCTGCTCTACGTGCCGTTGCAGGTACGATAGGATTGATGCACGTGGGGTAGGAATGAGTCTATGCACTGACAGTACCATGTGTCAGACATCTCAAGAGCCTTTCTAGTCACCTCAAGGGTTTGCTTAGGCGCCTGAAGAGTTTTGTTAGGCACCGCAAAAGGACTCTTCTTACGTGCCACTGCGATTAAGTTGATCTCTTAGCCCCTAGCCACGCTCCTAGCTGGCTGGAAATTCGAAGAGGTCTGCTTCAAGATCGCAAAAAACGAAGTGGACTGTTCCGCCCATCTTCACAGATTTATCTTCGTCTTCGCTTCCCCCCCTGCCACCACTTCTACCTCTCTTCATCTCACGCGAGCTTATCGAAATCGACGGCCTCACCAAGTCGCCCAGTCTCACTTCACTCACGCATTTCCTCCTTCCCTCCTGCGTCTTCCCCTCCACCTGCCAGCGCTACTACCTCTCCTCATCACGCGAGCTCACCCGCATCGACGGGCTGACCAAGTCGCCTATTCTCGCGCATTTCTCCGAGACACTCGCCGGGGCGGCGGTGATCCGTGCGTTCGCCCAGGAGGAGCGGTTTGAGATAGAGAATGCGGATGCGGTGGACAACAACATGCGAGCGTACTTCCATTATTACGGCGCCATCTACTGGCTGGGCCTCCGATTGGAAACGATTTCTGCTGTTGTGCTTGCGTTCGTGGCATTCCTGCTGGTGCTCGTGCCTCAGGGGACCATCGAACCAGGTAGGGGTTCGTTTCTTGGCTTGAACCTGAAGAGTGATGATGGGTGCAGTGCAGTGTTGTGAGCGGTTTGAGATAGAGAATGCTGATGCGGTGGATAACAACATGCGCGCCTACTTCCACTACTATGGCGCTATCTACTGGCTGGGGCTCCGATTGGAAACGATCTCTGCTGTTGTCCTTGCCTTCGTTGCCTTCCTGCTGGTTCTCGTGCCACAGGGAACAATTGAACCAGGTAAGTTTCTTGCTGTAGGCTGGGTTGCCACAAAGAGCTGTTGGGATAGTCTCCAGCAGTTGAGAAAGTGTGCAGTGCAGTGAGAAGATTGAGATAGAGAACGCGAACGCAGACGCGGATAGAGTTCCAACATGCAAGAATACTTCCACTACTATGGAGCCATCTACTGGCTGGGCCTCCGACTTGAAACCATCTCGGCTGTGGTGCTCGCCTTTGTGGCCTTCCTGCTTGTGCTGATGCACAGGGGACCATCGAGCCTGTACGTCTCTTTCTTCTGGGTTGGGTCGCAACAAAGGGCAGGAGGAGAGATTTGAGATAGAGAACGCTGATGCGGTGGGCAACAACATGCGAGCCTACTTCCATTACTGTGGGTGAAGATGGGGCCATTTATGTTGTAGATGGATGAAGATGAAGATTATGTTTCCCTTCCTTTCTGTTCTTTTGTGCCTTGTAGGCTTGTACCAGGCCAGGCAGTGTTATCCAGCCTGCCCAGCAGGGTTATCCAGCAGTTCTTTTCTCCTCTCCTTCCCCTCCTTCCTGCTCTTCATGTCATCCAGGCCTTGCAGGTGTTTCTCTCGCCTACGGACTAACCCTTAACATGGCGTTGGTGATGACCATGTGGCATCTCTCCAACCTCGAGAACAAGCTAGTGGCAGTGGATCGAATCCGGCATTTCTCCGCCATCCCCTCAACACAGCACTCGTGATGACCATGTAACCAGCTCTCGCACCTCAATAACAGGCTCCAATTTCCCACCTCCCACCCACACCTCCTTCCCGTCCTTGTTCTTCCTGTGCCTTAAAATCACCAGGCTTAGCAGGAGTTTCCTTGGCCTACGGACTAACTCTCAACATGGCGTTGGTGATGACCATGTGGCATCTCTCCAACCTCGAGAACAAGCTAGTGGCAGTGGATCGCATCCGCCATTTCTCCGCCATCCCCTCTGAGGCGCCCCTGATCGTTGAGGGCAACCGCCCTTCCGCTGACTGGCCGAATCGAGGCTCCATCAGTTTTGAGAACCTCCAGGTGAGCCAGGCTGCCCAGCCCACTGCTTCTCAGCTTCTGGCTGTGTGGCTGCTTTTAAAACGATTAAAAAGCCCAAATGCAGAAGATCTCTGGAGTCCCAAACCTCGAGAACAAGCTAGTGGCAGTGGATCGCATCCGCCATTTCTCCGCCATCCCCTCTGAGGCGCCCTTAATCGTTGAGGGCAACCGGCCCTCTGCTGACTGGCCGAATCGAGGCTCCATCAGTTTTGAGAACCTCCAGGTGAGCCAGGCTGCCCAGCCCACTGCTACTCAACTCGTTGCTGTGATTCTGCTGCCTTTGAGCCGCATCAAAAGCCCACACACAGAGAGGAGCTCCAGAGCCTTGCAGCTCAGACAGCAAGTTTTTTCGGCAGTGTATCGCATCCGCCATTTCTCCGCCATCCCCTCTGAGGCGCCCCTGATCGTTGAGCGCAACCGGCCCTCTGCTGACTGGCCGAATCGAGGCTCCATCAGCTTTGAGAACCTCCAGGTGAGCCCTCTGCTGTTCAGCTTTGAAGTCACATCCACGTGTTGCAGCTGAGAGCTACAGAGCAGCTGACTGGGCCTATCGGAACTCTGTCATCTCTTAAAACCTTCAGGTGAGCTCACTGCTTTTCAGCTTTGAAGACACATCCACGTGTTGTAGTTGAGAGCTATGGAGCAGCTGACTGGGCCTATCGAAGCTCCATCTGCTTTGACAGCCTTCAGGTGAGCTCAGTCCTGATTTCTCAGTCAACTTTGAGAAATTTCAGGCGGCTTCTTTGATTATTTTTCTAAACCTCCAGGTTCCTGGAGACTTCTTATAACCTCCACGTCTATCCTCTGTTTCCCGGCCCTTCAATTGTTGACGTCTCTCTCTATTTTCACACAGATGCGCTACAGGGAGGCAATGCCTCTGGTCCTGAAGGGCGTGACAGTGACATTCAGAGGCGGGGAGAAAGTGGGAGTGGTCGGCCGCACAGGCAGCGGCAAATCCACCCTCGTTGTCGCTCTCTTCCGATTGGTCGAGCCAGTGGGCGGCAGAATCATGATCGACGGCGTGGATATCTCGACCATCGGATTGCAAGATCTACGGTCCAGATTGGCCATCATCCCGCAGGACCCAACCCTGTTCGAAGGCACGGTTCGGTCGAACCTGGACCCTCTGGGTCGGTACCATTCCAGTCTGCTCTGGGAGGTGCTGGAGAAGTGCCAGCTGGCAGAGGCGGTAATGGACAAAGAGGACAAGCTGGACGCCATTGGTGAGTCTTGTCCTTTTCCTCACTCTCCCACTCACCCGCCCCATTCTGTTTTTTGGGCGCCTAAAACATCCTCCCATCACACGTGGAAGGTGCTGGAGAAGTGCCAGCTGGCAGAGGCGGTAATGGACAAAGAGGACAAGCTGGACGCCATTGGTGAGTCTTGTCCTTTTCCTCACTCTCCCACTCACCCGCCCCATACTGTTTTTGGGGCGCCTAAAACATCCTCCCATCACACGTGGAAGGTGCTGGAGAAGTGCCAGCTGGCAGAGGCAGTATTGGACAAAGAGGACAAGCTGGACGCCATTGGTGAGTTTTGTCCTTTTCCCTCCTCTGCTCCTCTGTGTCCCTCATTACTCAATCTCGAGACAGCTCCGCTATCTAAAGGCATCTCAGAATCTTGAGCCTCATGACTCTGAGATTAAAAAAAAAGAAATGGGACTCAAGAAATAGGCTCCGCTATCTAAAGGCTTCTCAGGTCCAATAAAAAAAGAAACTCAATGTGTTGCACTCATATTCGTCTGTTGGTTCTTTTACTTGTCAAATTTCTCCCTGCAGTGGTGGAGGGAGGGGAGAACTGGAGCGTGGGGCAACGGCAGCTATTCTGCCTCGCCAGAGCTCTGCTCAAGCGCTCTCGGATTCTGGTGCTGGATGAAGCAACTGCGTCCGTTGATTCCGCCACTGACGCCATCATCCAACGGACCATAAAGGAGAACTTCGCCCGGGCGACTGTGATCACTGTAGCGCACCGCATCCCCTCTGTAATCGACTCCGATAAAGTGCTTGTGCTGGAAGCAGGTGAGTGGCACTCTGTGTGTCTGCATATGTGTGCACCCATGTGCGTGCGTGTGGGAGTATTTTGTGTATGAGGCACCTTAATACGTCAAAACTGTAGCGCACCACATCTGCTCTGTAATCGACTTTGATTAAGTGTGCTTGAAGCAGGTAAGGCGAACTGTGTGTGTGCTTGGGGGGAGGTGGACACTTAGTGTTTGAGGAACATCAAAACATCAAACTTGTAGTGCACCACGTCCCCTCTATGATCGATTTCGATGAAGTGCTTGTCTGGAAGTAGGTAAGCTGAACTGTGTGTGTGTTTGGGGGGAGGTGGACACTTCAGTGTTTAATTTGAGGCACATCAAAACATGATACCATGGTGTCGCAGTTGAAAGAGACCATTTTCTTCAGTGGGTTTTTTTTCAGCTGCCAAGAGCTCGGTGAAGTCAGTGGGCTTCAAACCGAAGTGATCAGCAGTGAACAGAGAGCGTCCCTTCCTAGTGCTGGAATTGCCTCGGCCAATCTCCCTCACCACACCAGCAATCTCCTCCTCCTCTTCCTCCTCCTCCTCCTCCTCCTCCTCCTCCTCCTCCTCCTCCTCCTCCTCCTCCTCCTCCTCCTCCTCCTCCTCCTCCTCCTCCTCCTCCTCCTACTACTATGCTGATAGCATTTGCAACAGCCGCACTGGCTTGGCGAAGGAGATTGCTAGTGTGGAGAGGGGGATTGGCCGAGGCGATTCCAGCACTGGGAAGGGACGCTCTCTGTTCACTGCTCATCACTTCGGTTTGAAGCCCACTGACTTTACTGAGCTCTTGGCGGCTGAGGAAACCTCACTGAAGAGAAGGTTGGTTTTGCACCGCAGCCCCTCTGTTATTGAGTCCGTACTCATGCGGGGCAAGTGAGTGAGGCAAGCAATGGTCCTGACCACCCTGTATTTTCCCCTTTTCTTCCTTACTCCCCGTGCTTCGCTCGTTTTTTCCCCCTTCTCACTTCTCGCTTGTTCCCCCTCACCCCCAACCCCCTCTCCACTCTTGTTTCTCCCCTCCTCATTGCTCACTTGCCTCTCTACCACACACATTTTGTGAAACCCATTCCCCCCCCCCCCCCTGACCTCTTGAACATGCTGGTTGCAAACCATGCCCGCTGATCCCACATTTGTCTACCTACCAGCACTCATCTTTCTGATTCGATCTGATTTGCCTCTGCAGGTAGAGTGGAAGAATTCGACTCACCTGTGCGGCTGCTGGCCAATAAGAGATCACTCTTCTCACAGCTAGTCGCAGAGTACTCTAAACGCACAAACACTGTAGCAAACCTAAGTGCCATGGTGCGCATGCCACGCGACTTTTCAAGACAAACCATGCACTTAGATGACTATTAGTTAGCACTAACTGATGTAACATGTGCTCATGTGATGGTGCACATGCCATGGTGCGCATGCTTCTTGACTAACCAAGGAAGCACCTGGATGACTAGTAGAGGTGCAGCATGCGATTGGAACTGGGGTATTTTTCAATGAAATGCAATGTGCAATCAGCAGTAATAGTGGAAGTTAGAATGCATGTAATTTACAGATTTTCAGTTTATTATTGTATGTAGGGTAGTGAGGCAGCCTGACATTACCGCTGATGCCTCGAATAAAATATTCCGCAATATAAGCTACTCTGCCTGCTTGTTTTTCTGCTAGGGTAGGAGATAAAGAGCCAGTGCTGGTATCCAGTGCGTTTTTCGCTCCTACTCGACTCATCCGCGGTATTAGCCTGCCATTACTGCGTTGACGCGGCAGTGGAGATATTGCCGTTCGGCCACACCAGATCGCATACACTGCGTCCCGCCTGCAACTCGTTATAGACTGTCCGCGTTAAAAGATAGCCTTCCGTTACTCCCTTTATGCTGCATTGGCGTTATTCGCGCTCGGCCTCGCGAGTTCGTACGCACTGCGTCTCCACCTGCTGCTCGCTCAAAACCGTCCGCGATATTAGATCCCCTGTGCCATCAAGGTAGGATATGAAGAACGGTTCCAAGTTGTGGGCTTGCGAATAGGTACAATACGGTACGGGTAGGTATATTTCTCACTAGACATCCCCTCCACGCCTTATCCCCTCTGTCAACGTTCATCCCTCCTAACCCTAAACTTCATTCCGCTCCCCTTCCCGTCCCCATTCCCCTTCCCGCGTCCCTCTGCGCCCTCGCCCTCCAGTCAGCAATCCCCCAACACCCCTGCTGCAGCCTTCCTCACAGCAACAGCCTTCGCGAGCCCACCAGCAAAGGCTTTTCCTTCTCTCCTTGCCCTCCCCTTACCCCTCACCTTCCCCTTCCGTCTCCCCTCTGCGCCCACCCTCCAGCCAGCTATCCCCCAACACCATTGCTGCAGCCTTCCTCACTACCCCTGCTGCAACCTTCCTCAACACCCCTGCTGCAGCTTTTCGCGACACCCCTGCAGCCTTCCTCACAGCAACAGCCTTCGCGAACCCACCAGCGGTTATTAAAGCCATCCCAGCAGCAATAGCCCAGCCGGTATTACCAAGGATCGCGAATTTAGGGGTGCTGACGAAGTTACCAACGATGAAAAATGCAGCAGTGCTGGCGAATGCAGCAATACTGGCGAATTCAGGGGTGCTGGCGAAACTGGCTCAGTCACCACGCCCCGTCAATGTCGCTTCCCGGCAGATTTGCTCACCTGGAGTTGCAGAGCAGCTGTTCCCCTTGCCAGCGGCCCTCTCTCCTGCCCGCTTTGCCCGTGCGGGTTTTTTCGGGCAGGTGAACGGTCCTGTGAACAGTTTCCCGGGCAGGGGTGCTTGCTCAGCTGCAGCATCCAACGGTCACGATGCTTCTGTCAGTGTACTCGATGCTGAAGGATCCGCTTCTGTTATAACCACCATTGAGACAGATTCTACAACAATGAGTATTGCAGCCTCTGCTGATATCGAGTTAGCAGTAACGAGTATGACAGGTTTGCTGGAGGAGGCGGGTGGGCGGGGGAAGGGGCGGAGGGGGAGGCCAAAAGGGAGTGGGGAGAGGGGAACACGAGGGGAGGGAGGGGGAAGGGGGAGGGGGAAAGGAAAGCAGCTGACTGTACAGTTGGAGAATGGTGAGGAAGGGGGGTTGGTGGGGGAAGGAGGGGAGGAGGGGAGAGTGGCAAGTGGAAGCACGGAAAAGGACTCTCCAGTTTTTGCCTTCTGCACAACTGGTGGTGATTCCGTCATGAGTGATCATAACGGGAGTAAATCTAACAGGAGTGACTCTAGCAGGAGTGAGTGTAACGAGAGTGATTCTAGCAGGAGTGAGTGTAACGGGAGTGACTCTAGCAGGAGTGACCACTTTTACAGCAGTGGTGACGCGGTGGGTGACGTGGTTGTGGTGACGAGAACTCGGGGCAGAAGAAAGGTTGTGGAGCTGACCGAAAAGAAAGAGGGCGTGGAGAGGGAAGGGGCGAAAGTCGGTGAGACAACTGCTGGTGATGATTCCATGCGGAGTGACTCTAGCAAGAGTGACATTAATGGAAGTGAAAGTCTGGGTGAATTGCTGGTGAAGAGAACGCAAGTCAGAAGAAAGTCTGCAGTGGTGACAGAAAAAAAGTGGGGGGGATGGAGGGGGAGGGAGAGGGGGAGGGGGAGGGGGAGGGGAAGCAGAAGGGAAGGGGGAGGCGGAAAAGCAAGAAGATGGAAGGCAATGGAGAGGAGGAGAGGAGAGATGACAAGGCAGGAGATGACATGCAGATGGGTGTGAGGGCAGGCAGAGCAGGTGCTGTGTGTGCTGATGTGGGGGACCCTGTATGTGGCGATGTGGCGATTAACCTTCCAGATGGCGGGGATGGCACCTCGCTCTTGAAATTCCTCCAAAACCTTGCGCTAGAAGCGACTGGCAGCAGCGACACGGAGGGCGAGAGGGTGCCGCATGTACCGGCACCCACCGCACTGGACCCCATGGAATCGCGCAAGAGAGCGTGGCACGCTGAACTATCCCAGAGGCACGCAGAGGGGGCTGTCATTTTGGGTGTGGACCCTGACGTGCTAGGAGCCGTGGCTGTGCTTTTTGTTAAGCCCCAGAGAAGACAAGAGGCGGAAAGTTGTGGTGCTTATGCTGTCAACACCGGGAGTGGACGGGAGGAGGAAGGGTATGGTGCTGAGAAGGTGCTGCGTGGGTCCTGTTTTGAGGCGACTCAAAATGCAACGGCAAGTGAATGGGAGGAGATGCTTGCTGTTGCTGCTGCTGAAGCTGCAAGAGAGGGCGGAGGAGGAAGCGGGGAAGGAGCGATGGAGGAGGAGGGGGAGGGTGCGGAGGAGTGCGAGAGAGTGTGGGAGGTTGAGGGGGAGATGGAGGGATGGATGAGGATTCTGAAAGGAGAGAATGGGGCGGACGGGTTGGAGGAAGGGAAATCAACAGTATATGGGCAGGTGGGTTATAGCCTATAGGTGAAATACTGTCAATAGTAGTCTTCACAACTTTGCAAACTTGCAAACCTGCAAACCGGTAACCCTTAACCCTACAACCCTAATCACGCTTTCCTGCAGATCCATGATCCCAAAGCCTTGCTTCTGTAACCCTGCTCTGCCTTGCTTGTCTTGCCTTGCTCTGCCCTGCCCTGCTTCTGCGAACCCTCCCCTCCCGACACTTGTTGATTTTCTCCAACCCATATCAAATAGCCTGGTTCTGAAATTTTGCACTCCAAACCCTCCAAACTTTTCACTCGTTCTTGCAGATCCATGATGTGCCATATGAGCTCGTTATGCAAGAGAACTAAACCTCAAGCCCTAATTCCTGACATTTGCAGCCTTATTCAACCCGCCCTTCACTTGTTCTCGCAGATCCATGACGTGCCATACGAGCTCGTATCCGTGGGTGCTTCAAACCGTAAGAGGCATTCTGCCCAGGCCATAGCGGCTCTCCTGCACCAGTTGCCACCTGCACCAGGTAGGCTGCAGTCTGGTTACCACCTGCACCAGGTGGGAATTTTGAAGCGTCTCTAGATACGCAAGAGGCATTCTGCCCTGCCCAGGCCATAGCGGCTCTCCTGCACCAGTTACCACCTGCACCCGGTAAGCTGCAGTCTAGTTACCACCTGCACCAGGTGGGAATTTTGAAGCGTCTCTAGATACGCAAGAGGCATTCTGCCCTGCCCAGGCCATAGCGGCTCTCCTGCACCAGTTACCACCTGCACCCGGTAAGCTGCAGTCTAGTTACCACCTGCACCAGGTGGGAATTTTGAAGCGTCTCTAGATACGCAAGAGGCATTCTGCCCAGGCCATAGCGGCTCTCCTGCACCAGTTACCACCTGCACCCGGTAGGCTGCAGTCTGGTTACCACCTGCACCCGGTAGGCTGCAGTCTGGTTACCACCTGCACCCGGTAGGACACGGTGTGGTTACCACCTGCACCAGGTAGGTCTTTTGAAGCGTCTCTAGAGGCGCAAGAGGCACTGCGCCCAGGCCATAGCAGCTCTCCTGCACCAGTTGCCACCTGCACCTGGTGAGTTGCAGTCCAGTTACCACCTGCACCAGTTACCACCTGCACGCGGTCAGTTACGCTGTTACAGTCTGGTTACCACGTACACTGCCCCAAGAGGTGCAAGAGGCACTGCACCCAGGCCATAGCGGCTCTCCTGCACCAGTTGCCACCTGCCCCAGGTATGTTAGTTTCTGGTTAGAACTTAGCACCACCTGCAGCAAAGCACCATGCTGTTTCTTTCTTGCCACTTAATCATGTTTTCTTCCACTCACCTTCGTTTCACCTTCCTTTCTCCCTCGTTTCACTGTCCTCTTGCCTTTCTCTCACGATCGTCTCACGTTACTCTCACTTTCCTCTCAGTTTCCTCTCACATTCTCTGGCCTTGCTGTTGAAAATCCCTACTCGTTTTGCCTCCCTTCTCACCATTCTCTTCTCTTCCCCTTTCTCGGTCCCTCTCTTCTCCTCTGCTTCTCCCTCCCTAAACTCGAAATCCTAAACCTTAAACCCTAAACCCGAAACTCTCCTCGCCCTTTCTTGACTCCCTTCTCGCTCTCCTCCCCTCCCCCATCCCCTCATCAGTTCGCCTTGCCTACGTGGAGCAGGACGAGGGTGTAAAGGTAGTCGAGGGGAGGGGTGCACTGGAGGAGGCAGGGGAGGTTGCTGAGAGGGCGCTGCATGCTCAGTCTCGTTCTGAGGCAATTCAAAATGGAATGATGGGGGAATGGGAGGAGAGGCTGCTGCTGCTGCTGCTGCTGCTGCTGCTGCCGCTGGTGAAGCTGCGAGAGAGGCGGAAGGAGGAGGAAGTGGAATAGGAGCAGTGAAAGTGGAGGGGGGAAGAGAGGAGTGTGAGAGAATTTGGGAGCTTGGGGAGGAGATGGAGGGATGGACAAGAATCTTGCTAGGACGAGATGGGGCGGATGGGTCGGAGGAAGAGAGAGCAACACTCTATGGACAGGTGGGTGGGTGGGCTATAGGTGGGATACTGTTGAAAATGGTTCTTGAAATCCATGTATGGGCGGCAGAGTGTATGGGCAGGTGGGTGTATGGGAGCTTGGGGAGGAGATGGAGGGATGGACAAGAATCTTGCTAGGAGGCGATGGGGAGGATGGGTCGGAGGAAGGGAGAGCAACACTGTGTGGACAGGTGGGCTATTTGAGGGATACTGTTGAAATTGTTTTTGAATTTGTGTAAGGGCAGGTGGATGTGTGGGCAGGTGAGAGTATTGACAGATGCACCTGGCCATGATGCACCTGTCCATGTTTTTCTAAACTCCTAAGGCGATGTGTTCATGAACCGTCATTGCCAGAAAATGGCATAAACTCCATCGCTTTTCATGCCCACCCCCACGCTCACCCCACGTCGCCAACCCCATGCAAATCCCCAACCCCACCCCCTTGCCCATTCCCATGCTCAACCCCATGCCCATCCCTCACTACCACTCACCCTCAAATCCATGATGTGTCTTTCGAGCTTGTATCTGAAATCCAAAATCATATACCTGAAATCTGAAACTTGAAATCTGAAACCTGAAGCCTGAAATCTGAAACCCTAAACCTGAAACCCTAATTTCCTTCACCCAGATTCATGATGTGCCGTTTGAGCTTGTATCAGTGGGTGCTTCAAATCGCAAGAGGCACTGTGCCCAGGCCATAGCGGCACTCCTGCACCAGCTGCCACCTGCACCAGGTGAGTTCATTCTGTTTCAGCCTGGTCTGGTTACCATGAAAACTGCCCCAAGGGACTCCTCTAGAGGTACAAGAGGCACTGCACCCAGGCCATAGCGGCTCTCCTCCTGCACCAGTTGCCACCTGCGCCAGGTATGTTAAGTTTCTAATTACCACCACCTGCAGCAAAGCATCTATGCTGTTTCTTTCTTGCCACTTCACTATGTTTTCTTCCACTCACCTTCATCTCGCCTTTCTTTCTCCTGCATATCACTCTCCTCTTGCCTTTTTCTCACTATCCTGTCACGTTACTCTCACTTTCCTCTCAGCTTTCTCTCACATTCCCTGGCCTTGCTGTTGAAAATCCCTACTCGTTTCACCTCTCTTCTCACCGTTCTCTTCTCCCCGCCCCACACCCTCTTCTCCTCGCCCTTCTTGGCTCCCCTCTCGCTCTCATCCCCTCTCTCCTCCCCTCTCTCATCCCCTCTCTCCTCCCCTCTCTCCTCCCCTCTCTCCTCCCCTCTCTCCTCCCCTCTCTCCTCCCCTCTCTCATCCCCTCTCTCCTCCCCTCTCTCCTCCCCTCTCTCATCCCCTCTCTCCTCCCCTCTCTCCTCCCCTCTCTCATTTCCTCTTCAGTTCGCCTTGCCTATGTGGAGCAGGCCAGGCCGTTTCCCTCTGATGGCAAGCAGGTGGGTTCTGCTGGGTGCAAACAGGTGGGATGAGTTGCAAGCAGGTGTGTCCAGCAGTGTGAAGTGGGGTGCGCGCAAGCAGGTATTGCCTCCGCGCATATCGCATTCTACAGCGCATTCAGTGGTCTGACTTGCCTTCATGAAGCGACCTCCGAGGCGCCTCAAACGCCGTTTCATTGTAAAGGGCATTCGGTGGTCTGACTTGCCTTAATGGTGCCAGGCCAGGCCATGTGAAGTCAAGTGAAGCCAGTCTATGGGCACCCATGGTCACCCAGGCTAGTGAAAAAAATGTCTCAGTTTTGAGGCCATTTGATTGACCAGACCTTTCCCCTCCGATGGCTAGGAGGTGCAATGAGCACTGTGCAAAGCAGAAACAAGTTGGGTGTAAAATAATCCAATCCACCTCTTCCTTTCCGTTCTTCGTTCTGTAAGGCTGGTACGGCTGTGGTTGTGGCGTTGGGTTGGGTTGTGGATAGGCGTGTTGGCAGCAAGTGGGTTTGAGGTCACAGCCACTCCTCTCATCACCTCCCCCCTCTCCCTTCCCCTCTCATTCCTTCCCACTCCCTGCAGGGTTGGTATGGCTGTGGCTTTGGCTTCGGGGTGTGGATGGGCGTGTTGGCAGCAAGTGGGTTTGAGGTCACCGCGGTGACGTCAGTGCGCTGGAAGGCTGCCATTCGCTCACAAACATCCCTCGCTTTCACCTCCAAGGTCGGTCACTCACTCTTTCACTCACTCACTCACTCACTCACTCTGCTCCCAGCAAGTGGGTTTGAGGTCGCCGCGGTGACGTCAGTGCGCTGGAAGGCTGCCATTCGCTCACAAGCATCCCTCGCTTTCACTTCCAAGGTCAGTCAGTCTATCAGTTTGTCAAGGTCAGTGGATGGGTGTGATTCCAGCAAGCAGGTGGGTTTGAGGTCACGTCAGTGATGTCTGTGCGCTGGAAGACTGCTGTTCGGTCACAAACACCACTTGCATTCACCTCCAAGGTCGGCCACTCACTCACTCACTCAGTGAGTAGCCATGTGCACGTCCCAACCCGCTCCCAGCAATTAGTCGGTCGGTCGGTCGGTCGGTCGGTCGGTCGGTCGGTCGGTCGGTCGGTCGGTCGGTCGGTCGGTCGGTCGGTCGGTTAGTCACCTGTCGAAGCACCTGCCTCCAATACTGCCTCATGCACGAATAAATGAATTGCCTGGCCTGCTGTGCATCAGCTCAAGCATTTTTGTTTCTGCGTTTGTTTGACGACTTTTGAGACGTCTCAGAAGTTGTTTGTGTATTTGTTCAAGGGCCTGTACAGTGTCAGACTGTCTGTATCTAAATGCTCGCTGCCACTGCTCTCCTTCTTCTTATCTCTTCCCTCGCCTTCCCTCTCCCTCTCACAGGAAGACAGTCGACAGTTGGCCCTCTCGCTCTTCCCCTCCTTGGCTGCTCAGCTGAAACGGAAAAAGGACCATGGTGAGTCAGCATCTTGAACCATCCCCCCCTATATCCACTGCGTTTAATCGGTTTCCGCCACAGAGAGCATGGGTTATCATCTAACCCACCTTCTTTCACTCTCAATTCTCGTACCTCCCTCATTCCCAGGTCGAGCCGAGGCCCTCCTGATTGCCACCTACGGCACAAACCTCTGGGCTCCCTCGGGTGAAAAGGCGAAGAAGGCAAGAGGAAGAGCCAAGGCAGCGATTGGGGAGGTTGTCAGCACTGGTGAGGGCATGGAAGATGGAAGCAGGGGAAAGGAAGCAAAACTGGATTCACCACCAGTTACCATGCCTTTACCTGTGAAATGACTGTTACCATGTCCAATGAGGTGACCAGGAGAATGGCAAATGCAGCGGTCAGTGGGGCTGTGAGAGCCGGTGAAGGGGTGGAAGATGGAAGCAGGAGAATGGAAGGCAAAGAAAATCTGGTGCCATTTTCCATTCCCTCGCCCGTGAGATAATCGTTACCAGCTCTGGCCAGTGACAAGAAGACTGCTCAGGCCAGTGCCAGTGAGGAGACAAAGAGAATGGCAAATGCAGCGGTCAGTGAGGCTGTGAGAACTGGTGGAATGGACGGTGGGAGCATGAGAATGGAAGGCAAAAAGGACCTGGTGCCATTTTCCATGCCTTCGCCCATGATATGACCTTCAGCCACGCCAAAGAGGAATGGCAAACGCAGCTGTCAGCGAGGCTGTGGAAACTGGTGAAGGAGTGGACGATGGAAGCAGCAGAATGGAAGCAAAGAGGATCTGGTGCCATTTTTCAAGCGCTCACCCGTGAGATGCAGCGTCACAGTTACTGTACCAAGGCCAGCAATATAGGCGCCTGAAAATATAAACTCTTTTTTCTATCTTTCTATATTGTTGATAGCAGGTGCCAGTTACAAAAGTTTTTTGTGGTGGAAAAATGATTTCAGGTGCCAGAATTGAAGGGCTGTGAGGGAGATGCAGACGAGAAGAGAAGCGAGACTCATGCATGTTATTCTAAAGTGCGTTGCGTTGACCACTCGCTGCAGCTCCAGCTCCCTGCGATTCAATGGCAGGGGGTATGGGGTGATAGAAGGGCCAGGAGGGAAGTGGGTCAACTAGTTGAGGTGGTGAAAGTGCAGACAAGAAAAAAAACGAGATTCATGCACGTGATTTCGAAGTGTGTTGCGTTGACCACTTGCCGCAGCTCCAACTCCCTGTGATTCAAATGGCACGAAAGGGCAAGTGGTTTGATGTGAATATGGATGGGGTGTCAATGACAAGGGGGGCTCTGTCAGATAATCGCAGATGAGGAAAGAAGTGGGACTCATGCACGTCATTCTGCCGAGTGATTTTTGAGGCGCCTAAAATTTTGAGAATATAGGCTGTGAATGACAATTGGGGCTGTGGTAATTGCAGATGAGGAGAGGAGTGCGACTCATGCACATCATCTTGTAAATCGCATCGCACTGACCATTTTCCGCTGCTCCAGTACCCTGCGATTCAGTGACAGTAAGGGAGGACGGAAAGAAAGGTTCTGGCACAGTAAGTGTCGATGCAGACAGTCATGCATTTCACTCTCAAGGGTGTTGTGTTGGGTTGACCACTTGTCGCAGCTCCAATTCCCTGTGATTCAAATGACAGGAGAAGTAGCAGGTCAAGCAGGTTGTGAAGGTGAAGAGGAGGGCAAAGAAAGACTGAGACATGCCACGCTCAGTGTGACGCATTGACCACTTGCTCCAGCACCAATCATTCATTCCCCAAAAGATGGCTGTAACGTAACACCAAGGTGGTGATAAGACAATTTGGCTTTTACGTCGATTTGTGAGTTGACGATAACATCTCCGACTCACATGCAGATTTTTATATCACCAAGATGGTAAAGCGAGGGTTTCCTCCTACTCCTCGTGGAACAACTCAAGCTGAGCCGCCACAGGGGTATGAGGCAGCACCAAGATAATTATGAGTGGGTTCATGGAGGGGGTCAGCTCTCACTTCTCATGAAAAAATCCTAGCTCATCTGCCACAGAGGTATGAGGCAGCACCAATCATTCCTTACCAATCATTCCTTCTCTAAAATCAACAATGTGTCGCCAAGATGGTTATGCCACAGACGGGTCGGTTCTCACCTCTCGTGGAAGAATTCAAGCTCATCCGCCACAGAGGCAGCCATGCTCTCCAGATTTTGGAGCTCCGAGTCAAAGGTCTGAAAGCAGAAAGAGAAGGGGGGAGGTGATTAAGGAAGGGAAGGGCAGAAGGGTTTGTGAACCACTTTGAGGCGAGACCAGCCGCCAGGCGCCACAGAGGCAGCCATGCGCTCCCGTGTCTGGAGATCCCAATCAAAAGTATTTGGAAGGGAAAGGGGATCCAAGTACCCTCACTTCACCTCACATTGCCTCACCTCTTCTACCCTACCTCCTTCTAGCCTCCCTTCTTCTGTCCTCCCTTCTTCTGCCCTCCCTTCTTCTACCCTCCCTTCTTCTGCCCTCCCTTCTCCAACCCTCTCTCTCTCTTTCATCCTGGCCTCACCTCACCTCAACTTGCCTCATCTCAACTTGCTTCACCTCTCCTTGCACTCACATCGACCTGCTCCTTCCTGGGTGCTTCCGACAGGTGGGCGTCTTTTGACTTGCCCACACGCCATGCCACATCCACCTTCCTCTTCTCCCTCCCTTTGCTGCGCCCTGCACGCGCGCTCCCTGTTGCTGGTATATCCCTCTCGGTGCCTCTGAGAGAAAGCAACAAGGAGATTATTTAGTTTGCGCAGGATAAAACCAGGCTTCATCCCTCTATCTTCCTTCCTCTTCTCCCTCCCCTTGATGCGCCCTGCACGCGCGCTCCCTGTTGCTGGTATATCCCTCTCCGTGCCCCTGAGAAAAAACAGGGAAAAAAAAAGTTACTTGATACGCATAGAAACACCCCTGTATGTCCCTTGTCCTCGCCCTCCTCTTGCTACACCCGCACACACGCCCCCTGCTGCTCGCACATCCCTCCAGCCCCACCGGGATAAGGCAATGGTGGGCACATGAGTGCACATATAAGATAAGACCGAGACATTGAGCAAAAATCTGCAAACAGACGAAATTACACGGCTAAAAGAAGCCGACCAACCAACCCACTTAGACAGTCACACACACAGTGTGTGAACACTGCCTTCCCCTGTTGCCTGTGCTCTTTTTTATTATTATTATTATTCACACCTCCAGAATAACAATCCAGCCCGCTCACCTGGACAGCCACACGCACAACGTGTGATCCCCTGCTTCATCTGCTATGAGCAATTCTTGAGATTCTTTTAGCAGCTCAGCCCACCTCCCCAACCCACCTGGACAGCCACACACACAACGTGTGATCCCCTGCTTTCGTTGCTCGGAACCCAAAGTGCCCCTCTGTCTGCCGCTCCCCATAGTGCAGCTGCTTCCCCTCGGGAGAGGTCAGCTGGGGGGGGTGGGGGGGGGCGGTAGAGAAAGGGGGGAATGGCAGGCAAGGGTGGGAAGTGGGAAGAGAAGAGAGGTGAGCTAGAGGGAGAGGGGAAGAGAAGTGGCAGACAAGGGCAGGAAGTGGGGAGATGTGACAGCCATACACACAGCGTGTGACTCCCTGCTGCCTTGGCTCTGAACCCGAAGTGCCCCTCTGTCTGCCGCTTCCCGTCGTGCAGTTGCTTTTCCTCAGAAGAGGTCAGCGGGGGGATGCTTGAAACCGGAGAGGGGGAGAAGCGGCAGGGAAAAGAGGCAGGGGAAGAGGCAGGGGCTACATGAACTCCTCTGTCTCTTGCTCCCCACAGTGGAGCATTCAAAAAAGGACCGGTTTGTTTCCAGGTGTTGTCTTGGGCTAAGGGCAGGAAAGGCGTCTTTTTAGATGCAGAGGGAAGGAAATGGGGGGCGGAGGAGAGGGTGGAGGACGAAAAAAGCACACTCCCCTGCACCATCATAGGGGGTGGAGGAGACGGTGGAGGATGAAAAGTGCACACTCCCCTGTACCATCATCTTCCATTCCCTCAAAACCCCTCGAGGGTTACCTGCAGGGGAAATGGGGGTTGGAGGAGAGGGTGGAGGATGAAATGGAGGATGAATTGAGCACACTCCCCTGCTGCACCATCAACCTCCATCCCCTCAAAACCCCTCAAGGGTTACCTGCAAGTGTACTTTGAAAGGCGGCTCCGCATCTCCGTCCTCCGCGCCCACGACTCGATACGAGCCTGCTACTAACGCGTACAGGGGAATCTCTCTGCTCACGCACTTGGCCTGCCGCGACACCTCCATTTGGAAAGAATTGATCGCGCGAACTACTCGCGAATATGGAAGGAGGAGGAGGAGGAGGGGGGGAGATAAGAGGAGAAGGTGACTTCTGAATCTATTCGTAGGGAGTGTACTTAAGGGTCTCGCGACGTGCTTGACGCGTCGCGATACCGCCATTTGAACGTGCTGAAGGGCCCTCTGAGCACGTCTCCGCCAATTGCGCGAGGTACCGGCGGATAGGGGGGAGTAGGAGGAGAACAACAGTGAGAACGTGGTGATGTTGATGCTGGCGTTGCCGCCAACATTTGCTGCTCTGTTACGAGGAACTTGGTAACCAGTTCATATCGTCAGTTACTGTAGTAGTAGTTGGACTTGTGGACAAGGATGAGTTCATCCTCGCTGATGTCCCTTTTCTAGATTCGACGTTCTAACGGAGCAAGTTCACATTCTTCTTATGAATATGTGCTGGCGACGCGTACTATTTAGTCTCTGGATCAGCGGGACACGCGCATAATGCGGGAGGAGACATCAGATGAGATTAGAACCATGCCGTAACTAGCGGCTCGGCCTGACCAGGGCTGAGGAAAAAAACGCTACCACCAACCATCATGCCGATCTGGTCTGCGGACTCGTGCGAATTTTCGCATCTTTCGCGATTCTCGAGGAGATGTCACTGACCGTGCAACTCACTGACCGTGGCATTCGCTGTACGCAAGACAGGACTCATCGGAAAGAAAGCCGATACCTAAGGTGGAGCCCAAGAAACAGAAATATCTACAATTATAGCATATTTACACAAGCTATTTACATGACAACCAAGCAAACATCTCGCGATTATCAGAGGAAACAGCATTTAGGCACCAGATATGTTACAATGCAACTCACTGACCATGACGTACGCTGCAAGACAGGAGTCGTCGGAACAAAAGCCAACACCTAAGGTGGAGCACAAGAAACAAGAATATATACAAATCTAGCAGATGTACACAGGCTATTTACATGACAACAAAACAAACAACAAATGTATTTTCCTGTACAAGGGGCACATATACACATTCAGATGCTTGCAGCAAGACCCTCTGCCGCAATCCTTGGCCTGTTTCCCTCCAACTGAAGGTCGTATCGCTCTCCTCGGACAACCGTGTACATAAGATCAGGCGCTATGTAATCGCATGTGCGCTCAATCCGGAACGGCTCCCCTGGAACCTGCACACACCAAAGAGCACAGCACATTAACAATTTTTAAGACAGCCACAATTAGAGGCTGTAATGAACATGATGCACACATCACGCATGCATTGCATACACAGTACACTAAATATGGGGTATTTGGGTGTTATATCGATGTTTCGTACCTGATTTCCAGAGTGTATCTGGACACCTGTAACGACAGCATAGTCAGCGGTAGCAGGATCCACTGTAAGCGATATAAGCTTCTCCAGGTCCTCGTTAATAGCAGCTAGTGCCGCCCGGGTGACCTGTACTAGTGACAAAGGTGGGTCCCCATTGGCCACCTGAAAAAGGCGGTGAAGAAAACCGAGGAGGAAGAAAAGATATGGAACGAGTGAAAGGAATGGAAGGGTGGGGGGAAGGACAATATGCAGGGAGAGCCAGCGAGAGGAGAGAGCCAGGGAGAGGGATAGGAGATGGAGGGAGTGGAGAAAGGGAGGGGAAAGGGAGCACATGCTCTCTACAAGGGGGTATTCAACTCATTGAAACAGACATCCATCGTGTTAACCACCTTGCTCACCACCACCACATTCTCCATCATACAAAAAATTATCCTGCCACAAGCCCCACACGCACATACCATCTCCTCCCTCAACTCCCCTCCCTTCGCCTCCCAAACACGCACACACCTTGCTGGCAACCTCCTTCTCGAGCAGCACGTACTCCTCGTCAAAAGGGTCCTCAGTCGCCCCCTTGGCCTCGTTCAAGCCACTTTGGATGGCAATCAGCGCTCCACACGCGCTTGACAGCTGCCCCATATCCCCCTCCCTCCCCCGCACACACACACCTTGCTGGCAACCTTCTTCTTGAGCAGCACGTATTCCTCGTGAAAAGGGTCCTCAGTCGCCCCCTTGGCCTCGTTCATGTCAGTTTGAATCGCAATCAGCACTCCACACGCGCTTGACCACAAAACCAACACACACCTTGCTTGCGACCTTCTTCTTGAGCAGCACGTATTCCTCGTCAAAAGGATCTTCAGTCGTCCCCTTAGCCTCATTCAGGTCGGTTTGAATGGCAATCAGCGCGCCGCACGCACTTGACGGCCGCCCCCTGCCTCGCCGCAACAACGAGCCCACCTCTCCTGACTCGCCAATGGACACGTGGGGGAAGGCGAAGAATATGTCTGCAGGGGAGTCATGAGGAAGACAAGGACGGAGGAGGACGGGAAGAGGGTGGCTCTCGAGGGTCAGTGCTTGCCTGGCCGCAGCAAGGAGCTCACCTGAGTTGCGGATGGACATGTGGGGGAAGGCGAAGAAGATACCTGCAGGAGAAAGATCTAGAGAGGAAATAATGAGAGAATAACGACATGGCGGCCTTAAAGCCCGTCTTGCAGCAGTTCACCGGCCCCCCAAGGCCCAACAGGTTGAAGGAGAGACGAGCTACCTCTGGTGAGCTCATCTCATATAAACCCAACACCACAAAATAAACATCAATGACACCCACATCGCTCACGCAGGGACCCATCAGGCTCTCTGAAGTCTGGCGAGTGTGACATGGTGGCCTTAAAGCCCGAATTCCGCAGTTCACCAGGCCCGACTAGTTGAATTAAAGGACTGAGGATCCGCCAACATGAGGCAATAAGAACAAAGCACACTCACATCTTTCGCGCAGAGTCCCATCAGGCTCCCTGAATTCCGGGGAGTGCGACATGGCGGCCTTAAAGCCCGTCTTGCCGCAGTTCACGAGCCCTCCCAGGGCCGACAGGTTGGATCGAAGCAGAGGTGAGCGGCCAGCATGCTGTAAAGAACCAGACAAGACACTCACATCTCTCACGCAGAGTCCCGTCAGGCTCTCTGAACTCTGGAGAGTGTGACATGGCAGCCTTAAAGCCCGTCTTGCCGCAGTTCACGAGCCCTCCCAGGCCCGAGAGGTTGAAGGAGAGGCCAAACTGGCGGTCGATCAGGCTCACCACTGGACGGCACACCTCGTCTCGACATGTGTTCACCAGAGCGATGCTGTTGGTCCTGGGAGAGGGGGAGAGGTGGGAGATGGAGGATCAGGAGGAGGGAGTTTATTCCTCAAAGCACACCTCGTCTCGACATGTGTTCACCAGAGCGATGCTGTTGGTCCTGGGAGAGGGGGAGAGGTGGGAGATGGAGGATCAGGAGGAGGGAGTTTATTCCTCAGAGCACACCTCGTCTCGACATGTGTTCACCAGAGCGATGCTGTTGGTCCTGGGAGAGGCGGAGAGGTGGGAGATGGAGGATCAGGAGGAGGGAGTTTATTCCTCAAAGCACACCTCGTCTCGACATGTGTTCACCAGAGCGATGCTGTTGGTCCTGGGAGAGGCGGAGAGGTGGGAGATGGAGGATCAGGAGGAGGGAGTTTATTCCTCAAAGCACACCTCGTCTCGACATGTGTTCACCAGAGCGATGCTGTTGGTCCTGGGAGAGGCGGAGAGGTGGGAGATGGAGGATCAGGAGGAGGGAGTTTATTCCTCAAAGCACACCTCGTCTCGACATGTGTTCACCAGAGCGATGCTGTTGGTCCTGGGAGAGGGGGAGAGGTGGGAGATGGAGGATCAGGAGGAGGGAGTTTATTCCTCAGAGCACACCTCGTCTCGACATGTGTTCACCAGAGCGATGCTGTTGGTCCTGGGAGAGGCGGAGAGGTGGGAGATGGAGGATCAGGAGGAGGGAGTTTATTCCTCAAAGCACACCTCGTCTCGACATGTGTTCACCAGAGCGATGCTGTTGGTCCTGGGAGAGGCGGAGAGGTGGGAGATGGAGGATCAGGAGGAGGGAGTTTATTCCTCAAAGCACACCTCGTCTCGACATGTGTTCACCAGAGCGATGCTGTTGGTCCTGGGAGAGGCGGAGAGGTGGGAGATGGAGGATCAGGAGGAGGGAGTTTATTCCTCAAAGCACACCTCGTCTCGACATGTGTTCACCAGAGCGATGCTGTTGGTCCTGGGAGAGGCGGAGAGGTGGGAGATGGAGGATCAGGAGGAGGGAGTTTATTCCTCAAAGCACACCTCGTCTCGACATGTGTTCACCAGAGCGATGCTGTTGGTCCTGGGAGAGGCGGAGAGGTGGGAGATGGAGGATCAGGAGGAGGGAGTTTATTCCTCAAAGCACACCTCGTCTCGACATGTGTTCACCAGAGCGATGCTGTTGGTCCTGGGAGAGGGGGAGAGGTGGGAGATGGAGGATCAGGAGGAGGGAGTTTATTCCTCAGAGCACACCTCGTCTCGACATGTGTTCACCAGAGCGATGCTGTTGGTCCTGGGAGAGGCGGAGAGGTGGGAGATGGAGGATCAGGAGGAGGGAGTTTATTCCTCAAAGCACACCTCGTCTCGACATGTGTTCACCAGAGCGATGCTGTTGGTCCTGGGAGAGGCGGAGAGGTGGGAGATGGAGGATCAGGAGGAGGGAGTTTATTCCTCAAAGCACACCTCGTCTCGACATGTGTTCACCAGAGCGATGCTGTTGGTCCTGGGAGAGGCGGAGAGGTGGGAGATGGAGGATCAGGAGGAGGGAGTTTATTCCTCAAAGCACACCTCGTCTCGACATGTGTTCACCAGAGCGATGCTGTTGGTCCTGGGAGAGGCGGAGAGGTGGGAGATGGAGGATCAGGAGGAGGGAGTTTATTCCTCAAAGCACACCTCGTCTCGACATGTGTTCACCAGAGCGATGCTGTTGGTCCTGGGAGAGGCGGAGAGGTGGGAGATGGAGGATCAGGAGGAGGGAGTTTATTCCTCAAAGCACACCTCGTCTCGACATGTGTTCACCAGAGCGATGCTGTTGGTCCTGGGAGAGGCGGAGAGGTGGGAGATGGAGGATCAGGAGGAGGGAGTTTATTCCTCAAAGCACACCTCGTCTCGACATGTGTTCACCAGAGCGATGCTGTTGGTCCTGGGAGAGGCGGAGAGGTGGGAGATGGAGGATCAGGAGGAGGGAGTTTATTCCTCAAAGCACACCTCGTCTCGACATGTGTTCACCAGAGCGATGCTATTGGTCCTGGAGGAGAGGGAGAGGCGAGGGAGGGGAAGAGGTGGAAGAGAGGGGGGAAGAGGAGAGACCAAACTGGCGGTCGATCAGGCTCACCACTGGACGGCACACCTCGTCTCGACATGTGTTCACCAGAGCGATGCTATTGGTCCTGGGAAAACGGGAGAGGTGGGAGAGGGGAAGAGGTGAGAGAGAGAGGATTGGGAGGAGGTGAGTTTAATACTCAAAGCACACATCGTCTCAACATGTGTTCACCAAGGCGATGCTATTGGTTCTGGAAAAGCAGGAGAGGTGGGAGTGGAGAAGAGGCGGGAGGTGAGGGGGTGAGGGTGGTGAGGGTGGTGGTGAGGAGGAACACTTGTCGGGAAGAATTGCGGCAGGGTTGGAACGGAGAAAGAAGTTCGAGGAGCCCTTTCTCCATTCCAACAAAGCCGCAACTTTTCTTGACAAGGGCTCCTCCTCATTACTACCCACACCACCTAACCACCCAGCAACCACATTGTCAACAACAGCGCGGTCGATGACTGGCAACTTGGCAAGAAATGCTGTGGTTGGTGCCGCGCGCCTACGGTGAACGTCTCATCACCGCTCTTACCCTCTCTTCCACCTCTCTTATGATCCCTCCTACATCTCCCCTACCGACAGGCAAAGCTGAGATATTTTTTCCCCTCCCTGCAGCACCTCTGCAGGGAGTCAGGAGATAATTTTTTCGCCTGGCTGATATTTCAGCACCTCTTATTTCAGCACCTCTCACCACTTAAAGCCCAGATTTCTCGGCGCGGCGATGCACCTCTTAAAGCTAACCTTGATCAACGCCTCACCTCTTAAAGCCCAGCTTGCTCAGCTCAGTTGCCACCGCCCTCAGAAACGCCTCCTCCTGCACAGCTCGGGGGAAGGTAGCTGCCATTGTTGCCAGAGCTGCTGGTGCCGCCTGCGAAGATTGAGGGGAAGGGAGGGAGGTACAGTAGAGGGAAGTGGGAGAGTGAGAAGCGGGAGAGAGGGAAGCAGGGAGCAAGAAGTTAAAGGACTTCAGCCGAAACAATAAAACTCCTGCACAGCTCGGGGGAAGGTGGCCGCCATTGTTGCCAGAGCTGCTGGTGCCGCCTGCAAAGGTTTTAGGTGAAAGTGGGGGAAGAGCGACAGAGGTGCGGGATATTGACTGTAGTAATTCATTCAAATGACTGAGCCCTAGGGGATGCAAAAAACAGCAGCATCAAAAGAAACAAGCACAAAAGCAATATCCTGAGTTGCTTACACTGGTAGAGCACGGCACGATTCCGCTGAGAGGGTCTAGCGGAACCATGGGCCCACGGGGGTATGGGAGAGTTGGTGGATGTATGTGGGGGGGACGATGGCGGCGGAAGGGGGTGATTGGGGAGAAGGCGCGCGCGAGAATCGCTTACGCTGGTAGCGCGCGGAACGATTCCGCTGGGAGGGTCTAGCGGAACCATGACTGGGCGGATTGCGGACGGTGATAAGGCGTTCCGCAGAGCGAGATAAGCGGCGGAGCCCAGAGCGCCCGCCACGAGCGACGACGTCGCGATGCTGCTGCTGCTGCTGTTCGCGAGCGTACTCGCAGGAGTTACCAGCGACGGTGGAACCGGGGATTGCGAAACGCTGGCGAAGTGATGCTGCTCAGGCGAAGAGTTGTGCGACGAAGGTGCGGAGGTACTTGTCTCGCCGGCGGCGACGTGTGCGACGGTGGTGGTGCCGCGGGAACGACGTGCAATGTCGCAGGCGATAACACGGCCACTCGGGACTGCAAAGATGCGACGAACGGGGAGAAATGACACTTGGTGAGTCGTGAAACATGTAACATGCGTAAAGATCAAAAGACCGTTCGACGAATCTTGGACGAATCCGCAATATCAAAGCCTATTCTATTTCCTTCGCTCTTTCGAGGTGCCTCAAGAACAAAAAATTTAACTGCATTAGTTTTTTTCCATCCAGACTTGTGAATGTATTTCAGTTTTCAGAATTCTCAAAAGTGATTTCCACGTGGATGTATTTCAGCGAAATTGGACGAATAAGCGTGGATACATATCGCCAGATTGTCAAGAGCAACTTTGCTAGCTATCCATGCGGGCACCGTACCGCAAACTATCCCTAAGGCGCCTCGGATCCCTGCTATTGCAAGAGCCACTTGCAAATAGTACCTGTCCACACAGGCACCATAGTAGCGCCGGCGATACTAAAGCGCAAGGCGCGGAGGGGGTGTGAGGCACTGAAGCAGGACGACGCGCGAGTCGCGGTCGCCCGGAGATGCGCACCGAACGGAAGCGCCAGGGCTGCGTCAGGGGATCTACTGCTAGTAATATAGTACCTGCTGAATTTTCGAGTTCGCGAGTTCACGGTTTCGCGGATTGACAGTGTCACACGGAATTTCGTAGCAACGGTATTACGAACGTACGGTATCTCGCGGAAAAAACAATACCGCTGTACGGAATTTGGTGCTACACACGATGTCCGTTTGACTAACCCAAGGTTGCCTTGTGAAGGGGGCGCTTAAGTGATTCATGCATTTCGTGGAGGTTTCGTCAATTCGCTTCGGGCAAAAAGGGCTTATAGAAAAATTTTGTAACTCACCGTTGACTGTTTGACTTCGGTCTCTTCTGTTTCTGTGGTTCGTATTGGTTGACGTGCTTGTAACGTGGGTGCAACTGCCCGGGAAAAAACCTTCGTGTGCAAGGTTTCTGGAACGTGCGAGGCAATTTCGCGTGCAGGGGTTGGGCATCTTGTGTAGATGAAACGCGCTGCGGTTCTAAAAGTGCCAGGTAAGGGCTTACGCGCAGAGTGAACTATGGATGACAAACGCCAATCGCATGCGTCCCTCAGCGGAGAAAGAGGGAGCAGACCCTAGTACACGAACTTGAGGTTGAAGAAAGCAGAACTATGAGGCTGAAGAGGCTCGCTGGAAAGTATCTCCGTGACGGGTAGAAACTCGCAGGCTGAGAGTGTGCTACGTCAGTGGGAAATGCTGCTGGAGAGAACTCGAGAAGGCGTTTCGAAGTGGAGAGGGTGGTCGTGAACAAAGCAATAAAATACCGGACAGATTCATTTGTGAATTTTGTATGGAAGGAGTGTTCTGCTTTTAGGAATAAACTGACTTCTTGCACATTGACGCTATAATGGGTCAGTGCGAAGCGCCTCCCTCGACCAGCTGGGTGACGCGGCACGTACTTACTACTGTCATTGCTGACACGCAAATCAGCAAGTACCACGTGGCGAAAAGACCCCAGGGAGATGAATATTGGCTGGAATCCTGACGAGAGAGATCGCCGGCCGACTACGATGGAGGTCTCAGTGATGAGGCAGCCACGTCAAACAGCTCCTTGCTGAAGTCATGAAGTGCTCCCTTACAAGCTTTTTCTCTACGAGTCAGATATCCAGCGAGGTTCTAGTGAACGCGAACTTTACAGTTCACGCAGAATCTAGTGCACTAAAGCGATTAATACGAGTAATTTTATAATGAGAACCTGACAGCCCCCAATGCATTCCCCTCTGCCCTTCTCGCCTTCAAAAAGATGACTCCCTCTCGGGCAATTCCATCTGCCTCCTCCCTCGCGCGGCTCGGCATTTTCAAAAAGGATCCACCCAACTTCAACCTTGAAGTTGAAAAGCCAAGAAAAATCCGCCATCTTGCACAGACAAATCCAGCCTTTTCCCGCCAACGTCTCCTTCCATCGAGATCTCCATTCCCCTCCCACCAACACCCCCAGTGTAACTTGGATTGGAGTCATCATTTCAACCCACATTTCCTCCCACCTTTCTTTCCGCGAGCACGCGGAAGCGATCCCGCATTCGCCCGTGTTTTCACTGTTTCAGCGCGTATGAACCTTTGAGCACTTCGGTTCCTGTATCCTGATTCTTTCCAGCATCAGTGAATCCAAGTCCCTACATTTCCTCTGTAAAAAACTACTACGTTAGTTCTTCTTCTCTTTTCGTCTTTTCCTGACGCTTGACCGGAATGTGATGTTCAATGTCCGTCTCAACGACGATTCATAGTACGAGCATTGCTTCCGAGTCCTGCTAACTCTGCTTCGTTGCATTGCCATTCACTCCTTATTTATAAGCAAACCGGACCTTTCCACATTTCTTACCCGTGGGTTGATGTATGTCCGAATGTGACTTATTGTGCCTGGAAACGGGCGGCTCGGTGTCCTCAGGATAGTGTGAGCATTGCCTTGCATAATGGAGTTCACGGTTCGATTCAGGGTGCCGGCTCCGCTGCTCAAGATCACGAACGGTAGCAATGGCGACGCAATTTCGTTGACCAGCGGCAGCAGTTCTAGCAGCATTACCACCACCAGCAACAGTAGCGGTAGTACCAAATCAGCATCGGCTTCCCACGTGGATTATTCCATATCCGTTGATCCGCAGGAGCCGCTCCAATCGGCGTTCAACAGGCTGTTCCAGTCCCACCTGCCGCACTGCTGCCTGCCAGGTCAGCAGACACGTCAGCAGCAGGATGGCGTGGATAAATCTGGCGATCCAAAGGATCCGACGGACGAACAGAAGCAGGCTGTTCGGTTCATGGCTGTGGGGCAAGTGGTGTACCTATCGCCTGAAGCGTCAGCGGAAAAGGCCAAGCTTAAAGCGGGTACAGTGATCAAAGTGCTCCCGGTAAAATCGAGGGAGGCGCGGGGAAAGGGAAAACCAGATTCGGCAGTAACCGCCGTGGGTAGCAGCAGCAGCAGCAGTGGTGTTGCGAATCACACACCCGCCTCTGCTCCTGCTTCTGCTCCCGCCTCTGCGCCTGCCTCCGCGTCGGTCTCGGCGCAGCAGGCTTCTGCGACTGACGGTCACAGCAACACCGTCACCAACACCAGCAGGCGCGTCAGCAGCAGCCGTCGCATGCGGCCGGGCATCACGAGCCAGCTAGACTACTCACCCATGAGCCGCCCGCACTTGGTACACTACGTGGATGTGAACCTCCCCTGGAACCACTCCCTCTGCGCCTGCTGCCTCTCGCGCATCCTCCACCCCGCCCCCCCCACCACCTACCACACCGCCACCCCCAACGCCCTCCGCCTGCACCTGCAGCAACCCGTGCATGAGAAAATCAAGCCATGCCAACCCAGTCACAACCGCCCGTCCCAGGCTATCCTCGCGTATTCCGCCACGCTTAGAGTGCAGGGTCTCTGGGGTATGGCCGGCCCGGGCGTGGGGCGTGGGGGAAGCGGGCGCACTGCGCTTGCCGCGGCTGCTGCTCGTGCTTCTAGGGTGGACATTTCCTCAGGGCCTCCTGCCGTGCAGTTCAAGTGGAAGGCGGATTTCGCGCCCATGCCTGCGGCCGAGGGGATGTTCCTCGAGTGGATGGCAGAGCCACGTGTCGGGCTGCTGTTGGATCTGGATGTGGTCAGATGCCAGCTGGCAGATATGATGAAGATTCACGATCTGGCAACAGCAAGTGGTGGTGCTACAGCCGCTGGTGGTGCTTCAGCCGCTGGTGGTGCTACAGTCGCTGATGCTACAGCTGCTCGTGCGACCGGCTCTCGTGCTTCCAGCGCCGGTGGTGCTACAGCTGCTGGTGGTGCTACAGCTGCTGGCGGTGCGCCGAAGCACTTCTGGTGGTGCTGCTGGCAGTGCAGCTCGTGTTGGACCGCCTACCGCCGCTGCCTCTCTGTTGTCGTCTTCCTCGTGCTTGTAGCGAGGCTGCCCCGTATAGTCACACTCTGGCGCCTGCACATAAAATCCTTCAACGTCGCCTTTCCAGCCCTGGCGAATCAGCTGAACGCGCGGAGGCAGATCGGGGGGCTGGGGGGCAGGCAGGCGGAACGGCAGGCGAGTAGGCAGGCGGGGAAGGGGGGAGGGAGGCAGGTGGGTGGGGAAGCGGAGGAGGATTGCTTTGGATCGATTCTGGTGCAGGTGCTTGGAGTGAAAGGGAAGAAGGAAATAGAATCGGGGTTTGCTGCTCATGTGCTGCCGCTGCTGCCGGGGGGAAGAAGGGCGCATGGAGGGATGAGAGGGGGACCGGGGAGAGGAGGGGGAGTAGGCGGAGGAGTTGGTTGGGAAGGAGAGGAAGAGAAGTGGAGGGAGGGGTTGAGAGGGGTGGAGTGGGATGAGTATGTGGAGCGGATGGGGGAGATTATCTCCCATGGAGGGCTGGAGGCTTAGCAGTACAGGTGCAGCTGCAGGCAGTGCGGAGGAGAACACGAGGATGCAGGGGGGAGTGGGAATTGTGCTGTTAGTGGTGCTGGTAGTGGTGCTGGTAATGGTGGTGGTGCCGCTAGTGGCATGGTGATAACTGGCGTTGACCCGACTGACTTTGCTCTCCGGGCTGCACTGACTCTCTGTGTGCCGCTCGCTGCCGTCTACGGCATGCAGGCGTTTACCGGGGCGTGCAGTAACAGTACAAGGAGCGCGTGGAGGACGCTGCTGTTGAGGCAGCCAGGCAGCGGCTGGCAGAGAGGGCAGAAGGGGGAGAGGGGGCAGCAGGGCAGAAGCGGGCAGAGAGGCACGGAGGACAGGAGGGAGGTGGGGAGAGGAACAGAGAGGAAAGCGAATGCACAGGGACGGGAGGAGCAGCGGCAGGTGCTGCTGGCACTACCGCTAATCCCAGCGCTACTGCTTCCAGCACCACTGCTATTGCCCGCCTCGTGCCAGTCATCAGTGACCCAGCAGTGGCACTCTTCACGTACCTAGCTGCCTGTCTCCTCCAATGGGTGCGAGTGCACGGCCCCAGGCTCAACCCCCCCAGCTACTGCACCCGCACCAACCCAGAAACCCCACACCTGGCTCTCCCGCACCCGGTGCACGACCTCCCGAGCCTGCTGGTCAGGTTCGGCGCCATACCAAAACCTATCGCGGCAGGCTCGGAAGGTTCTGCACTGGAGGAACTTGGTGCGGGAGGAGGGGTTTCGGGGTGGGAGGAGTTTCCAGTGGGGGACAGAGAGGTCTTGAAGGCGCATGGCAGTGGCAGTGCTCTGGGAGGGAGGGAACGAGTAGAAGGGGTAGAAGTTGTGGAGCGGTTAGAAGGGGTGGAAGAGGGAACTGCAGGGCTTGTGAGTGGGGAGTTTTTGGGGGTGAATACCTTCCAGACGGGCAGCTTCCGGGACTCTGTGTTCGACCGGGAGGAGATGCTGAAAGAGTTCAACATTGGATCAGCAAAGGGTCTGCATGAGAGGAGAATTGCCACGAGCCCAGCAGAGGACGTGCAGGAGTATGGAGCTGCCAGGGCTCTGAGTAACAGCAGCACAGATGCTCCCGCATTTCCAACTCTCGCGGACCGTGTCGAGGAGTTTTTGAGAAGGTTCTCGCCAAAGCGGCAGGCGAAGGAGGGGCGTGGCGGGCCACTGGCACGAGCGATCACCGACTGGGTGCTGCGACTCCACCTGACAGCTGCAACAGCAGAGACTAGCAGCAGCGGTGGAGTTAGCAGCAGCAGCAGCAGTAGCAGCACTAGCAGGGGGCCAAAGGGAGAGAGGAGGGACATGAGCTGGGCGGCGCTGGCCCTGGGGGCGTATTCCCCGGGCAAGTTAAAGCCCATGCTGAGATCCCCCCAGGAGGTGGACGCGTTTGTGGAGTTCATGGCGGCCATGACCACCCTCACTCCCGCCTGCACGTCCTGCCAGATGTGCCTCAACGTCTTCAACCGGGCAGTCACTCCCGCGGCCGTTGTTGCCTCCTTTGCTTTCCGCCCCTCCTCGGTGCTCCTGCGCTGCATCCTCTCGCTCTATCCCCAGCGCTTCACGCCGGTGAGAGTTTCCCTGGGCAAAGAGAGACACCTCTTTAAGCTCAAAATCCTCAGGTGGGTGTTTTTAGAGGCAACTTTTGAGGCGCCTCAAAAGTTTCCTTGGGCAAAGAGAGACACCTCTCAAGCTCCAAATCCTCAGGTGGGTGTTTTTAGAGGCAACTGCTATGCCAGAACGTTAGGTGACTTGCCCCTCTGTCTGTGCCTCTCCGCGGCATCCTGTCACTACCTCCCGTGCTCCCCTCAGGTGAGAGCCCTACCCTAGACAGAAAGTGATGCCTCCTAGGCCATTTGGGTGTCTTTTCGCGTTTGATAGAATGTCCCTCGCTGGTGCTCCTCCTGCGCTTCAACCTCTCACTGTAAGTATGATTCCCCTCATCTGTACTTCTTTCTTCTCTCGCTCCGTACCCGCGACCTGCACCCTGCTCAGATGAGGGCGCTCCTACACACGCCTGGAATCCCTTCCCTGCCAGAGCTGCTCCTGAACCAGCTCGTGGCTCCTCTTTTGCGCTGAGTAAAACATCAACTACTTTAATGCCCTTCTGCCCGCACCCCCTTCAGATGAAAGAGCTTTTAAACAAGCTCAGGTTCCCCCCCTGCCAGACCTAATCCCAAACCGGCTCGTGGCTGCTCTTTTCAAAGTCGGGCTGGAGCACAAGCGCCTGCACTTGCTCTACACATCGCCATGTGTTGCTGTCCCTTGGACTCAGCTTGAACGATTTAATGGCCCCCGGTCCGTCTCCTCGGCCCGGCTCCCCTCTCCCCTATCTCCCTCTACCACCCACACCCCCCTCAGATGAAGGAGCTCCTAGACACGCTCGGCATCCCCCCGCTGCCGGACCTGATCCCGAACCGCCTCGTGGCTGCTCTTCTCGAAGGCGTGGTGGAGCACAAGCGCCTGCACTTGCTCTACACCGCAGCCATGCTGCTGTCTCGGGAAGGCATCATTCAGGATATCATGGAATTGCACCGAGCAGATGGAGTGGTGAGGAGTGAAGAGGAGTTGAGAGAGGTGGAGTGGAACGGGTGGGAGGGGGGCGATGAGTGGCTGATGTGGGAGGAGGTGGATAGCTGGAGAAACGCGGTGCTTAGAGCTTGGCCTGTTACTGAGATGTATGAGGCACCGCATAGCTGGGCGGCAACTGGGGAAGAGGAGAGGGTGAGGGATTGTTGTGCGACGATGAGGCGGAAGGAGAGGGAGTGGGAGGAGATTAGTAGGGGGAAGGAGTGGGACTTGGTGGATAGGATGCTTGCTGCTGCTGCTGCTGCTTCTGGTGCTGCTGCTGGTGGTACTGCTGCTGCTGGGGGTGAGAGGGAGGTGGTAGGAGGGTTGAAAATCACGCCTTCGTATCTGGTGCCGTGGGTGGGGGGAGTGAATCCGTTTGCATGCCTGCGGGAGATGCTGCTGGGGGAGACGTGCTACTGGGAGCTCTCAAACGGGCGGTGGGTTGGGGTAGGGGTAACACCTGGGGCAGGCTCATCTGGTGCTGCTGCTGATGCATCAGGCACAAGTGCAGCAGAGGGGGTGCGTTGCTGTGCCTTCCCGGGGTGTGGCAGGGCGGAAGGACCGGGGAGGCCGCCGTTGAAGGCTTGCGCGCGGTGCAGCCAGGCTGCTTACTGCGACAGGGACTGCCAGACGGCCCACTGGAAGGTGCACAAGCTGCAGTGCCAGGCTAAGAAATAGCGAGGGTGAAGGGTTGGGGAGGGGATAAGTGTGGCAAGTTGGAAATTTTAGGGTTCTGGTGCGCACCAGGCTGCTTACTGTGACAGGGACTGCCAGAGGGCACAGTGGAAGGCGCATAAGGTGCAGTGCCAACGTAAGAAACAGCGAGGAGAATAAAAAGCCCCTTGATGAGGGTGCTGTGCTGTTTGATGTTCACGCCAATGGTACAAGCTGGATGGCTTTTGCTAAATACAGTGCTGTTTCACTGGTGCCTTATGTAAACAGCGTGATTTTCATGCATTGCTACCGTGTTGGCTGAGGGTCTTGTCCTGCATAAATTGCATAAGACATTCATTCATTCCTGCAGTTGTTTCTGCCTCTTCAACCTGAATTTAAATTCTCATCAGGCCGGTTATTGAATTCCAGGCATGCCATTCATATCGTAGGTTGTAGTACCGTGCCTAATATCACAGAGGCTGGTGCAACTTTTTTTTGTTTTGTAATTGAAGTATACATTAAAGGGGACAATGCATACAGCAATAGCAGTCGTAACCGAGCGTGAAGGCAGACACCTTGTGCTGGCCAGCGAGACAACTAGGGCGGTAGAAAAGCCCTCTTAGGCCTGTTCCAAATAGCCGCAAAACTGGCCGACCAACTCCACTTCCTGTCGCCAGCCTCCCTGATCCTCATCAGCATCTCTAGAGTTCCCACCCCCCTGATCTGTTTCCCTTCCACGAATCGCGATCATATCCGAGAAATAATCCGCATTTTCATCGCCAGAACTTAGGTGGAACCAACTATGCGACTGAGGTTCAGGAGAACAGTAGGTTTCAATAAGTATCGCTGAATTCCGACGACTGTTCATGCTACACCCGACGATCGTACCGGCAAAGATCCAACTTGGATCGTACATTGAATGTGTACATGAATCCGTCCCATTGCTACTCGGACTCGCTCGGCTACTCCAATCCGCCATTGTAGAGTGCTCGATAGTAGTAAGGGCAGTCGGTAATGGGGAATTTCCACGAAGTACATTTGTCGCCTCGAAGGCGTCGCAAGCCGTCGTGGCTGTCGCTGCTGCACAGGCGACGTCGCACGATCCTGATCGTTATCGTGTCGCTGTTTGCCGTCCATGGACTCTACCTCTTCACGCAGTTCAAGCTGCATGTCAGTTCACTCTACTTACGAAGCTCCTGCTGCTCTTCGAACATTTGCTTAACATCATTGACAATTAAAAGTAAAATATGTTGTTTTTAGTTGACTCAAAACACATTGGTCTGATGTCCATGGGCTCTACCCCATCACGCACTTCAGGCTGCGTGTTAGTCCTCTCTACCTTCAGTTCTTCTGCTGGTCTTCCGGATGTTTGCTCGTCACCATTAATTATTGTTGTAAAGGTTTGTTTTGAGTCAATTCAAGACACATTCATTTGCCGTCCATCGTTCTCTACCCCTGCACGTCAGTCCCATGCTTCCTATGAAATCTCCTGCTCTTCTGGGCAAACTCATTTGACTGAAAAAATTCAAAGGTTTCTTCTAAAAACACACTGGTTTTGCCATACCTCGCGTGTATGACAGGAAGGCGTGGAGTGCACCTTCCCCACCCCCTCCATTCTCCCCTTTCACGCCTCCGAACCTTCACCATTCTCAAAGGAGACAAACGACAAGGTGAGAAGCCAGCACATGTGATGAGAACCCCCAACTGTGAGAAGCCTACAAAAGCTGACACAGAAAAAATCCAATGCTATTTTCAACACATCATTCACGCCATCTCAACTCCTCTGACACATGGCTTTCTATCCTTCATCATTCCTTGCTAACCAGCTCTCATGAGCATGTGGCTAGCATGGCCAGCATCCCATAAGCTGTACCTCTCGCATCGAAGCATAAATTAGATTCCCACCGGACATCCCACCAGCATCTCTTTCTCTTCCTTACTCCCCTACTCGTTCTCCCTCCCCCTTTCGCCCCTCCATTTCCCCTTCCCTTCTCGCTCCGCTCTTACTCCTCCTTCATACCACGCAGTTCCTAGCATGGGCAGCATCCTGCGGGCTGTATCTCTCTCCCATTGCACACGTTGAACTCACACCAGACAACTCCCTCCCCTTTCCCCACTGCCTTCCTCCCCTGCATACCACGCAGTTCCTAGCATGGGCAACATCCCACGGGCTGTATCTCTCTCCCAAAGCACGGATCAAGCTCACTTCAGACATCCCACCTCCCCCTTCCCCTCTACCTTCCTGCTCCGCCCTCCCAGTTCCTAGCATGGGCAACATCGCATGGCCTGTACCTCTCCCCCAAGGCACGAATCAAGCTCACACCAGACATTCCACCAGAGCCTCTCGAATCCGCTACAGACAGCCCCTCTACAAAGTCGAAAACCACTGGCAGCAGCAGCAGCAGCAGCAGTGGTGGTGGCAAGGGTGGAAGTAAGAAGGGGGGCAAAGGGGGAAAAGGGGAGAGTGGAGGGAGTGGGGTGGTGCGTTTGGTGCGAGGGCTGGTGGCCGAGGAGGATATGGAAGCGGGAGACACGCTGTGCAAGATACCGGTGAGTGTCTGGTGGTGTGGCTTATCAGCGGCTCAGCAGTTGGTGTTTCTGGTTCGTCTTGTGTGTCTTTTCTGTTTGGTGCGAGGGCTGGTGGCTGAGGCGGATATGGAAGCAGGAGACCCAACCAACTTCCCTCCATATGTCTCTAGCCCTCTGGTTGAACACCAGCCAGGAGTTAGGTGCAGAGGGAACAAGCGGAGGAGTGCAGAGTGAGTACTGATGTTTGAGGCGCCTCAAAATGCCAATGTGTCTTCAACTCCCAACCAACTTCCCTCCATATGTCTCTAGCCCTCTGGTAACACCAGCCAGGAGTAAGGTGCAGAGGGAACAAGCGGAGGAGTGCAGAGTGAGTACTGATGTTTGAGGCGCCTCAAAATGCCAATGTGTCTTCAACTCCCAACCAACTTCCCTCCATATGTCTCTAGCCCTCTGGTAACACCAGCCAGGAAGGAGATGGGGAAGGAATAATTGGAGGAGTGGCAGGAGCAGGTGGGGCGACTTTTGAGACGTCTCAAAAGTGACTCTCATGCGTCTCCAATGTGCCTGCAACGCACATCTTCCCTGCAGATGTCTCTAGCCCTCTGGTTCAACACCAGCCAGGAAGGAGATGCGGAGGGAGCAAGTGGAGGAGGGGCAGGAGCAGGTGGGGCGACTTTTGAGACGTCTCAAAAGTTGTGAATCTCATGCATCCCTGTTGTGCCTGCAATTCTCATCTTCCCTGCAGATGTCTCTAGCGCTCTGGTTCAACACCAGCCAGGAAGGAGATCCGGAGGGAACAAGCGGAGGAGGGGCAGGAGTGGGTGGGGCGGGCGGGGCGAAGGCAGGCGGGAGCATGAGGGAGAGGATGAGGGAGATGCGGCAGCGGGTGCTGCAGGGGAGGGCTGCTGCTAAGGCCGGCATTGGTGGTGGTGGGAGGAAGCAGACTGGGTGGGACCTGGTCGCCCTGAGGATTCTTGAAGAGAAGTGAGTGCTTGCATGATGGGTAAAGGAGGGTAAGGAAGGGGAAAAGGGGGTGGGGAAGGGGAAAAAAGGGGTGGGGAGGGAGGAAATGGTGGCATGAAAAGGGGCAGGCGGGTGGAGAAGGAGGAAAAGGGGAGAAAGGCGGAAGGGAGTGGGGGTGGGGGATGCATGAGGGAGAGGATGAGGGAACTGCAGTAGCGAGCAGGGCAGGGCTGCTGCTAAGGCCGGCATTGGCGGTGGTGGGAGGAAGCAGATTGGGTGGGACCTGGTGGCTCTGCGGATTCTTGAAGAGAAGTGAGTAGTTGCGCGATGGGTAGTGGGGCGGGAAAAGGCGGAGTGCATAGGGGAAGGGTGGCAGGGAAAGGGAGAAGGGAGGGTGGTGTAATGGGGAAGGGAATGGGGGGAGCGTGAGGGAGTGGATGAGGGAGATGCGGCAGTGGGTGCTGCAGGGCAGGGCTGCTGCTAAGGCCGGCATTGGCGGTGGTGAGAGGAAGCAGACTGGGTTTGATCTGGTCGCTCTAAGGATTCTTGAAGAGAAGTGAGTGCTTGCATGATGGGTAAAGGAGGGTAAGGAAGGGGGAAGGGGGGTGGGGAAGGGGAAAAAAGGGGTGGGGAGGGAGGAAAGGGTGGCAGGAGAAGGGGCAGACAGGAAAGGATCTATCTTGATTTTTCAATCCTAGATATCTCTGGATTCTTCACTCCCAGATCTCTCCTTTTTCTTCATTTCCAGATCTCCATTTCCAGATCTCCCTTTCTTGCTGGACTGGACCTACAACCTCTTTCCGCCCTGTCTCGCTTTTACCTCACTCCAGTGCAAAGGGCGATTCCTCCCCTTAACCACCCTACGTCCGCTCCCTGCTTCCACACATCTCTTTGTCCTCCCAAATTTCTTCCTTTCAACCTGCCCCCACTTCCCCCGTGTCTCGCTTGTACCGTCCCGCAGAGCAAAGGGAGATGCCTCCCCTTGGGCGCCCTACATCCGCTCCCTGCCACCCTCTGTTCCTCTGCCCATCTTCCTCCCTCCTGAGGTCAGTTCTACCAGCCCCAGTTGTTTGGAATTTGAGCAAACCAGCAGAACGTGTCGTTGTTTCCGCTTTGGCTGATTTGCTAGAAATTCGAACCAGCCAGCTGGCCTGGCCCTGTTCTGCTAATAAATTTCCCGCTGGGCATCCTAGTGCGTCTGCGCTGCATTTTCTTTCGATGTTATCTTGTTTTGTGTTCTGTTGCCATCCTGATGGTGGGGAGTAGCAGGGCGAGGTGTAGTAGGTAGAGGTGTTAGCTCTTGAGCTGGTGAAGAGGATGAACGAGGAGATCTGAGACACAACAATCCACCACAAGCACCAAGCGTATTGCCATGGCATGGTCCGCTATCCTCCCACCGCCTTCTTGCTGCTGCTTCTGCTCTGTGCGCTTTTTGCCCTGCCATGCTGTGACATCAGGAGGAGGGCGAGGTGCAGCGGGCATCGACAATGGAGCAGGTGAAGAGGATGAATGAGGAGATCCGAGACACATACCACAACCATCGGAGTGCCACCCCCCATTTCTTCCTGTGGTTGTGATGTGCTGTGCTTGCAGGAGGAGGGCGAGGTGCAGTGGGCATCGACAATGGAGCAGGTGAAGAGGATAAACGAGGAGATCAACAATATCCACCACGGTTTCTCTTTCTCCGTGCTTCTGTGTCCCTGCCCATACTCTCTGCTCCTCTGCCGTGGTGTTGACAGGAGGAGGGCGAGGTGCAGTGGGCATCAACCATGGAGCAGGCGAAGAGGATGAATGAGGAGATCCGAGAGGGTGCATACCCAGAACAAGCACCAAGCCTCGTCCCGTGCGTTGTTGCTCCTTCTCTCCCTGCTGCTGTGTTCTGCCTGTCTTGCTCTGCCATGCTGTGTCATCAGGAGGAGGGCGAGGTGCAGTGGGCATCGACAATGGAGCAGGTGAAGAGGATGAACGAGGAGATTCGAGAGACGTACCACAAGCACCACGACTCCACACATCCCAACCTTTCCTTTGATGAGTACAGTGAGTGCGATCTTACTGAGTCTGATTACAATCAGCTGCCAGTCGGGTGCTTATCAGGTGCCAATCAGGTGCTTACCAGGTGCCAATCAGGTGCTTACCAAGTGCCAATCAGGTGCTTATCAGGTGCCAATCAGGTGCTTATCAGGTGCCAATCAGGTGCTTATCAGGTGGAAAATGTGCTTGCTGGTTAGAACGAGAAACACTTGATCAGCTGCCAGCTGATCTTTGAGTCAAGTCGAAACACTCAACTGGCCCCCTCATTCCTCTCCACACATGACTTTCTGTTGCACATCCCCCTCCTTCCCTCCTCTCCCAGAGTGGGCTGTCGATCGTTTTTGCACCCGAGCCTTCACCACCCTGCACCACCCTGCACCACCCTGCACCACCCTTCACCACCCTGCCACAAACGGAAGCATCTCCCAGGAACCTCACCTTCTCGCTCTTCCCTTCTACCCCTCTCCTCCCTCCTCTCTTCCCTCTTTCCCTCCCTCCCCTCCATCCTCTCCCAGAGTGGGCCTGTTTCAATGGTGCACAGCCGAGCCTTCATGCTGCCAGTAAATGATCTGCCAATACCCTTCCATTTTCCCCCCTCTCTTCCCCCCCCCTTCTTTTTCTCCTTTTCCTGCCCCCTTCCCCAGAGTGGGCTGTTTCAATGGTGCACATCCGAGCCGTCATGCTGCCAGTAAATAATCTGCCAATACCCTTCCATCTTCCCCCCTCCCCCCTCTTCCCCCTCACTTTCTCCATTTCCTGCCCCTCCTCCCAGAGTGGGCGGTCTCAATGGTGCACAGCCGAGTCTTCACCTTGCCAGTGAACTATCTACCCTTCCATTTCCCCCTCTCGTGCCCCGTTTTTTCTTCATTTCCTGCTCCCCTTTCCCTGAGTGGGCGGTTTCAATGGTTCACAGCCGAGCCTTCACGCTGCCAGTGAGTTATCAACACCCTTCCATTCTCCCCCCTCCTGCCCCCTTTCTCTCCAATTCCCCCCCTCCCCAGAGTGGGCGGTTTCAATGGTGCACAGGCGAGCCTTCATGCTGCCAGTGAATATTTTGCCAAAACCCTTCCATTTTCCCCCCTCCCACCCCCCCTCCCCCCTCTTCCCCCTCTTTTTCTCCTTTTCCTGCCCCCGTCCCCAGAGTGGGCGGTCTCAATGGTGCACAGCCGAGTCTTCACCTTGCCAGTGAACTATTACCCTTCCATTTCCCCCTCTCGTGCCCCGTTTTTTCTCCATTTCCTCCCCTTCCCAGAGCGGGCTGTCTCCATGGTGCACAGCCGAGTCTTCACCTTGCCAGTGAATAATCTGCCAATACCCTTCCATTTTCCCCCTCCAAACTCCCCCTCCCTCCCCTCTTTTTCTCCATTTCCCCCCCTTCCCAGAGTGGGCTGTCTCAATGGTGCACAGCCGAGCCTTCACCTTGCCAGTGAACAATCTGCCAGTATCCTTCCAAATTTCCCCCTCCCACCACTCCCCCCCCTCCCCTTCTCCATTCCTGCCCCCCTTCCCAGAGTGGGCTGTCTCCATGGTTCACAGCCGAGCCTTCACGCTGCCAGTCAGGCCGGGCGGCAAGTTTGAGCAGTTTGTGATGATGCCGTTCATGGATGCCATCAACCATCATTACAACAACCATGTGAGTCAGCACAGCACCCAAGTTTGAGCAGTTTGTGATGATGCCGTTCATGGATGCCATCAACCATCATTACAACAACCATGTGAGTCAGCACAGCACCCAAGTTTGAGCAGTTTGTGATGATGCCGTTCATGGATGCCATCAACCATCATTACAACAACCATGTGAGTCAGCACAGCACCCAAGTTTGAGCAGTTTGTGATGATGCCGTTCATGGATGCCATCAACCATCATTACAACAACCATGTGAGTCAGCACAGCACTCCTTAGTCAGCATCGCACCCATGTAAGTCAGCACAGCACCCAAGTTTGAGCAGTTTGTGATGATGCCCTTCATGGATGCCATCAACCATCATCACAACAACCATGTGAGTCAGCACAGCACTCCTTAGTCAGCATCGCACCCATGTAAGTCAGCACAGCACCCAAGTTTGAGCAGTTTGTGATGATGCCGTTCATGGATGCCATCAACCATCATTACAACAACCATGTGAGTCAGCACAGCACTCCTTAGTCAGCATCGCACCCATGTAAGTCAGCACAGCACCCAAGTTTGAGCAGTTTGTGATGATGCCCTTCATGGATGCCATCAACCATCATTACAACAACCATGTGAGTCAGCACAGCACTCCTTAGTCAGCATCGCACCCATGTAAGTCAGCACAGCACCCAAGTTTGAGCAGTTTGTGATGATGCCCTTCATGGATGCCATCAACCATCATTACAACAACCATGTGAGTCAGCACAGCACTCCTTAGTCAGCATCGCACCCATGTAAGTCAGCACAGCACCCAAGTTTGAGCAGTTTGTGATGATGCCGTTCATGGATGCAATTAACCACCATTACAACAACCATGTGAGTCAGCACAGCACTCCTGAGTCAGCACAGAACCTCTGTGATGTGAGCCAGCACGACACATGTGAGCCAGCACGACACATGTGAGCCAGCACGACCTGGGGGTGCTGGATATCTGGCCATAACGAATTTTGAGGAGCCTCAAAATTTGTTTCAACCTTACCCCCGTTCAACCCCTCTCAGATGGACTGGATGGCAAGGCCTGTCACACCTGAGGGAGTGTTGGAGATCCGGCTAAAGCGGGCCGCCAAGAAGGGCGAGCAACTGTTCACCTCTTTTGGGCCTCGCAGCAACGAGAACCTTTTTCTCTACTACGGTGAGTGAGGTTGCTGGGTCAGGTATTAACCTCTGGGACGCCTCAATACCTTTGGCCCTGTGGTGGTGAGGCTTGGTTGCTTGTACTCCATCTTGTTGCTGCCTTGCCTTGGTCTCCCGATTTAAGAGGCCTTAGAACTCGTGCAGAAAGTAATGAGTAAAAACTTCCTTAGTACGATCTCTTTCTGCACTCATTACTGAGTGAGCTTAACAGCTTGCATCTGAGCCCCCATCGGGCTTTAACTAACCTCCTCTTACCTTCTTGACCTCCCTTGACTTCCTTTGGCCTGCCTTGATTCCCTCTGACTCGCCTTGACCTCCTAACTCAGCCACAACTCCCTCTGATTCCATTGGCTCCATTCACCCCTGTTCACCCTCCAAATTTTAATCCGGAGGGCAATCCCTCTGACCACCTCGCTCTCTTCCCCTCCTTTGAGGACGTCATTGATCCCCTAATGACCCCCATTGATTCCCGTTGACCCCCGTTGACTCTCCAGGCTTCATTCTGGAGGGCAATCCCTTTGACAGCCTCGCTCTCTTCCCCTCCTTTGAGGACTCAGTCCACTGGCTGCTCAACCGATTCTACACAGACTGCCGTTCCGACTCCCATTCACTTGCTTTGACCCCTCATTGACTCCCCATTGACCCATGTTGTCCCTCCAGGCTTCATTCTGGAGGGCAATCCCTTTGACAGCCTCGCTCTCTTCCCCTCCTTCGAGGACTCAGTCCGCTGGCTGCTCGACCGGCTCTACACAGACTGTCGCTCCGACTCCCTCCAGCGCCACATGACCGTCGCAGCCATCGCCGGCGCCTCCTCCTCCGCCGCCTCTTCCGCCATCGCCTCTGCCGCTGGTTCATCCTGCTCGCGAATTTCATTCACTCAGGCGTGGAAGCAGGCTCGCGCGGCCCTCGATCGGCCTTCCTCACACGATGCTTCTCGCGGGTTTGAGCGGGACAGGAACCTCTGGTGGGATCTGATGAACAGCTGGGTTGAGTTCGGTTATGAGGTGCTGCCGTACCGGGCTGGTCCGGATGTTCGTCCGGCCGGGAGGATCGACCCGAGCCTGCTCGCTGCGCTTGCCGCAGCGGCTCGGTTTGCAGCTTCGGCGCCGAACCGGACGCTGCCTGCTGGTGCGTTTCCGAGGTGCCCCCCTGGGTGGCGGAAAGATGGGAAGAGTGGAGGCGGTTGGGGGAGGGTGGATGGTGCGGGGGAGGGGAAAGGAGGCCTGTTTTGGCCTAGATGTTGCCGAACCAAGGCATGGAGAATAGCTTGTCGGAGTGATGGGGTTGGGGGGAAAGGGTCAACTGAGTCAACCGAGTCAACAGGGAATGAGGTGGATGAGGAATTGGGGGATGATGGGGAGGTGCAATCAGGAGGAGCGAGCTCTGGTAGATCTACAGGGCCAACGGACGGTGGGGATGCAGCGAAAGCAGCGTTAAGAGCAGCAAAGGCGGCAGAGGACGAGGCTGCAGTGGCTGCAGCGGAGTATGTGAAGCTGCTTATAGTGAGGCGGTGCCGCGAGCTGATGATAGGCATGGCCACGCCCGCACACTATGATTGGTGGCTACTGCAAGATGTGGACCGTGCAGGAGGGAAGCTTCTGGGAAGCGATGGAGGGGTGGATGGGACAGGAGCAAGAAGAGTGGGTCACAGTGGTGCTGCCAGCAGCAGCAGTGCTGCCGCTGGTGGCGGTGGCAGTAGCAGTCGCAGTGGTAATACTGGTGCTGATGGTGGGAGCAGCAGCAGCAGCAGCGGTGGGGGTGACGGTGCTGGGATTGGAGGGGAGTTTGAGAGGGAGGGTGAGATGCAGTGCAAATTTAGGGGGCAGGTGTTGTCGCCGCAACGGTTGCTTGCTGTCAAGTACCGGCTCAGTAGAAAGGAGATGCTGCTGGCTGTTATACGAAGGCTGGAAGCTGGACTGTAGAGTGTACTCTAGTAAGTTGTTTACCTAACTTGCAAGGTTGAAAGTCAACCGCCTTGTAGGGGGGACGTTTACTTTTACTGTCTGTAATACTCTATGTTTACATGCTGTCTAAACCCTAGACCGTATCCAGTAAAACAGTGTTCATTTACGAAACACATTGCAACTTCGTGCTTCTAGTCAAACGAAATGCCATTAGGAGAGGGGCAATCCATTTTCCAATGCCCATCATATCCACAATAGCTGCAATGTGGGATCCTTGAATCTTCTTTCTCGGATACATGTCGTCTCTCTCCCTTGAAGTTGCCGCTGTTAGGGTTGTCAAAGCAACGTGCCGCTTTATGCCCTTTCTTCCCACAATAAAAACAGCGTCCATGCCTGTTCCCCCTTGTAGCTGATGCACTCTCCATCCCAGGCTTGCCATTATCCGTACGTCCGGCCGCTTCTTCCCTTCTCTTGCAATCAGCTTTCATCGTTTCTAAATCTCGCAATTTCCCAATCAAGTCGGTCACACTTGTCGGCCGGATGCAAGTAAGGACAGTACGCTCAATCTCCCACTCCTTCGACAATCCAGAAATGATGCAGTATATCAGATCTCTTTCTGTTTCTTGTGCACCCATGGCCTTCAAATCACTGTAACAGAGCTTACCCCGGTGTACGTAGTCCATTACGCTCTCATGAGGTTCCATGCTCAGAAATAACAGCTCCCTTCTCAATGCCAACTTCCTCTGCTCGAAAAGCATCCCCCCCTTCATACTGTCTGCTTCCATCTACGCAAACCTCAAAAGGTTGTTCCCGTATGTGGCGCCTGGCCGGAAACTTTTAGTGAATTAAGAGCTTGAGTGATGATTTGGATGAGTGGAAAATAAAAGCCCTGGAGGTTGCTGCTGTAATGTAATGCACGGAAGGTAGCTGAAGTGACTCGAGTCAAGTGCGTGCTGAAATACGAGAATACATTCGCTCGGAATGCTCAAGGGCCTCGCGTAACGTGCGCCTCACGCATACGCAGCCACCAGGAAACGCGTCGCTGAACGGGCATTCACTAATTAGCGGGACCACGCTTGCGAAGAAATCACGACGGCGTCCCGTGTAATTTGTACAAATCTTGAGTCACGAGCAAGCGAAAGGAACCACAGCTTACGGCCCACACCAACTGACGGGATCAGACACTCACGCCGGACCGATCGGAACCGGACTCAAGATACGATACTAAAGTCCGCCAGCCACCGAACCGACTCGGTCCACCGAAGTCCGTCGATATTCATCACTCACCTTCCTCTCAACCGAAGGCCTGAAGCTCGACTATTGAGTGTACTCAAGTGCACAAATGTATACCTCATACACAATTGCACGTTTGACAATTGTAATCCCATTTCTTCCACAAACTATCCATTGATTACTATCACATTCACTACTGCGTGTCCCGTTTTAGCTATTTTTATTACGGTATTTGACTCGCAAGGTTAACGCAGTTATGTTACAAGCCAAAATGTGGCAACAAGCAGTCATTGTTGCCAAATCAACTTCTCCTACCCTCTCCCCCTCCCCCTCTCTCCCCCTTCGCCCTCCCCCCAAGTGGGCCTTCTGGCAGTCCCTGTCGCAGTAGGCAGCCATGCAGACATGACCGCTTGCAGTTCTGAATATCCACACTTATTCCCAACCCTTCCCCTTCCCATTCCCCTCTGCTATCACTTAGGCTGGCACTGCAGCTTATGCACCTTCCAGTGGGCTCTCTGACAGTCCCTGTCGCAGTAAGCAGCCTGGCCGCACCGGGAACACGCCTTCAATGGCGGCCTCCCCGGCCTCTCCGCCCGGCCACACCCTGGGAACGCACAGCAGCGCACACCCCCTGCTCCCCCTGCTCCTCCTGCTCCTCCTGTGGGTGCTCTTGAGTCTGACGCAGCAGCGGCAGCACCGGACGAGCCAGCCCCGGGTGTCACCCCGACCCGCCGCCCGTCTGAGAGCTCCCAGTAGCACGTCTCCCCCAGCAGCATCTCCCGCAGGCATGCAAACGGGTTCACCCCCCCCCCACCCACGGCACCAGGTATGCAGGCGCGACTTTCAACCCTCCTACCACCTCACTCCCACCCCCAGCAGCAGCAGTCGCAGCAGTACCAGGTGAGCCAGCAGCAGCACCAGCAGCAGCAGCAGCAGCGACCATTCTATCCACCAAAGCCCGCTCCTTCCCCCGGCTAATCTCCTCACACTCCCTCTCCTTCCGCCTCATCCCCGCACAGCACTCCCTCACCCTCTCCTCCTCCCCAGTCGACGCCCAGCTATGCGGCGCCTCATACATCAGCTCCACCACAGGCCACGCCCGAAAAGCCGCATTCCTCCAGCTATCCACCTCTTCCCACACCAGCCACTCCTCCTTCCCATCCCACCCGTTCCACTCCACCTGTCTCAACTCCTCTTCACTCCTCGCCACCCCATCTCCTCTTGTCAGCTCCATTATGTCTTTCACGCCGCCCTCTCGGGAGAGAATGATGGAGGCGGTGTAGAGGAAGTGCAGGCGCTTGTGCTCCACCACGCCTTCGAGAAGAGGAGCCACGAGGCGGTCTGGAACGAGGTCTGGGAGGGGTGGGATTCCGAGTGTGTCCAGGAGCTCTTTCATCTGAGGAGGGTGTGCGTGGGTGGTGGACGGAGGGCAGAGGAGAAGGGCAGAGGAGAAGGGCAGATGAGAAGGAGAGAAGAAAAGAGGAGGATCTTATAATGTAATCACTTTCTAATTGATTGAGAAGACACTCCGAGGGTCAAGGTAAAATTAAACTGATGGGAGCAGGGCAGAAGAGAGACATAGGAAGATGCAGGGTAAGTAAAGGATGAGCACCGAAGGGTGAATTTTAAGCTGCTTTACACACATCAAAGGGTGCAAGAGGCCTCTCACCTGAGGGGAGCGTGGGCGGTAGAGAGAGAGCATGCAGCGCAGGACCACCGAGGAGGGGCGGAAGGCGAACGAGGCAACAAGGGCCGCGGGGGTAACGGCCTGGTTGAACATGTTAAAGCACATCTGGCAGCAGTTGCAGGCAGGTGTGAGGTTAGTCATTTCCACCATGAACTCCAGAAAAGCGTCCACCTCTCGGGGGGATCTCAGCATGGGCTTTAACTTGCCCGGGGAATACGCCCCCAGGGCCAGCGCAGCCCAGCTCATGTCCCTCCTCTCTCCCTTTGCCACCCTGCTGCTGCTGCTGCTGCTGCTGCTGCTGCTATTTGTTGTCTCTGCTGCTGCCCCCACCAGGTGGAGTCGCAGCACCCAGTCGGTGATCGCTCGTGCCAGCGGCCCGCCACGCCCCTCCTTCGCCTGCCGCTTCGGCGAGAACCTTCTCAGAAACTCCTCGACGCGGTCCGCAAGGGTTGGGAATGCAGGAGAATCCGTGCTGCTGTCACTCATCGCCCTGGCAGCTCGATACTCCTGCACGCCCTCTGTATGAGTCGTGACTATCCCACCCTCCTGCCGTCCCTGTGTTGCCCCCACGTTGTACTCTAGGAGCATCTCCTCTCGGTCGAACACAGCATCACGAAAGCTGCCCGTTTGGAAGGTGTTCAAACCCAAAAACTCCCCCCCATGCCCCTGTCCCCCTGCCCAATCTCCCCCTGCTCCCTCTCCCCCTGCTCCCTCTCCCCCTGACCCTTGCAGGCCTCTACATGCACTTTCATGCGCCTTCAGCGTCCCTCTATTCCCCGCTGGAAACTCGTCCCACCCCGGAACACAACCAGTGGCTGGGCCTTCCGCACCTGCCGCGCCCACAGGCTTGGGAATGGCGCCGAACCTGACTAAGAGGCTCGGGAGGTCATGCACTGGGTGTGGGAGCGCCAGGACTGGTGCTTCCGGGTTGGTGCGGGTGCAGTAGCTGGGGGGGTTGAGCCTGGGGCCATACACTCGCACCCATTGGAGGAGGCAGGCAGCTCGGTACATGAAGAGTGCCACTGCTGGGTCACTGATGACTGGCACGAGACGGCCACTAGCTGTAGTAGTGCTAGCAGCAGTAGTGCTGGCACTAACAGCAGTGCAAGCAGCTCCTGCTGCTGCTCCTCCCGCCCCTGTGCTCTCACCTTCCTCTCGGTTCCTCTCCCTGCCCCCCTCCTGCTCTCCGTGCCTCTCTGTCACCTTCTGCCCTGCTGCTGCCCCCTCTTCCCCTCCTGCCCTCTCCCCTTCTCCTGCCCTCTCTGCCAGTCGCTGCCTGGCTGCCTCCACAGCAGCGTCCTCCACGCGCTCCTTGTACCTGTTACTGCATGCCTCGGTAAACGCCTGCACGCCATAGACTGCAGCGCGCGGCACACAGAGCGTCAATGCAGCCCGGAGAGCAAAGTCAGTCGGGTCAACGCCAGTTATGACCATGCCGCTTCCACTGCCAGCAGCACCAGTACCAGCAACACCAGTACCAACAGCACCAGTACCAGCACCACTGCCAGCAGCACCAGTACCAGCAACACCAGTACCAACAGCACCAGTACCAGCACCACTGCCAGCAGCACCAGTACCAGCAACACCAGTACCAACAGCACCAGTACCAGCACCACTGCCAGCAGCCGTGCCACTGCTTTGATGCCTGCTGCTCCCGTCCTCGCTCCCCCATACACCCTCGTTTTCAATGCACTGCCTGCAGCTGCACCTGTACTGCTCAGCCTCCAGCCCTCCATGGGAGATAATCTCCCCCACACGCTCCACATACTCATCCCACTCCACCCCTCTCAACCCCTCCCTCCACTCCTCTCCCCCTTCCACCCAACCAAATCCTCCTACTCCCGCTCCTCTCCCTGTCCCCCCTCTCATGCCCCCGTGCGCCCGTCTCCCCCCCGGCAGAAGAGGCAGCACATGAGCAGCAAAGCCTGACTCGAGTTCTTTCTTTCCTTTCACTCCAAGCACCTGCACCAGGATCGATCCAAAGCAATCCTCTTCCGCTTCCCCACCCACCTGCCTCCCTCCCCCCTTCCCCGCCTGCCTACTCGCCTGCCGTTCCGCCTGCCTGCCCCCCACCCCCCCGATCTGCCTCCCCGCGTTCAGCTGATTTGCCAGAGCAGGAAAGGCGACGTAGCAGGATTTCATGTGCAGGCGCCAGAGTGTGACTATACGCGGAAGCCTCGCTACAAGCACGAGGAAGACAACCACAGAGAGGCTGCGGCGGTAGGCGGTCCAACACGAGCTGCGCTGCCAGCAGCACCACCAGAAGTGCTTGGGATCACCGCCAGCAGCTGTAGCTGTAGCACCACCGGCTGTAGCACCACCAGCGGTTGTAGCGCCGCCACTCGCTGTAGCGCCGCCACTCGCTGCTGCCAGATCGTGAATCTTCATCATATCTGCCAGCTGGCATCTGACCACATCTAGATCCAACAGCAGTCCGACACGTGGCTCTGCCATCCACTCGAGAAGCATCCCCTCGGCCGCAGGCATGGGCGCGAAATCCGCCTTCCACTTGAACTGCGCGGCAGGAGGCCCTGAGGAGATGTCAACCCTAGAAAGACCCCCAGCGCGCACAGCAGCAGCGGCTAGCGCAGCGCGCCCACTCCCCCCACGCCCCACACCCGGCCCAGTCGTAACCCAGAGACTCTGCACTCTGACAGTAGCGGAATACGCAAGGATAGCCTGGGACGGCCTGTTGTTGCTGGCTGGACACGGCTTGATGCTGTCACTCACCGGCTGCTGCAGGTGCAGGCGGAGGGCGTTGGGGGTGGCGGTGTGGTAGGTGGTGGGGGGGGCGGGGTGGAGGATGCGCGAGAGGCAGCAGGCGCAGAGGGAGTGGTTCCAGGGGAGGTTCACGTCGACGTGGTGTACCATGTGCGGGCGGGAGATCGGTTCGTAGTCTAGCGGGCTCGTGATGCTGGGTCGGATGCGACGGCTGCTGCTGACGCGCCTGCTGGTATTGGTGACGGTGTTGCTGTTGCCGCCAGTCGCAGGGGCCGGCGGCGCGGAGACAGACGCGGTGATGGGCGCAGTGGCATGCGCGGAGGCGGGAGCAGAAGCAGGCGCAGCGACGGGCGAAGCGACAGACGCAGGGAGAAGGGAGGGCGTAGAAGTAGCGACAGGCGTAGCAGCAGGAGGCGGTGCAGATTCTGGGTTAACCGAGCACACACAGTAGCCGTGGATGGTGTGTTATTCGCAGCACCGCTGTTGCTGCTGCTGCTCCCAGCGGTACCTGCCGAGTTTGGTTTTTCCTTCTCTCCCGCCTCCCTCGATTTCACCGGGAGCACTTTTACCACTGTACCCGCTTTAAGCTTGGCCTTTTCCGCTGATGCTTCAGGCGATAGGTACACCACTTGCCCGACAGCCATAAACCGAACAGCCTGCTTCTGTTCGTCCGTCCGATCCTTCTGGTCGCTGGCCTTATCCACGTCATCCTGCTGCTGACGTGTCTGCTGACTTGACAGGCAGCAGTGCGGCAGGTGGGACTTGAACAGCCTGTTGAATGCCGATTGGAGCGGCTCCTGCGGATCAACGGATATGGAATAATCCACGTGGGAAGACGCTACCGGCTGCGTAATCATGACTGTTGCTTGCTCGTTAACAATATCAGGGCTGCTGCTGCCACCGTCGGTACTACTGCTACTGTTGCTTGTAGTGGGAATGCTGCTGGTGTTGGTGCCGCTGGGCAGCGAAGTGGCTTCGCCATTGCTACCTTTCGTGTTTTTTAGCAGAGTAGCCGGCACCCTAAATCGAATCGTGAACTCCATGATACAAGGCAACGCTCACGCCACCAGGTAGAGCTAGTGCGGGTAGCAAGACATCAAGCCGCTTTCCGTTTCCATCAGCAGCTTAGACAGGCATTTTAAGTCACACTCGAACATACATCAATTCGGAATGAGTAGGAGATGTGGAAAGATACGAAAGCTACTGCCACCAAGTAGAGCTAGCAAGACTCAGAATCGATGCTCGTCCTATCAGTCGTCATGTTGATGATCACATTCACCGTGAAAGGCGGGCCCGTTGCGCAACGCGAAACACTCAGTTATTGTATGGGGAAGAAATGTAGCGACCACTGATGCTGTAAACCAAGGCAAAATCGGGATTCAGGAACTCAACTGATGAGAACGGAATTGAGATCTTGTTGGAGTGAGGTGTTTGGCGGGAAAAGAACGAATTTGTGTTTGGAAGGTTGCAGTTTCTTGGGATGGAGAGTCAACAGCCGATATGACCAGGGTGTCTCAACAAAGCGGGAAGGGAGGGGAGAGTTTGTTTGTGTACCCTTTATAATAACACCGTTACTTGCGTAGTATCGTACATTCCATTCTCATCCAGTGAAAACATTGCTTTCAAACAGGGGTGTTTCATTTCAATTTTGTGCTTCTAATATTTAGTGCCTTGGCTTTTGAAACCGTATCAAAATGCTACTGTCTATAGGGCAACCCGTTTTTGAATGCCCATCATATCCCTGCAATGTGGAAATTTCTAAGCTTCATTTTTGAGCTCATGCCGTCGTCCCCCCTTGAAGTTGCTGCTATTCGGGAAATAATCACGCGACGCGGCGATTTTCAACTTTCGCTCAATCCTGTGGACTAGCCTCGCGCCGCCCTCCCCAATTTTGAATATCTATCAATCCCATGGACTGCTACATGCGCTTTCGCGGTATTTTTACACTTACTCTGGACAGAGTGTTGAGGCTGTTTGGCTGAAAGCTACATTATCAAACAGGCATGGTTTACCCCAACCCCCCTTGTTTCTGTTTAATTTTTGGAGTACTAGGTTATACAGTGCCGTCGAGGTTATTCTTTAGAGTATATATTGCACTGCATGCGTAACAATCGAGTGAGCAAGCTGATCGCGGGCAAGAAAAAAACTAAAACCCATTCGGATGGCATGCCATCCGAGGGAGCCTCAACCCTAAAATTTTAGGGTTGAGGCTCCCGAATGGCATGCCGTAAGCCATGGGGTTTATAATTTTTGCCCGCGGTCAGAATACTTGCGGCTGCGACTGGTCCACGTAAAAAATCTTCCAACATCGTGCCACTGTCCATGGATCATGGATGCAGACGCGCAAAAAGACAACCACGCTGGGTTTGCAATCATTGCAGCGGGATTGCGTCAGATACGATTTCTCGCAAAAGCGCGGCCTGCTAGGGACCCTAAACTCGAGAATTGTGACACGACTTTCAGAGGAGTGTGCAGTGCAGTCGTCATAGCATTTCATAACTCTAGTTTACAGCACACTCGATATTATGGAATACATATGGCATTCTAAATGGGAGGAAGATATGCAGAAACGATCTAGTGTATAGGGGAGGGGAGGGTGGGAGCTAGAGAAGTGAAAGTTGCAAATGAGACTAGGTGGCAGGTCCCGTGGACCTGCCGAAAGGTAAAGGAGAATGTCTCCTTTACAGCAAACACCTCTTCAAGTCGAATCACAATCTGTAATTTTTTTTTGTTACAAAAAATTTCTCATATAACAAATACGCAGGACGACAATTCTGTGTTAGCGGGTGTAGAAAGTCCATGGGATTGATGGATATTAAATGACGTGGAGGGCGGCGCGAGTCTAGTCCACAGAATTGAGCAAAAATTGAAAATCGTCGCGTCGCGTGATTATTTCGCTATTCGGGTTCACAAAGCTGCCGAGAGAATGACTCCAGTGGCCAATAAGGTGATTCACCATCCCTCGCGTGGCCACGAATGACTCGAGTGGCCACCAAATTTGGTGATAATGACTCGAGTGGCCACGCCAGGGGATTCTTGCTGGCTTTTTTTTCACGGCGCATTACCCTACGGGGCTTTGTAGCCACGAAATTCCCCATTCGTGCGAGTGGTATCCTTAGGTAGTGTTCCGTTCTGTTCCGCACCCGAAAATTTCGCCCACACACTGTACACAAAACCGTAAAAATGCCAACAGTAGTTGCGCGGTCATTTTCGGCCCAATGCCCGACCAATGAGCGCGCGATAAAAAAAATCAGCGACCATAAACTGCTCTGCGGGGGCATAAATGCGCGAACACATTAGTGACCGCGGGCAAGAAAAAAAACCTAAAACCCACTCGGAAGGCATGCCATCCGAGGGAGCCTCAACCCTAAAATTTTAGGGTTGAGGCTCCCGAATGGCATGCCGTAAGCCATGGGGTTTATTTTTTTTATCACCTTAGGGTAATGCGCCGTGAAAAAAAAGCCAGCAAGAATCGCCTGGCGTGGCCACTCGAGTCATTATCACCAAATTTGGTGGCCACTCGAGTCATTCGTGGCCACGCGAGGGATGGTGAATCACCTTATTGGCCACTGGAGTCATTCTCTCCAATGTGCCGCTTTATGCCCCTTCTTGCCACATTATAAGCAGCAGAGACCAGATCTTTTCCCCCTTGCTGCTGCTGCTGCGCTCTGCATCGCAGGCTTGCCATTCTCCACACCACTGGAAGCCTCTTCCCTCCTTTTTCTGTTAGCTTTCATGGTTTCTACATTCCGCAACTTCACCATCAAATCTGTCAAACTTGTCGGCGGTATGCAAATAAATAGAATACTCATTCCTCTGGCAATCCAGAAATGACGCAGTGTATCACATCTTTTTCAGTTTCTTGTGCACCCATAGCCTTTAAATCACTGTAGAGGAGCATCGCCCTATGTACGTAGTCCATGATGCTCTCATGAGGCTCCATGCTCAGAAAATACAGCTCCCTTCTTAAAGCCCGAGTATCACATGGCAGGAAACCAACTTTCCTGAACATGAAACAGGGTTAGCGAGAGGGAGCAAAAACATTTTTCGTTGAACCAACCCTGGCGAACCACTACCAGAGCCGCGAAATCAAACATCACCTCGCCGCACTCAGATTGGCCTGCTTCCCCCAGGGATGACCACCATCTCACGACTACACTAAAGCGACCATTCTGTCGCCTCGAATGGTTTAGGGTCGCAGCCAATCAGCACCACCAAAAAAGAATACTCGCATCGTATCCAAACAGCGAGGGTGTACAGAGGGAATAGGGGGGGTTACAGTCCGGTGAAGTGTAGACTTGAACCACCGAAACGAGTGGTAGGTAGACATTTGACACCAGCCTCAATAGCAACCCGAAACACATACAAGCTCGCCAAACGTGCTCGATGACGGAATCAAAGCAGAGCACGACTACCAACCTAGCTTGATAGTAGGCAGGTCACAGCACGAAAATTTGTCGCGACGCGCTGGCACTAGGACGCCGCGTCGCAGGAGATGTCAGCAGCGAAACGCGACGTTCTCGGCCTGAATGTGAGGAGCACGATTTGCCTAGAGGAGTAGTTGCGTTCCACGGAGCGTTGTAGGGGTAAGCGGGAGAGGACAACTTCATTTCGGGTGGGTCTAAACCATTCATTAGACAATAGGAAGGTGGGGCAAACCTTTACAACCTGCGGGTGTAACATCTACTTCCGGATCTCCCTCAGTAACCTTCGACAGGGCGACCACGGGAATGCGCGAGGGAAAGGCCTAGACCGTGGCCGGCAGGGAGACAGACGAGAGGTGAACGGAATTCGCGGCCAACGTCCTGCAAAACATTTGCAACGTCGGTACCCAACTGTAAGAGATCATAAACGCAATCTTGAGCACCGGTTGTAGAGTTGACTCACACAACTTGTAGCTTCAGTGGCTGTCGTCGGCATGCAGAGCCGTCAACAGCCTGCTATAGTCGAGCGTGTCGTCTCCCTCTGTCGACGCAACTGTCAGAGCCACGGTTACAACCAGAGGTTCGTCCCGACTGCCCTCCAAGTCACAGCATGCGGCGTCACTGCTGTCCAAGTCACAGCGTGCGGCGTCACTGCTGTCCAAGTCACAGCGTGCGGCGTCACTGCTGTCCAAGTCACAGCGTGCGGCGTCACTGCTGTCCAAGTCACAGCGTGCGGCGTCACTGCTGTCCAAGTCACAGCGTGCGGCGTCACTGCTGTCCAAGTCGCGGCGTGCGGCGTCACTGCTTTCCAAGTCACAGCGTGCGGCGTCACTGCTTTCCAAGTCACAGCGTGCGGCGTCACTGCTTTCCAAGTCACAGCGTGCGGCGTCACTGCTTTCCAAGTCACAGCGTGCGGCGTCACTGCTTTCCAAGTCACAGCGTGCGGCGTCACTGCTTTCCAAGTCACAGCGTGCGGCGTCACTGCTTTCCAAGTCACAGCGTGCGGGGCCACTACTGCTTGTGTCACAGCAGTAGGTCACTGCGAAGCACGTCATTGCGAGCGGGTGTCACTGCTGCTTAGGTCACACCTCACTGCTGCTACTACTAACAATTCACACGTGTGAAGTCTATTTCCACTAGCTGTCACCGCATCTCATCACTCCTTACTATGCCATGCTCACTCCTGCCCATGTCACAGCATCATGTCCCTGAGGCTCATATCAACGCATGTAGTGTTTACCACTGGCGTCACAACATGAGTTGATATTGCTGCCATGTCAAAGCATAAGGTCAATGGTTGGCACCTGTCATGCTATCTCATCAAGGCTTTCTAATCCTTGAGCATGTGCTCTCTCCGGCTCTTGTCACAGCTTCAAATAACTGCTGCGCATGTCACAGCTTCATATAACTGCTGCTGGTGTCACATGATATAG